AAAGTTAGTTGCTAACTGTGCTGGGATTTCTTGGTGCCTGTTCAGGCTTTCGATTTTGGCTTTTCAATGTCTTGTCTCAACCCGCCTGCAAACATTGCCTGACCCAGGCTGACCGTTTCGGTTCTATATATTTTCTGGGGTTTCCTTCTGATTCAACTTCCCGTTTTCTCCTGCTTTCAATCTGCAACACATACTAGTTTTTGTTGCACGGGCTTTACTCTCCCACCAACTAACATGGAAGTGCGAAAAGGCCCTTCCCAAGAGGAACGTAGTCTTTCCACAGGGCTCTGTGCACTTCCATGGTAGCTGATGGGAGGGTAAATCTGGCAGAGGAAAGTCGCCGTGAAGATGTGGTGAGCATGCTGAAGGCGTGCATCACCTGTTTGGGCGGCCCCGACGTCGTCACACGCAGTGACCTCGCCGGCGCCTGCCGCGCCGTGTCCGGCATGGCCAGCTCCTTCCGACAGGAGCTGCACGCCTGGGCCGAGGACCTGCGCCGGCGGGGCGTTGCCATTCCGCACCATCCGGAGAGCAGCGCCAGGGCCCCCAGCGCGAATTTTGCGCGGCGAGGAAAATTGGAAACAGGGGAACCGCATCATAGGCGTGGAGATGCAGTTCCGAATATTTTGATGTGCACCAAAGGGCCCCCCATTCAAATTCACGTTCAAAATCAAGACCCAAACTAAGGAGGGCCTTTTTCTTGGTTTTTTTTGGCTGAGGCACGAACCCTGGTGCTGTCACTCTGTGACGCGATCAAGACCCAGCAATTGAGGATTGATTCGAGCGCGTCAGCGCCAGACAAAGTCGCGGCCACATTTCGAGGCAAAGAGAATTGTGAACCTGTCAGCCATGAGAACTGCACAGAGCCAGCGGGCCGTGGCGACGACGCCAAGACTTTCTCCCGTGGATTCGTTGGTCAAGCTCATGAGCCACAGGCGCTGCATGGCGACTTCCCTCGGACTGAGAGCTCTTGGCCACTCCGAGGCGCTGAGTGCGTGTTAGGTGGCAGCAAGCCCGAGTGCCGACCGCAGGAGTGCCGACCGCAGGCTTGCCTCATGGATCAGAAAGCCACAAGTGATGCCGCACGTGCCGAGAGCTGCCAGCCACATGCTTGTTTCATGGCAAGTCACACGCGAGGAGATGACTACATAGAGCCAACTGTTGAAAGCTGTTGGCCTCTTGCATTTCACAGACGCACGGAGAAGCCCGCAACGGCGTGCCAAGGTGGCACCAAGGCTGAAAGCTGTCAACCACATCCTTGCCTGAGCAAAGAGGTACTTTGCGGCGTGGACGCTCATAGTCGGGCGCATTGCAAGCCGACGAATCCTGCTTCGGCTCCGGGTGACTCCAATGGAGCGCTTCAGAGCACTCGGAAGCTCATGCTTTTGCTGCAGCAACAGGAGCAGGCCGGCTGGGTGGAAATTGTCTAGGTCTCCCAGTAGTGCCCTTTTCCTCTTTTTTGGGGGAGGGTTCCCCTACTAAAATAGACTACCGAAAAAAGGGCACCCTTATTCCAACCTCTCTACTGGAGGACCTAGTTGTATAACCAGATTCCCTGGTTCCTTAGGGAAGCTAAAGGCAGATTGTGTAAACAAAGGCTTAAAATGCTTAGAGGCAGATTCCCTGGTTCCTTAGGGATTCTCGAGGCAGATTGTGTAAACAAAGGTTGAACATGCTTCGATCAAGAGGCTTGCCGCAGGAGCTCAGCGAGTGCTTGGACAAGCTCGAAACCCCAAAGCCGCTGACGCCCGTGAAACCTCGAAACGTGCGCAGCCCGGACAGTGGCACGCCCGCCAGGCGCGCCCGGTGAACACATGTTGCCACTTTAAGGAATCGTATCGTCATCATATATATATATATATTAATATACATACATGTATATGTTGTAAACTATTGGTTTGATCTGAGTTACTAGCGTAGCGCCCGTCAAAGCACAACACACACACACACAAAACATGCAGCACACACACACAAACCATCCCCCAATCCATTTCACAGCATTTGCGTGGCATTCTTATGAGACGCCGACTGATCCTGGCATCCTTATGTAGCAGCCACCAGCCACATGTCCCCCACAAGCCCACATTCGTGTTGAACACAAGGGGGTCCAAACTAAGTCGGGGGACCCTTGGAAGGTTTCCTCGCGGAACCAAAGAGACACCACACATTTCAAGATTTCAAGGGGTCCACACATTTTGGGCAACACCCATATTGACGTCCATGTTTCCATGTTTCGGACGGCCATATTGACATCATGAAACATCCATTTGGGCAACGACCCATGTGTACAGCAATCGCCGGAGGTACCCGGAGAGCCTGGCGTCTTCGCCGCAGCCGGGAAGCCCGGGCACCACAAGCGCCCACAAGATGCGGCCCATCTGTCACTTCCCGAAAAGGCCATGGAAAGAACACCCGGGGAAGAAAAAGAGGAAGACACCAAAGTGCACCCCCCCCCCCAAATGACCGCATTGGACAAGGGGTACAGAGTCTTGATACATAGGTTCGCCCTTGCTAGTCAGGAATCAAGGCCTCGACAGAAGTTGACATGCTGATTGGTTCCTTGAGGCGCTGGATGCTATTGGCAAGTGACCCATTTCCGGAGACATACTGTGGATGGTTCAAGTTGGATCTGTGTTTTTGTTAAGGCTCGGCGCCCCTTTCAGGTCGTTTTAAAGGGACATCAAGTGAAAGAAGGCCGTCGTTGGGGTCCCGTTTTGACTGCGATGGACCCAAAACGGGTTCATACCCAATCCACATGACCCATGGACAATATTCGTTGTTCCCCACCCCAAACCAACAGTAGACCACCAATCATACTCTAACCCTTCGTAGGTTTATTGGAACCACCAACAATTGCTTTCAAAAGGCCAAAGGGGCTCTTGGCTTACGTTGGAAGGGGAGCAAAAACTCAAATTTTAGCAGTTAAGTTGGGATATCCCAGAAAAACCGACAAGCAAACATGTAAAATGTTTCCCAACAACAACCATGGGCAAGGGTCGCGCCAAAGACCCACCTTGCGTTTGGTTCTTTGCGAAATCCATTTCGCACCACCGTTCAGAAACCCTCGAATGATGAGTGGCCTGCAAATACCAACAAACAATGGTTGCCCTTGGTTTCGAAGTGGTGCGAGCGGATTTCGTCCATCCACAGGCAGAGATGCAGGTGTGTTACCAAGCTTTCGAGGCCGCAGCTTGACACGTCGTCAATTCCTTTTTTTACTGCGGCGTTGGAGGTACTGGAACGGCAGGCATGCGAGGACATGCATGAGAGAATTTGCTGGCAACGTTGGCTCTACTGGCCGACTGGACCAACAGTCGTGGCAAACGCAAGAGCGGGTGTTGCCGAAAACCTTCTGATTATGGCAGTCATTTGTGCCACATTCTCGCTATTGCCGGGCAGAGTTTATTGTATCGCCTACGTTTAGTGGCAAGTGCCGAATGGGAACATGTGGCCGTTTTGCAAAACGTTTTGCCCAGTTGAACCAGCTTTGGCTTTCTTGAACCATGTCCGCTAGTTTGCATGGTTTCACTTTGCCGAATACACCATGTTGAATCATGCTACATTTAAGCCGCGATCCAATCAAACCGAATGTAGTTTACCCTCCAAATGCCGGCCAACATGCATCCACCACGGCGCGTGGGTGTGTTTGGACCAAAGCGGTGGATCCCAAGAATGGTTTTCACAGTGTCCGAGGCAGCCATCTCCCGGCTCGCCAGGCGGGAGTTTCTGACTTAAGTGCCAGTGTTCTCCGCTCAATGGCTGGCTCTTTTGTGGTGGTTGTTAAGCTGTCCCCATCCTTCCCCTTGCGGCCGCTGAGGTTGTTCTGCTGTTTCGAAAATGCCTGCCCTGCCCTGCCCTGCCATTCCTAAGTGCAGTTTTTATTGGCATGCTTCAGCATTCTTGCACACGACAATCTGGGGCGGACACAGTCCGGAGGACTGGTACTGCCATCAAGGGCGATTGGTTTGCAAACTTTTTGATGGCAATCGGCATGGACTTGCCCCTAGGCCGATTGGCCATTGCTGGGCTGGTTCTTCCTATTGTGAAGTAGGGCAGACCATTCCGTGAAGGCCGCTGACACTGATGGGCATGTTGCTCGCCTTCCCCTGGAGCTAACACCTGGCCTGGATTGCCTTCAGACATTTTGTGGAGGTATGGTAGTTTGTAGCCAGGAAAGTCTGGGTCGGTTTTGGTCCAGGCACATGGAAACACCACTTCCAGAAAGCCGAAGGTGGATGCAAACGTTGCGTCGGCAAATCAGCCCAGTTCCATGCGTGTTCAACTATTTTGCTGCCTCTCACCCAGCGTTCCTCCGAGGCTCTCAAAGATGATCAACTCATCAGGGTTGTACATTGTTTGGGCTTTGGATTTTCTAGGGACCAACACTCTAACCCTTACGCCAGGATCTCTTTGGAGCCCTGCTGATCTTGGCCGTTCATTTATTCGCTGATATGTGCGAGGGATCGGCATGTGCGATAAAAAAAAGAAGAGAAAAAAAAGGAGGGAACAAAAAAACCGGGGGACCCTTCTAAAGATGTTGATGCCAAAAGGGTTCCACCTTATTTCTGGAAGCAGACTGTTTGCGTATGGAGATTCCCCGAACCAGTGGTTAGATCCAGGCTTGAGCTTTTGAAAGGACTCCCTAAACAAGTTTGGAGCTTCTCGCGAAGGCACGCCTCTGACTTGGCTTCCTTTTCGGACTTCCTGAAGTCGCGGCAGTTCTATTGGAACTTTTGATTCGAGCCTTCCGTTAGTTTTCAGGGGGTCAAACCCAATATTATTCCACCAACTAACATGGAACCTGACGTTCGGGGGGGGGTCCTTCAAACGGAAAATGGCCCAAGCGAGGACTCCCCCGAACGTCAGGTTGCACGTGAATTGGTGGGAGGGTTGGTTGCTTGCTTGCTTGCTTGGCTGCCTGACTGCCTGGTTGGTTTGGATGGTTGGTTGCTTGCTTGCTTGATTGCTTGGTTGGTTGGTTGCCTGGTTGCTTGGTTGCCTTGTTGGCTGCCTGGTCTCCGAAGGCCTCCAGAGCATCGCGGACAACGCCGACCGCCTGGAGCAGTTGCTGAAGCTCCGCGTGGCTCCGGCGGCCCCGGCGGCCCGGGCTCTAGCGGCACCTGCTCCAGCGGCCCCAGCTCTAGCGGCACCAGGCCGGAGATTTATAGGCAATCTAGGCCAGAACCATTATATATATATATATATGTTACATTATATATATATATATATATTATGTATATAGATGTGTATATATAGATATCAGTTATATATATATATATAAGTGTTTCAAGAAGTGTCATCAATACCTTAAGGGACCAAGACGGTGCATGATGTTATCTATAGTGTGTTCTGGCTAGATGGATGAATCGCCCAGTCTAGAAAGCGTACACAGCCCTCAATTTCCAATTAAGTTGCTGAGTCGCAGCAAGGCCTGGAATCTTCAGCCCCAAGCTTCAATGAGCTGCGGTTGGGTAAGTCTCCCCAACTCGGCCATAGATGTTCTCCAGTCGTCCTGTATGTGTGGCTGGTTTCCTTGCAACTGATTGGGAATACATGTTGTCGTTTACCCTATGTCTAGGTCCCCGAGTTGTGCCCTTTCTCACCCCTTTTTTGGTTGGGAGGGTTCCCCGAATAAAACAGACTACCGAAAAAAAAAGGCACCCTTATTCTAACCTCTCTACTGGAGGACCTCAATGTAGCTGGTTCGTTTTTTAGCTGTTCAAGACAATCATGGAACCCTTTTCCCTGGTACATCCGCCGGATCGGTTCTCAACGAGGTGCGGCATGGGTGAGCGAAGCAGCGTCTTGGCTGCGCTCAAGGTTTTCCTTTCTATCTGGAAGTTGGCTACGTGGTGCGTAAAACCACAGGTAAACCCTTGTAACTAGCAGGTTGCCAACCATTGAGTTGTAGCGAACTCCCGGGCCATACGCTTACTCTTTCAAAGGCCAGAAGTCTCAGTGAAATCGGACTTGCGCCCCTTCAAGGCATTGGACTTGCGCCTTGCGCCTTCCACGGATTCATTGACCCGTCCCAACTCTTGATAGAGTTCTAAGGGGGAGGGGTGAGGGGGGTCAAATTTGTCGTTGGCAAGCCAAACAAGCAACGAAGCTTTGAATCAACGACAGCCGAGGCCTCCCGAGCTGCTGACGTGCCTCTGCGCGCGGTTTGGCGGGCCCACCAGCGGACTTCCGGCGCCGCCGCCGCTGCCGCCGCGCCCGCGGTGTCGGAGCCGCGGCCGCCGTTGCCCTGCATGCAAAACCTGGAGCGGCAGGAGGGCAGACAAAACCCAGAGGTTTGCCTCGCTCCAAGCGAGAGAGGCCGTTCGGCTTGCCGTTAGTTCGAAACCTTGAACTGAAACATGTGTGTGTGTGTGTCAACATAGGGCTTTAAACCAAAACCAACACGGATCCCTTTTTGTTTGCCACAAACAAACAAATCGAGCCACGTCGCAGCGTGAGTCGGCCACGCGGCCGTCAGGAGGCGCATCTCAAAGCCTTGCTGCAGCAGCTGGAGGTGCGCTCCCCACCGGAGCGGCCGACGCCGATGACGCCACCCAGGGCGGAGGTGGGGAATTGGGGGGACTGGGGGTTGGGGAATTGGGGGCACTGAGGACCCACGACTTTCATTTGTTTTTTCAAGTTGCTTTCAGTTGTGCTGTGTTGGAGGCCACTGAAGACTTGAAGGGGGGAGGGGGGGCGTGGGAAGAGAATGCGGAAGGGGAATGGATAAAGCGCGTGAGCATTGCATAAAGGCTGTGGTGCATCGCCGAAGGCTTTGATTAAGTTCTTGAAGTCTTGGCAAGTCTGTGGCACTTTTGGGCACATTACAGGGGTTCACTGGCTAGGTCCCCAGTGCCCTTTTACCCCTTTTTTTGGGAAGGGTTCTTTCACTAAAACAGACTACCGAAAAAAATCGGGTACCCTTATTCCATCCTCTCTACTGGAGGACCGAGTCAAAGAAAAGGGGTATCCAGATTGAGTTTGTTTCGTTTTCAAAACCGGCTGAGACCCATGGAAAGTCCACCGGCCCGGTGTCCAACTCTTTGGCCACACGAAGGCGCCCAAAGCCCCAAGGAATGGGGTTCCTTGGCGGTTAGCCATGGGCTTCCTTCGTGTTCTTAGTGGTTTCGAGATGTGTGTGTTCTCTTTTTGGGTAGCTTCCATTTAACCCCACTAGAAGTTTTAAACACTTGTAGATCTGGAAAAACGGACAGGTCCCCAGGTTTGGTTACGCGTTTGAGCCACGGGCTATTCATGGACTGAGTTTCAGTGGTTGACCTAATCCTTGTTTGAAAACGAGGGACTCACTCCTCACTCTTTGGGCCCCATGTTGGTTCTATACCTTCGTATGATCCCTGCTGTTGCGTTATGGCTATTGGGTTAGATCTTTGGAAATTCGCTTTTTGGGAATCCGTGAATTTCCCTTGAACCCACAACGAGTGATTGTTTTTTTTTGTTTTTTTTTTTTTTTTCCCGGAGGGGTAAAAACAGCAACCAAGGTGGATGGACAAAACCCGTTGGGCTGGACGAAACCCTGGATGACCACGTCTCAACTGATGCGAAGCGGATGGTGTCCATCAGTATTGACATCCCAAGCCTGGTCAGATCTCCTGAGACACAATCAAAAGCCCTCACAAGTGAAGGTTAGTAAGGGACAGTCCCACCCATTCGGTTGCGGTTGCCCTCTTGATTCTTATGATTTTGGGTAGACCACTTTACTTTGACATCGACTCAAGCTCACTAAAATCCAGGCTCGATACGCATTCCCTTCGGTTTTAAACATCACCATTTGGCCAATCACATGTAGCGTTGATCAATATTCCCATCAGGGCCCGGCAAATCGCCAAGGTATTTTGGATCAAATCCCATGTCACCCGTCCCCCCACAGGCGCCGGGTCGGGACCGCGAGGGCCGCGAGGGCCGCGAGGGCCCGGGCACGCCCAGCTCCTGCCTAAGGCCCCGAAGGGGTTGCTGCGCTGTCCGAATCGAGTCGAAATCTTGGGGCGTTCCTAGAAGACAACAACTGGGCCTGGCTCACAGGCATCCGGGTCCCTTTTTTTGAAGTGTTTAGGTGGTTTAGGGGTAGTTTCCGAGTTTGACCCACTACAAGTTCAACTTTAGCAGGGGATCTGAGGGCAGCCCAGGCTGTTCAAGGGAAATTCGCAAGATCCTTACCTTGGGTTACGCAAGGAACTAATCCCCTTAGTGGCTTCCAAAATGATAGGCTATAGGGATTCTGAACAAGGATTGGCCAACCCTCCATTTTGAACAGCCCAGAAAAACGCCAGACTCTCCCTCGCCCCCAAAATAGTTCGCCCCTACCGGAGGTCATGTGATACCATGTGCCCCTTCACAGACTCTGCCTTCAGGCGGGCGCGCAGCCGGCTTTCGCAGCTGCGACAAGGACTAAACACCTGACAGCTTCAAGGTATGTCCTCCAAGAGGATACCTTTGAAGCCCGGTCACATGGAACTGCCCAATCTCTGAATTGATTTTGATTTAAGGAACAACTACAAGACTAAGGTAGAGATAGAATGTCCTAAATCTATGGTACGAGAAAGGTTGAAAGTACCAAACCATGTGTTTTTTCCATGTGGGAGGGCAGATCATTTCGTGTACTTCCTACGGCGCGCTGGTCGCGCGGGCTTTGCCTTTGGGGCTGTACTATCGTGGGCCGCATGCCGGCGATCAATGGGGTCAGATCGATCCTGGCCATGCATCCAGCGCTGTGTGGGCAGCGCTCAAAATGCTTACGTCCCGATTCTGCCAGTCATCTTACCTTTGGTGCATGTTGCTTGGATGTTAGGACTTTAACTTTTTGCCAGCTAATGGGTTTTCCATTAAACCACTAAAAGTTAAACTTTTAGCAGGGGAGCAGCAAGCAACCGAGTTACGGCCGGGAAGTAGCGGGTTCCAACATATCGGGTTCCAGCTTGCACCAAAAGAGAATCAGGAAGAAGCATTCTAGAGACCATGAGATCCCATTCAGGATCACCCAAGATATAGTGGCAGGGAGTCATCTTTTCCGAAATAATATCTTTGGAGAGCTGGCCTTTCAAGGTACGCCGCATGTAAATTCCTTGTGCAGCTTCGGTTCAAGGCTACAATATGAGACCGCACGGATGAGCCGACATTGACAGATAAAACAAACACGCCTTCAACACAACACTGTAGCCAGGATCCCAAGTGAATCGTAGTGAGGATGCAAGCTGTGGGACACGCCGTGATGTGAGTGTCCGGTTCGGTCCTTGGCACCGTCCTTTGGCGGGGGAGGGAGGGGAAGTCCGAGTCGACCATCCACCGGGCGGGAATCTAAGAAACCAGCTCCGGGGACGGCTTTTTGGACCATTGAAACCATTGGCGATCCTTACCAGTCCTGTCAGCCCCGCTTGTTTGTGTTCAATGAGCAACGGGTCTGTCCTGGCACAGGGATACCTCCCAAGGTGGCGTAGCCGGCTCAGGCTCAGCATAGCCACTGCCTTTATGCATCACGCTTCTGGTCTACCAAGAGTCTTTAGTAAGAGGCGTCAGTGATCCTTAGGGCCCCTGGCTCATACAGCACGTAGCTGGACAATCGGCATGTTTGAAGAATGGTTAGCCTTTTGCTTTTGCGGGCCGCTGTGTCGGCGGCTTCCCCTGAAAACCTGGCAATCAAAAAGCAGAGCACGGAATATGCTTGACGTCGCGCCAAGCCACTGAGCAAGTTTCAGCGATCCTGCAAGATGGAATCTGAAGTCAACCAGTCAATCTTGCACACAGGGCCTTTCAAGTAACCAAACAAAGACACAGCCCCTCCAGCCAACAACCAACCAAACCAGAAAACAAGCAAGCACACACGCAAGCGAGCAAGCACGCATGCAAGCAAGCACGCATGCAAGCAAGCACACACACAGACAAGCAGGCAGGCAGACACAGAGGCAGGCGGGTGGGCGGGCGGGCGGACGGACAGACAGACAGACAGACAGAGACGGACAGAGACAGACAGAGACAGAGACAGACAGAGACAGATAGAGACAGACAGAGACAGACAGAGGCAGACAGAGACAGACAGAGGCAGATAGAGACAGGAGACAGACAGAGACAGACAGACACAGACAGACAGAGACAGAGACAGACAGAGACAGACAGACAGAGACAGACAGAGACAGAGACAAACAGACACAGACAGAGGCAGACAGAGGCAGACAGAGGCAGACAGAGACAGACAGAGGCAGACAGAGACAGACAGACACAGACAGATAGAGACAGAGACAGACAGAGACAGATAGAGACAGACAGAGACAGACAGACACAGACAGACAGAGACAGAGACAGACAGAGACAGACAGAGACAGACAGACAGACAGAGACAGACAGAGACAGACAGAGACAGACAGAGACAGACAGAGACAGACAGAGACAGACAGAGACAGACAGAGACAGACAGAGACAGACAGAGACAGAGACACACAGAGACAGAGACAGACAGAGAGACAGACAGAGACAGACAGAGACGGACAGAGACGGACAGAGACGGACAGAGACAGACAGAGACAGAGACAGACAGACAGACAGACAGACAGACGGACAGGCAGACAGACAGACAGGGAAACACACAGACAAACAAACAAACCAAGCAACAAAGGCAACAAGACTAAAGCACACAAAGGGAAAGAAATAACGGGAAAAAACAACCTGAAGAAATACAGAAGGTAAGGAAGGCACAAAGAAAACATAGCAACATACATGGCGTATGAAATTTTCAAAATAATAGAAATCATTCAAGACAGGAATAAAGACAAAAGCACACCTGACACCACGCAACAGAACACGGCACGGCACAAGAGAGCACATAGCAGCCCACCACACACACACACACCAAACGACATCACAACACGCAACACAACACCACACCACAACACACGCACACACACACACGCACACACACTTCATGGCAAGCCTTTTGATATTTCAGTGGTTTTGCTCGAGCCTGTTCGCAGCCGGTGGTAAGTGTAAACATCATCCACACTGGGTAAAAGGCAGAACCCACTCATCAGGTGCAAGCGTCCTTGAATCCGGCGGTTGATTCCCCGTGCCCGTTCTTGTCAATCACGTTTCTCAAGCGTATGCTGTTTGGGTTTTGACAGTTTGCTTGAAGGATCTTTGCATTGGGGAGATACCCCAATGAAGCATTGGTTGACTCTCCGCCCCAGGCCTCTCGGAATGCGCGCTTTGCAAAGCTGCGCACCCAGTGCTTGGTAGGCCCGCGCGACTCGGTCGGTATTCGTGCAGTTTTTTTGTTTTCTCCTTCTTTTTGTTTTTCGTAGGTGTTGGTAGGTCGGTTGCGTTATTGGTATTATTGGTTGCTTTGTTTGCCACATCTTCTTTTCTGTACGTGAGCAAACTGATAAATACTTAACGTACGAGAGACTGCATCATATTCGATTGTAAGAGGTGTATTGCGAAATGCCACCCTGAGTCGATCAACGCCGTAATCTAAGATGGTTTCCACTACCCCCAACTACCTCGAGAGTTGAACACAAGGTACATTCTGTAAAGCGGCTGTATATCCCATCACACCTCTGTTGAGTAGTGGTTTGGGAATGCTGGCAGCCAGACTGAGAAGAAAGACTCGAAGGCTCCAGTTGTTTTGTTAAACCAAGGCACACTTAAACCCAGGGTTTCCCCGGTTTTTGTGGGACATCAGCCAGGTTTCCACGAATGTTTGCGGGAAATCCCAGGGTTTCCCCCGGGTTTTTGTGGGACATCATCCAGGTTTCCCCGGGGTTTTTGTGGGAAATCCCCGGGTTTCCCCCTTTTTTGCGGACATCATCCAGGTTTCCGCCAAATTTCTGTGGGAATTTTCCAGGTTCCCCGGGTTTTGTGTGCCAAATCAGCCAGGTTTCTCCCGGTTTATTGTGGGAAATGATCCGGGTTTCCCCCGGGTTTTTGTGGGAAATCCCTGGGTGTCCCTACGGTTTCCCCGGTTTTTTGTGGGAAATTTTCCACCCCCCAGCGTTTCAGTTCACCCCCACCCAAGGACACCCCCGCGAAAAGACGGGGGTTCTGAGGCGATGTCCGAGTACTTCCGCCGGCTCATCAAGCTCGGCACTTGGGAGTTGAAGGAGCCATCTGTAGCAAGACCTTCCTTGGCTAGGTCCCCCAGCTAGGTGCCCTTTTACCGTTTCTTTCTTGGGGGAGGGTTCGCCTACTAAAAAACAGAAAAAGAGCACCCTTAGGGGGGAGGGTTCAACCCTGCCAAAATAGACTACAGAAAAAGGGGTACCCTGATTCTAACCTTGCAAAACTGGAGGACCTGCCTTGGATACGAAGTTGAGTGCGGAAGAGCCTCAAACTTCAACTGGGTATGGGTCAAAGTTTCTACCGGATCGCAGATGTTCATCCATGTTTCCTTTTATCAGGGTTCCAGTTTGGGTACCTATTTTTGACCCACAGCCAATTCACTTTTTGGACTTGAGTCACTTTTTGGGCCGGAAGGCCATGTTAGTGGCGTGCACAAAAAGTGTGGTTACCTTTTTTGGCCGAGTCCACTCAGGAAGTGAGAAACAAGTTCATCCCCAAAGCGAGGAAGGGTCCCACTCCCAGCCAGCACCCTCCAATGCTGGCTTTTCCGTTTGTACCCAACATGGCTCACAGAAGAGCACTGCAGCTCCACATGGAAAAGCCATCCTTGGAGGGTGCTGGATGTGTTTATTATTATCATTATTATTAATATTATTACTGCTATTATTGCTATTATTACCATTATTATTCTTACCATTATTACTATTATTGCCATAATTATTACTATTAATATTGCTATTATCATTATTATAATTATTGCTACTGTTATTATTACTATTATTATTAATATTATTGTTGCTATTATTATTAGTTTTTTTTACACATAATTATTTATATTTTTATTCGGCCGCTTCCCGCCGGAGTCCTTCCGGCGTGAATCAACGACGCCGAGACGCCGAGGCGCGAGCCCCCGCCGGCCGCCCACATCCGTTTCCGCTGCGCCAAGCTGCACAAAGTCACCGACCCCGGCAGCAACTGCAAGGACCGCCGTGGCTCAGTGGAGCCACGTCCTGAAAACCTTCCATTTGCTGAAAATGAGTATTTTCATTTTCCCTTGTTGGGTTTAAAAAGAACTCATCCGAAAAATAGTTCGGCACGGGACGTGGATGGCACCAGGGCTCCATTTTTATTTGCTTATGTGTATAACGAGCTCACCATGATAGTGGCCTGGGGAATCCCTTAATTCAGCTTTTGGACTTGTAGTTTTTTTATTTCCCCCGTACTGGCAATTTGTCATTTTTTTTAGGGGCAACCACTCATGGGTTCACGTCAGCCTGGGGGAACCCTCTATTCGGGGAAGTGAAGGGGATGACTAAACCCAACGTTGAATGGGGGAATTCCGCCATGTTTCACACCGTAGATGGCTCGGGAATCCCCACCCCCCATTTTTCACCTGCCACTTGGGGATGATTTCCAGTTGGGGCGCGTCGTTTGTCCGGGAGCCAGCGATATTTGTTTTGTTTAAATGGCTAGCTGCACGAGCTTGGAGCACTGTCAACCGGTGGGTGCCAGATTATGGAGTTGGGCCCCTTTTATCACAGGAAACATGATCTTTTCCATTTTTTCGACCGTCCGAGCGCATGCTCGGCGCATGCAGAACACGCCCATTGACAGGAAACATCAAAGGGACGAGGTGGCCACTTTTAAAGGGTCCAAAATGGGGACGCGATGAAGAACCCTGCAGTTTTGTTTGATCGAGGTTTCCTTGGCACAATGGTTCTGGAAGACCACTTTCATGGGTGTCCTTTTTGGTTGCTTTGGGGGAAAATAGCATGGCGATTCCTGGTTTACCTGGTGGTTTCATCATCTACCAGGGAAACCCATCTATTTCCCCTAAAAGCTTCCCCAGAAGTACTTCCCATTTTTTTAATGTTTTGCTTTTTTGGGGTTCCCATTGTTTTCCAATAATTAGGGGAAAACAAAATGCTGGGGTCCTACCTCCAGCCAAGAAAGGCCACCTATGACTGCTTGGGTTTTTTGGTGGATTTCCAATGGGAGGTGACTTGGCTGTGGGTCAAAACCCTGTACCCCTGTGAACGTGAAAATAGGCGGCACGTGGATGTTCATCCACCCCATGGCAACTTCGGCCGGCTGTCTCAATCAGCACTTGTTTGTGGGCCAAACATAGGGTAACCCCCAAATTGCTTGCCCTGGTAAATGGAAACATGGGCTAAAACCTGCGGCCCCCTGGTGGTTTAATTTGACCCATACCCATTTGGTTGGAACACGTTTTTGTTGGCCATGGTTCTCTTGGAAAGGGTGTTTGTTTTGCCTAGCCCTGGCACAGGGCTAACCCTGGCAGGTGGTGGTTGTGGGTGGGTGGGTGGGTGGGTGGCTGGGATGGGTTCAGGGTGGGTTTAGGTTTTAACATCCTCAGCATCGTTTTCAACATCTTCAGCATCACCAGGTTTTGGTTTGGGCTGGGTTTAAGGTGGGTTCCAGGTTGGCTCAGGGTCGGCTCTCGATGGGTTCCAAACTTATTGAGAGCAAATGTGGGGGTGGCTATGCTTGTAGCAGATTGTTTAGTGCTGGTTTATGGTGGGGCTTCTTGGGGTTGGTCTCGGGTAGGTTTAGGGCTGGTTTCGGATGGGTTTAAAATTGGCTGCAGCCATGGCTGTGTTTAAGCCCACTTTAGGTAGGTGCCACACCCACCCTAAACCAAAACCTGGTGATGCTGAGGATGTTGAAAACGATGCTGAGGATGTTAAAGGGCTTCCCAAAGAGGGGAGCCCCCCCAAACAAAAGGAAACCCTATTTAATGGCCTGCGGCCTGGTTCCGCCGCCCCCACACACCTTAGAATTTCGGCCCGGAACGAGAGAAAGCACGCGTGCGCAGACCCGTTCGCGGATACGAAGACAGACGCAGATACGTAGACAGACACAGAGAGAGACAGAGAGACACACAGAGGGGGGGGGGTCTTCGCGGACACGAAGACAGACGCAGATTTGCCCGGGCGAGACAAAGCACGCGTGCACAGACCCGTTTGCGGACACTAAGACAGACGCAGATACGTAGACAGACACAGACAGACACAGACAGACGCAAAGAGAGACAGACAGACACGGAAGGGAGGGGGGGGGAGGGTCTGATACGTAGACAGACACAGACAGACGCAGATACGTAGACAGACACAGACAGACGCAGACATCCAGACATCCAGACATCCAGACATCCAGACATCCAGAGATTCAGAGATCCAGAGATCCAGAAATTTTAGAAATCCAGCCGACGCATGTTCCCGCCCCAAGGCATATAATTATATTCACATTAAACTTATAGAAAGCATGTCAACAAAAGCAACACAGAGCACACCGAAAGCATGGTCCACTCTGGAAGAGGCGTGGGGTCGGCGGATTGGCTAACAGCCTTTAGCCACTCATTGGGAGAGGGGGGGGGCCATTGGGGGCCCTTGACTACCATAGAATTTGTGTTGCCCTCCCTCCGAGATGTCATGCTTTGCCCTTGTTCATGCTGCCATGTGTGATCTCATATACTACCTTTCCCGCGACATGTGACAAGCCGCCACTTGGTGAGGACAACGAGTACAACACGATCTATGACGTTCTCAAATCGCGAGGATGGAAAGAGACTGATGTTGATACAGAATGGCACATATTTTGGACTGACAAAGATTGGATCCATTCAGCATTTGACAAAATACACTTGGATCCTCATCAGCACGTGAACCACTTCCTGAACCACCAAGAGCTCACTCGCAAAGATTTGCTGGTGAAGAACATGAAGAGGATGAGGCGGCAGTGTGAGAAGGACGGGCGCTGACGTGAGCAGTGATTGTTCGTGTAGAGAGCATCATATGTTCCATTGGACCCACAGAAAGCTAAAAACGCTTACCAAGCAATGTGCAGGGGAGTCATCAACATGTTAGCCAAAATCATAGGGATGGTGATGGAACTCAAAGGAACCCCAGCGCTCCGAGTCTTGGGGCCCAAAAATACTCGATGTGCGAAGCTTTGGCCATGGCACGTGTGTCTTGTTTTGGGCCCCCTTTTGGTGGGTGTTAAAGAGACACCAAGAGGAGCCCCACCATTTTGGGGCGTCCAAAACTATTTTGACACAAACCCTTACTTGAGCTCTCCGACCCCACAAATGAAGTGGAACAATGCCAGCATTTGGCTGTAACATGGACTAAACCCTGCGACCAATTTGTCCTCGGGAAAACCACAAACAAGTTGACATTTCAGCCACTGGGGACGGGAAAGTTACACATGGTCATTCGGGGGCCGAAGGGAACATTGATCAATCTCCGTCTGAGTACTTCTGCATGCACTTGGTGGCTCCCAGCCATCCGGTTCCTGAGTTTTTTGGATCCTTTTAGTGTTTAGTGGTTGGGTTTCCGAATTCAACCCACTAAAAGTTAGCCACTTTTAGCCGGGGATCTGAAAACGGGCAGCCCAGGTTTGGCAAAAAAAAGTTTGGACAATAGATGGTGATTCCTGGTTTACCTGGTGGTTTCATCATCTACCAGGGAAATCCATCTATTTCGACACCTATGGTCTGAGTACTTTTGCATGTTTGGGTATGGGTCAAAATGAAATCGCCATGGGGACCACAGGTTTTAGTCCTTGGTTCCATTTACTAGTGTTCCATTTTGGGTACTCATTTTTGACCCACAGCTGTTTGAATTCCAGGTCTCCCTGCCCCTCGCGTTTTACGTCAGGACGGGCGCAGGGCGGAGGCCGCGCGATACGACGTGCTGCCTGTGACCTACGTGGTGCCGCAGGAATCGGGAGACCTATGTATAGGGGCCATAGGTGTCCTTCTTCGGATAGTTTGCTTAAAAATAGAAGGCTTCCACTGGTTTAGATGGGTTTGATTCCATTTACCAGGGCCATCTAGTTGTCCAAAAGGACGCCTATGTATGTACAGATCTAGGGGTTGATTCCTTTTCCATTCTTTTCAACCATCGTTCTTTTCAAAACCGGGTCTGTTTCTCCTGGGTGTTTGATGGTTTCCTGAAAAGAAGGATCCCTGGAAAGAATGGGGAAGGTACTGTACTCCTAGAACAGCGGCTTTATAGTGCTTGCATAGTTGCCTGACTCAAACATAGGGGCCCAAAATGGAACCCTGGTAAATGGAAAAGTAGACTAAAACCCGTGGTTCCCTGGCTCTTAAATTTTGAGCCCCAACTAGTGGGGAAGCAGGGGCATGCCGGTATACCCTTTTGGTATATGGTGTGTTTCCAGTGGCTTAACCCATTCAACCCCTTCGGGCTTTCAATCCACCATGAAATGGCCATGGGTTGCATATGGCGAGCCATGTTGGGGTGGATGAACATCCATTTGCCACCTATTTTGCTGTTCACCGGGGTTACAGGGTTTTGACCCACAGCCAAATGCATGTTGAAGATGTATGTTTACCCCGTCAGCCAAGAGCGTCTTATCACTCGGCGTAAGTGTCTCGGTGCTGTGGTTCCCTGTGGTTGGTGTCCTTTTGGCCTCCGCTAAAATCGAAGCCAAGAAACGGTCGTTCCACCATGTTGCGATACTTCCACACGGAAAAAGGACCTAAAATCGTATATGGCTCTTGCCCAAGCAGGCAATTGCCTTCAAGTTTCCGCAAGAGTAGCAGCAAAAATGAATCCTTCGAATCATTGACAGGCCAGCTGCAGAAGGCATTAGAGTGCGGGGGCAAGCAAATCCTGTTTCAGAAGTTATTCTGGTTTCAGAAACTACTTCAGAAACTCTGCTCGCACCCCTGCTTGAGGATCTACGGTTCAGAAACTATCCCTGCTGGATTTAGGAACTATATCGTTCCTGCTTCAGAATCCAGGTTTGAGGAACTACTGTGGATAGACAGAATCCAGACCAAATGGATGGATGAAACTCTAACATGCTGGCATAGAGCACCTAGCAACTGGTGCGAAGTGGAGTTTGCCCAACTACAGTATCCCGGCTTCAATAAAAGAGCAAAGAAACAATTCTTTGGTGCATTTTGCTTGGATGGTAGGACTTTAACTTTTGCCAAGTAATGAATTTTCCATTAAACCACTAGCAGGGGAGCAGAAAGCAACCGAGAATTGGATGGGAATATGTCAGAACATTTGACTCACTTGTGGTTTCACTTTGGTTTCCCTTCTTACAAGCTGTCCATGCATTTGTTGCAAACACCCTAAGCAGATCACCCACCAGGCCAATGCGATGGCGGCTAGCTTTGGAACAATAAACCAGTTTTGGGGATTCTCTTTATATAAGCAAACCATCGGTTGGATGGTTTATGGGGGTCATTGCAGGGTGTTGGTTGAATGAACCAGTTTTGGGGATTCCCTTTATATAAGCAAACCACCGGTTGGATGGTTTATGGGGGTCATTGCAGGGTGGTGGTTGAATGAACCAGTTTTGGGGATCCCCTTTATATAAGCAAACCACCGATTGGATGGTTTATGGAGGTCATTGCAGGGTGTTGGTTTAACCCTAAACTCTAAACCCTAAACAACCCTGAACCCTAAACCATGGCCTTTTTGTCTCAATGTCTACTGCAAGTTTCCTCTGGGGTGATGTTTGAGGGCATATGGGGAGCCATCTGGTTCAGCTGGAACGTCTTTTCGAACCCAGAGTTTCCGGGAGCGCTGGAGCGATAGGTGGATATGGGTCAAAATTCAACCACCAGGGGACCGCAGGTTTTAGTCCAGGTTTCCATTGACCAGAATTCCATTTGGGGTACCATTTTTTGACCCACAGCCAGGTAGGGGAATGAACGCAGAGTTGGATGGTTGATAGGGGTCATTCCATTTCTCATTCCCTACTGAGCACCAGCAAGTCTTAGAGCTTCCTTTTTTTCTCCCCGATTCGGGGAGAGTGATTGGCCCTTTGCCAGGAGTACCACATGTTTGTGGACGAGTTCAAGAAATACACTGGTGCTACCTGGATCATGAAGCCTGTTGGACGGTCTCAAGGCGCTGGGATCTTCTTGGTGAACAAGCTAGCTCAGACGCAGCAATGGAAGCCACGACAGGACCTGGACAGACTGGTGCTTGTGTGGGGTGTGTTTCTGGGATGTTCAGAATGAACCCTTAAATCCTTAGATGGTGGTTCCGTTTTGACCGTGCTCTCACTTGAAACAGCCAGTCCTGCATGAAAACACTGGAGTTGAACTGGTTTGGATTTTCGTGGCGAGCGCATTTTGAGGCCTTTGGCCATTAGACGAGTGACGCAGAGTCAACAGTGGGAAGCGCGAAGCGGGATGAGTTTTGCGTTCAAGCGGACAAGGTGTAGCGGGGTTTGTATCATGCAGTCCTTGCTGGTTCTTATTGAGGCAAGAGGGATTTCAGGAATAAACTGTTTGGGATCCTCTGAAGGAAGCCACAAGGGTTGGCTTTTGCCGGGGGGGGGGGGGGTCCCTCATTTCCTGCTGAGAAGCAGCAAGTTTTGCTCACTTTGACTTGCATTCAAAATCTTCTCCGGATCGCAAGGACTGGAATGGTCCTGCGCCAGCCAAATCCGAGGAGCGGGTTGCATCTTCGTCTTTCCAGTGCGGGTCCAACACAAAGCTCCGGTTTGTCAACCCACCCAAAGATTGCACTGCCTTTCTTTCATGCAAATCCGCAGCATTCGTCGGATCCCCCATGCGCACGGAGCACATGCTGAGCCAAGATTGTCCGTCAGTGTGCTTTCCACTATCAGTGGGCTTTACGAAAGCAGCAATTCGGATGTGACACTGCGCATCATTCTTTGCCAGTTGCCATTTAATGTGCTTCATCAAGTTCATTTGGCATCTAGGTTGACTTCTTCGCGGGCTGGTGCGAGTGCTACGAAGGTTGACAAGTTTCACCCAGCGTTTACTCCTTGTGACATGCAAGTTGGCAGGGCAGCATTTGATTGTTTGACAGCTTGGCAGAAAACATGTGGTATAGATTCTTGTATATTATTGTCTGGCCACAACTAGCCTTCAAAAACTATCCATCAGACCTATCCATCAGTTTGTTCTGTATCATAGTCCGTGTTTTCAGGCATTGTAGTGTGAGTCGGTGCGCGTTGGTGCGCGATGGTTGTGTATGGAAGCCATAAGTCATTGAGAACTTCGGGAAGCACAAGGGCCTTTACACAGACGCTAGCAACGAAGACATGGAGCAACTCGACACGACACCCACCGTTTGCAAAAGCACCTGGTTTTGACACTTTCCCATACGGGCATGTGTCAAACAACGGAGGACCCAACAAACTTTACTCTTCCTGTTGGCGTTCTTTTTCACTAAGATGAACGGGCTAGCCCGAAAAAGCCACGCGCACTTGCCCGATGTCCATTTCAGAATCTGCCGGTGCAGAATTGGCCACGGGGAGCGGGCGCCAAGCAGCTTTGAGGATGACGACGCTGTGGAGACGTATGTCGCTCAGCTTCTCGGCGAGTCGGTTGAGGATATGGGCGCGGGAGGGTGAAAAATAGTTGGTAACCCCGAAATTGGCTTGCCCTGGTAAATGGCAACGCGGACTAAGATCTGTGTTCCCCCATATATTGAGAACAGAAAGGCATTCGCCTTGGCCGGGAGTCGGGAGTGGCTGTCAGCAATATGCCTCTTCAAATGGCCTGGTACCAGAAGCACGGCGGGAAGGCGAGTCGGCGAGTCATGAGTTTGAGATTGTTTGAAGGTGTGCGCCTCCATTCATGCAGTGTACAGGAGCGTGCTTGATATCACCGCGGGAGAGGGATTGAACATGTTCTTTTCTTTGGACGATATCCCTACTGTGGAGTGGATAGACAAGACCATAGGTGTCCTTTTTGGTTGTTTTGGGGGACAAATAGATGGCCCTGGTTTACCTGGTGGTTTCATCATCTACCAGGGAAACCCATCTATTTCCCCTAACAGGACACCTATGGACAAGATTTCACACCAGTTGGCATGGATGACATGACAAAACTGAGACACACCACCAACTGGAGCGTTTTTGGACGAAGCTTTGTTGTGCCCGCCGTCCTCGGACCACTGTAAATGACTCAAACGCGGCCATGCGCCAGCCAAACTTATATGAGTCGGAGAAAAAAAAAAAAAAAAAAAACAACGTTGTATGTGTCAATGTCAGGCATGATCCCAGGTCTTTTGGACCTATCAAATTAGCTGCACCGCCGCTTGTAATTTGAATGGCAGGAGTGTGTTGCAGGAGCGGCCGCGCAAGTCAAACATGGGGCCGCGCAAGTAAAGCGCAAGTGAAGCGCAAGTGACGCAGTGATTAATCATCATCATCATCATCATCATCATCATCATCATCATCATCATCATCATCATCATCATCATCATCATCATCATCATCATCATCATTTTTATTATCATCATCATCATCATCATCATCATCATCATCATCATCATCATCATCATCCGCATGGTCGAAAGAATCCGGAAGATTGCTAAATTTTCGCGCAAGTCGCGCGCAAGTCGCGCGCAAGTCGCGCGCAAGTCGCGCGCAAGTCGTAGATGCCTTGGATCAGGAGTGGCCCATTTCTGTAGTTTGAATTTTCTTTGTTTCTGCAGATCCCAGCAGCAGCCAGCAGCAGCAGCCAGCAGCAGCAGCAGCAGCAGCAGCAGCCAGCAGCAGCAGCCGCAGCAGCAGCAGCCAGCAGCAGCCGCAGCCAGCAGCAGCAGCCAGCAGCAGCCAGCAGCAGCAGCAGCAGCAGCAGCAGCCAGCAGCAGCAGCCAGCAGCAGCCGCAGCAGCCAGCAGCAGCAGCCAGCAGCAGCCAGCAGCAGCAGCCAGCAGCAGCCGCAGCAGCCAGCAGCAGCAGCCAGCAGCAGCCAGCAGCAGCAGCCAGCAGCAGCAGCCAGCAGCAGCAGCCAGCAACAATTTGCAGCGGACCTCATACACTTAAGGGGCATGTTTTTGGGGGACCTCACTCTTATGAAGACCGCCGCTTGGATTTGCAATGAAACCATCCTGGGATAAGAGTTTTAATACGTTTTTTTTTTCCAGCTCAATATGGCCTAACGGCGCAAGTTGATCTCCGGGATTGGACCAGGTTTGACCTGCATTTCAATGTTCGCAACGGTGTTGGGATCATGTAAATGCGGTCCACCACACGTCTTTGTCGGGGAACAAAACGCCCACAGAAAAAGTTGGGCAGACAAGCCTTTGCGACCCACCGCTTCGCAGGCCCCAATTAACAATCTAGCCTTCAACAATCAGTGAAAGTGCACAGGGAGAAGACTGTCATTAGTTTTTTTCAGAAAAAGGGCCTTCAGTCTGCTTACATTATTGTTGGAACGAGGGTACAAACCATACGTAAATGGGTATGTTTTTTACTTGGGGCCCTTTGCTGGGCATCATTGAAGTGGGGATTCATCTCCGCCAACTACTTTTCAGGTGGTTCCCCTACTGAAAACAAAACATCCCGCGAAATGAGCCACAATCAAAACCCGGGTAGAGGAAGGTTAGTAAGGGACAATCCCAACCATAAATAGCTGCGGATATCCGCCTTCTTAATTCTTTACACGGTTCTGGGTAGACCATGTTAATACGGGTATGAGTCAAAGTTAAACCACAAGGGGACCGCAGGTTTTAGTCCTCAAATGGACTCAAGTCACGATTTCCTTGCCCAGGAAGTACGTGGAGGCGCCTCTTCTGATCGGCGGCAAGAAGTTTGCCCGCGCCCCAGGTGCCCCAAAAATTGGCCTCGGGTTCCTTCTAGTATTTCCCCTTTGGATTCGTGTACACGTCACCTGTTGGGTGTGGGTCAAAATTAAACCGCCAGGGGACCACCTGTTTTAGTCATGGGTTCCATTTGACAGGGTTTTATTTTGGGTACTCCCCCAGCTAGGTGCCCTTCTCACCGATTCTTTTTTGGTTGGGAGGGTTCCCCAACCAAAATAGACTACAGAAGAAACACAATGGTACCCTTTTTCTAACCTCTCTATTGGAGGACCCAGCCTTTGGATTCGTGTACACGTCACCATTTGGTGATCAATTTGCAAGTGAGTCTCCTTTGGGTTTCATTTTTTCAACAGGAAATCTAGGGACTCTGGAACCTGTGGATGGTGGCTTCACTGTCCACTGCTTTGCCCTAGAGGCTTGCTTCGCCCTGCCCGCAGTCCTTGGAAACCGCTGGACCCATTTTCAACCAATCCCACTGGAGAGATGTTTTCCATAGGCTGGAGGCGAAAAAGCAACTGGGGGTCCCTCCGCAAAAGCAAAGGGGCCAACAGCTTCATGGCGAGCTAAGCAACTGCGCTGCCGCACTGGACGAAAATCGAAAATCGAAAAGCAAGCAAAGGCCAGCTTAGGGAATGAGACATGGAATGAAGCTGGGGATTCCCGAAGAATGGAGACCATGGCTTGGTGGCTCCCAGCCAGCCATCCGGTCGCTTAGCTTTTTAGATCCTTTTAGTGTTTAGTGGTAGTTTCCGAATTTAACCCACTAAAAGTTCTCAAGTTTTAGCGGGGGATCTGAGGGCAGCCCAGATAGGATGGATGGTGTATAGGGGTCATTCCATTTCTCATTCCCTGCTGAGTACCAGCAAGAAGATTCCTTTTGTAGCTGCCAGCCCATAGGATTTGAAAGGGCAACAGGTTTTGGCCAAAATACCTCATCCATTTCTGGCACTCGCCAGAACCCGCAGAAGATCAACAAACAATTAGAACCAGAACTTTAGATACAAGTCAGCTATTGCCAATACTTCTTCCATTACATCCCACCCTTTACAGTCTGATGCGGTTTGCTTTTCACAGCTACAGGGACAGCTCCCAGTTCCCCTCCCCTCCCTACAAAACTTTTCCCCGGAATATTGAGGTCTTCAGCCTGAGCAGCCTCCCTTCTTTTGTATAGCTATCCCAATCACATAGGGAGATAGGAACCGGAGACGACCGAATTCATGTGCACCAGAAAAACCCTCCAGGATCGATAGTTTGTTGGACCTTGTCGACCTGAGGGGGAGGTTTACTCATGAGGGATAAACCTGCATGTTATAGCCTAAGTGGAAGGTGCATGATCTAAGTAGTGCTCTGGCGTTGTGAGCACGTTGGTTTCCTGTTGTGGGCAAAGCGGTTCAATCCAGGCCTTTCAATTTGGCGGACATGGGGTGAGCTTGGCTGCAACTATAGGCTTGTCTTAACATATTGTGGCTGGACGAAATCCATTTCGCTCCACTTTGAAACCAAGGAATGATGATTCCCCTGAAAAACCCGGAAACAATGCTTTCCCACGGTACCCACACCCACCCCCACCCCCCCAATCGAATCATTCGAGGCTTTCTGAACGGCGCGTTGCGAATCGGATTTCGCGTTTCCATCCACAGATTTGGACCCTTGGCTTCCCTCCCAGCGGGTGCCGAGCCTGAGCACGCTGGCGCGAAGGATATGCGCCTCTATGTCTGCGTCACCAGCTACCATCCGCTGACGGCCATACCCTCAACCCGTTTGTTTTTGTTGTTGTTGTGTTTCTTTTCTTTTTCTCTTTTTCTCTCTTTTTGTTCCGCACAGGCTGTGTCTTTTTGGCCCCCCGTTGGGGTGGTTTCAAAGGGAGACCAAAAGAAAAGATGGCCACTTTGGGATTCCCGGTTTGGAGACAGACCCAAACTTCAGGATGTTTATTCTTGAGTAGAAAGTCTTTGTTTCGTGATCTAGGGTTGAGCCAATGAATAGGGAAAGGCAATCCTTCTTGCTGTAGGCAATGTCTTGATGGGTGCGGACATGTGTGGATTTGTTGCATTGATTCTCAGAAAGTTTGCGCTGATCCGATCGAATCTTGCTAGTGTGTTAATAGCAAGGAGAGGAGATTGATAAGTAGTAAGCATTGATCGCCGATGTCAACCCGGACTCGGCCCAAGATGTTGGCAATTTCTTGGGGCTGTCAAGGTCGAGCACCAAATCCCTCTGATTTTGAACCCAGCTGTCTGAGGTGTACATGCATCGCGGGGGCTTCTGCCGTTTCTCCATGTCCAGATATTCTTCCGATGCCCAGACGCAATGAGCTCCACTTGCGGGTGAACGACATGGAACCTTTTGCTGATTCCTCTCATGTATGAGCAAATTTCCCAAATTGCTGGTTTGTTCTGGGGCACGAGAAGAGGGGCCCACCCAAATATTTCAACCGCAAGATCCAGGGGGCTGATCAGCACCCATTTTGCCCATGCCCTCGGAAGACAGATCCTTTCTAATCTTCCCCAGTCCTTCAGCAAAAAATTAAGTCGAGCTTCCCAGACGACATGTGCAAATGATGGCTCCGTTTCAAGGAGCCCAAAAAAGGGCGGCCCCGTGGCTTCCAAAAAACCCGCGGACCGAAAGCTTGGGCTTCGGGTTCGGGGGAGGTGGACTCGCGCCGTGTAATTTTTGAAGTGGGTGGTGACCCAGGGCGAAATTATTCTTGAGATCGAAGGATTAACTTTTCACCAACCTGAGAAGGGATACCCGGAAAAAAATAAAATAATAATATTACAAATAAACAAAAACAACAATCCAGCGTACATATTCAGTACTCGCATTGCTGTTTTGGACCGGCCATGCAGCAATGCTCAAAAATGGCAAAGCACATCACGTTGCTCGCAACGCGGATCGTTTTCAATGTCTTGCAATTGGCCGCCGATTCCCCACCAGTTCGAGGAGTAAGAGCTAGTTTTTCCAGTAGTGCCCTTTTGCCCCTTTTTTAAATGAGGGTTCCCCTACTAAAATAGACTACAGAAAAAAGTTGGTACCCTTATTCTAACCTTGCAAAACTGGAGGACCTCTCAGAGCGTAGGTTTCGGGCAGGATTCACGCATTTTCGTCGGCTTGGTCTAGTCTGTAAAATCAGCTCACCTGGCGGGTTTTTGATTCGAAGATTGACCCTCCCAACGAACATGGGAGTGCAAAAAGATCCTTAAGAGGAAAGTCATCTTTCAGGGGCCTTCTTGCACAAACCCATGTTGCTGGTGGGAGGGTAGGAGGATCAATCAACAATAAACAACCACAGGTGTCCTTTTTAGGTTAGTTTGGCTAAAGATAGATGGCACTGGTTTGGATGAGTTTTATTCCATTTACCAGGGCCATCTGTTCTTCCAAAAGGCCACCTATGTAAACAACCCCGGCGAGGTTTTTTCGGCGCGCACGCACAAACGCGCGCTGAGGACATGAGTAACCTCACTGCGCTGGGGTCGCACCTGACCAATGTGGCAGCACTCTGACGGCATCAGACACTCTTCTGGGTCCCCCAGCTAGGTGCCAACTTTGACTGTTTCTTTTTTGGTTGGGAGGGTTCCCCTACTAAAGTAGACGTCCAGAAAATAGAGTACGTTTCTTTTCTGGGGGAGGGTTCCCCTACTAAAATAGGCGTCCAGAAAAAAGTTGGTGCCCTTATTCTAAGCTCTCTGCTGGAGGACGTAGCTCTTCTGCTCGGGAGCGGAGCGAGCCTTTTTTCAGGTGCAGAAGCACAGCGGGAAGGCCGCCTACAAGCGAACTGGCGCCAAGTGGCTTGACCGCAACCTTTTTCATTTTGCGAGGTATGAGCGCCTGCGCCTTTTGGGAACGTTTTTGGCAAAAACCCTGGAAGCTTTGCTTTGTGAGGGGGGCTCTGTGCAAGGTGGGATGTGAACAATCTCAAGTCCTACCTGCTAACAACCGCGGGCCTCTCAGGCTGATCCAGCAAAGGCTGCGATGCCAGGGGGAAAGGTTGACTCGAGTCGAGCAGCGCCCAAACGGGCAATGTTGGCAGGTGGTTTTACTATCTGACTTTGTTGGTAATAGTCAATGGGTTCATGGGGGCTGGGAGGGAGGGTAGGGGGAGGGAGCCCAAATCAGCCCTAAATAAGGCCTTAAGGGCTTAATAAGGGCTTCATAAGGGCTCCCTTCCCCCTCCCCTCGCTCCCCCCCAGCCCCCAGGATGGGTTTGGGGCACCAACACTTTGGTGCATGTTGCTTGGATGTTAGGACTTGAACTTGTTGCCAACTAATGGGATTTCCATTAAACCACTAGAAGTTAAACTTTTAGCAGGGGAGCAGCAAGCAACCGAGAACAGTCAATGGGTTCTGGGCACTCAGTTGAGGCCGGAGTGGAGGTGACGAACAGGCTCTTCAATGATATTGAGGACATTGTGATCTACTCGCTGCTGTCGGTGCAGAAGGCGCTGGCAGAAACGGGTGTGTTGCTTCGGGGGCTAAGTTTATTGGACTGGTTGTTTCAAAGGAGTCCCCGAAAAAGTAATAATAATGATAATAATAATAATAGTACCAATGTGCACACAATACATATATATACATATATATATATATATGTACAGTGTATAATATGTATGTGTATATATTGTATCGCTGATTGCGGTATGCTCAGCAAGGTAGCGCAATGTAGATCAGAATCCACAAATTGGGCAGAGTCCGACAAAGGGACCTGCATGGCGACACACCAACATACCAACCGAGCATCACTCAAACTAGGTGCCCCAGTAATGCCCTTTCTCACCCCTTTTTTGGGGGGAGGGTTCCACTACTAAAATAGACTACAGAAAGAAGGGTACCCTTATTCTAAGCTCTCTACTGGAGCTAGTAAACATACAACTGCAACTCTCAATAGGGATGCAAGTCCTGCATCTCGGCTGTTGGATGCCGCTTGGGCCTAGTGTGTTTTGTTTGGTTGCTTGATGTTGCTGCACTCGCTGTTGCGGTTGGTGTTGCTGTTTGGGGTGCACCGCACCCACAGAACGTCAGGAAGAGGGAAACCGCCACAGCAATGAGTTTCCGTTTGGAGATGCGACTGGCGATTCTTAGTGTGTGACGCGTGCGCTGCCGTGTCTCCCACACAAATGCCATAGCGAGCTGCCACGGAGCACTCGTACTGACTAGATCTGGCGTTCGAAAGTGGCAGCAACGCCTGGCAACAGTTTGAGGGCGATGTGGCTGTAGGCTGTCCCAAGTACTAACACTGTTCTGTGTAACTTTAATGCAGCAGGTCATTGTTTGCATCAGGGTCGATTCTATGCCATGAAAGGGGTTGGTAACTGAACTTTCCACTAAGTTCATTGCGCAGGACCCGAAGTACTGGAGCTCGGGTGTTGCTTCCATCGACGGTGGCAAGCCTTTCTTGCCCTTTTGATATTTGGCAAGCCGTTAGGTCATGATCAACGACAAGCACTGCTTTGAGATGTACGGATACGACATCCTCATTGATGTGGATTACAAACCCTGGTTGCTGGAGGCTTGCTGGTTGATCAAGCCTGACTACTCCAACACAGGTCACTTGAGGTTGTTAGCAGGGGTCACCAACCCCTTAGCAAATAATCAAGCCTTGTAAGGATTCCTATCCGGATCGCTGGATCACCCACATATTCTTTGCGAAAGATCACTCTGACAGACAGAGTTTCTATTAGTTCTAAGGGTTGATTCCCCATTATCATGTTGAGAGTTTCACTGACCGGGTATATGGTGCATCATTTGCTTTCCAGCAGTCCTTCCTGGTGACTTCAAGGCTTTCCGCAGGAGTGGGATGCATCAGTCCCACCTGATGAGGGTTGACACAGGCCCACTTTCAGGATGATCGCCAGAAATGGGTACCCATTTCGCCAGTGCCCCAGAACTTTCCGCCTACCACATTCGCCCAGCAGGTGAATGCGTCGCCATCACTCACTGCCAATACCACAGCTGACTATGAGATGAAGTACGGCTTGCTAGATGATCTCTTGACGCATCTTGGTTGAAACAACTTTTTGCAGAGCACCAATCCTGAACCGCCCTAAAGTCAATTGCATCTAAGCGGGCTGCAAGCCCACCTATGCCCTCCCTCCACTTGGGGACAAAACAAAACACCGCAAATCCTGAACATTCCACACCCAAGCAGCCCCAACCCTTGGTCCACCGAGGCACTCGGAAACCATCCATCCCTCAATTAGACCCCAAAATAGAATCCCACGCCAACCCCTCAACCCCTTAGCCTTTCACAAACCTGAATCAAGCGCACCATTGGCTAATCAGCCCACCCTAAACCCTCCCTCGTCTCTGAAGCAACTCCCCCACAAACCCCCACCCTTAACCCTGCCGTAGCGGTCCCGAGCCCCATACCAACCTGAAAAGCCGACCCCAAATCAACCCCAGATCCAACACAAACCTGCCCCAAAACAATGTTGAATTCACCCTAAGCCGGTCACCCTTGACTATTCAATACTTTCCCAAACTCCAGTCAACACCGACATGCTCCTGTAAGCCTGTTGAATCCAACCAACAAGCCTAAAACCCACCCCCAATCCAACCCTTGACCCACCCACCCCAACCCATTTTGAAACTCGTTGCCTACATGAAGCGCAATTCCAAGGCAAATAAACATCGCTCGTAATCCCATTCCAAACCCGATTGCACGCACCCTCGACAATTCCAAACCGGACTTAATTCCATCCAAAACCCGACCCTAAACCCGTCCGAATCAACAATAACTCATCCCAAGCCTCACTCAAAACGCTGAACACCAGCCAGATACCCGTCCTAAAGCCAGATACACGCCCTGAACCATCGCTAGACGCGCACAGAGCCAACCCTGAACTTTTGGTGGCTCGCGTTGGCGTGCGGCATAAGAGCTTGATCAGCTTTATCTAGGCCATTAAGGAATGATTATGGAAATCCGTAGGCTATATCTAGCTTCCCGTTGGCTGAAGTCAGCTTCTCATCAACTGAGATGCTCCATAATTATTTCAACCAAAATTAGCTTTTTTGAAAGCTAGCATCCTAGACTCTGTAGGTTAAATAAGCTTACATATAAATTCAACAAGGAGAAAGCACAATTCGCAACAGTGAAGCTAACGCGCGTGCAATCTACTAGCAAGCTCTTAGAGCAATGGCAGGTTTCTCTAAAAGAGCCGCGGTATCCAGTACTTGCATATGGCCATGGTTCAAAACCAATGGCACCATTTTCGGATAGGTGCACCAATTTTAGTCTATTTGAGATGTTGACCAGGGTACGGGGTTTTGACCCATGGCCATATTGAGGGCCAGGGCCAGGGCATGCAACGGGGACTTTGCGCAAGGAAGCTTGCAAGTTTCACCGCTTCCCAAGATCTGCGGCTTTCAAGCGAGTCAAGGCTCCTGGATATTGAGAAGTACCTCACAGGGAATGAGTTGCAGATTGGCGGCTTCGACTTGCTGTACAAGGTAGGATTGCTATCCCTGACTGATTCTTCCCCCGAATTATGTATTTGTTTATTTATTTATTTATTTATTTATTGTTGTTGCTTTGTTGGGGTTCCCTTTGTTTTCCACCAACCAGGCAAAAAGCAAATGCTGGGGTCCAGAAACTCCAGCCAAGGGTTCTGGAGAGAGTTGCAGGTCAAAAGCCGTGGGCCATGTCCGAAAAGTCTGTGATTGATCGCTTCTGTGACTCGTTGGTGCTGCATGTCCGCGTTGGCTGAAGCGAGATTGGTATGGCGAATTTGTGCGGCTTATGGCGGGCTCGCTTTCCGAGTTACTTGGTTTGGGCCATCCACTCGAGAAGGGAGTCGTTTGGCACTCGATGCTTCAGCTTCGCACGCGAGGGAGGCCTTCAGAAACTTCAGCATGATGCTTCTTTTGCCGGTGCGGTGTGGTCGAGTTGGCATGACTCGGAGAAATCAATGGCTCTTGCATATGCCTATGCACACATGTTTAAACAAGTATGCATACTTATACATGTGGGCATTGTGATGTATAACGGTATGATTGTACTTGGACGAGAGTTCTAGACTTGCCACGTGCCTGAGACTGGACAGATGAAACGAGACATTCGTGTTTGGCCATGACAAAGTGATGACGAAAGCGTTTCTAGCTGAGTTCCCTTGCTTGAGTAAGCCTACGGGCAGATCGTGTCTTTCGGACTTGGAAAACATCCGTCAGGGTTCTTCATCGCGGAAAGCTGGCCCTCCCCTTCGATTGCCCTTGAATTCCTCCCTCCGCTTCTCGCCTTAGTCAGTTTGGAGCCCCTGCGTTCTGCTGCATTGCGGTGCCCACAAATGTAGACAGCTGGCTGCTATTTGTTGTGCCAATGTCACCCCTGGCCTGCTGCGTCCTTCAAATCCATAGCTAGAACTCCACCAAACAACGCGTCCAACGAATTAATGCTATAATATTTTTAGCATACGCCAAAAACAGGACAACAACAATTGTGGGCACCGCAAATGAATCAAATGGACGCTTTCTGGGTTGAGTGTATTGGTTTTGGCCTAGTACTGCTTTAGTCTTTTTGCATTGCCATGGTTCTGATTGTCTTAATTCAAGGGGGGCAGTGGACGTTGACTGGGCGACGGATCATGTGAATGACCATAAGTGCTACCCTCCCCATCCAAACCTAGGTAAACATACATGTATATGTTTAACATATGATGTATATATATATAGACAGATGTATAAGTATTATTATTGTTGTTGTTGTTGTTGTTGTTGTTGTTGTTGTTGTTGTTGTTGTTGTTGTTGTTGTTGTTGTTGTTGCTGTTGCTGTTGTTGTTGTTGTTGTTGTTGTTGTTGTTGTTGTTGTTGTTGTTGTTGTTGTTGTTGTTGTTGTTGTTGTTGTTGTTGTTGTTGTTGTTGTTGTTGTTGTTGTTGTTGTTGTCAGTTCATGCTTAGACATTTATGCGTTCTTTTCTTATTTGTAGATTCATCTAGCCCCTCTACTGCACTCGGCTTTTTCCCCCGCGGTTCGGTCGGCCAGGACGGATATCGTTATGCCCCACCCGAGGGCTCGGTGTTCACGTCCTACCTGGGTTTGAGCCTCGGGTGCGGGTCTGGAGCGAGTGAGAAGAAAACAAGGGCGGCGCCAGAAGGGATGCATGAGACATAAACATATATATATATATATATATATCATGAAGATACCTGGTGACTTGCCGTGGTAACTAGAACTAGGTCCCCCAGTAGTGCCCTTTCTCTCCCTTTTTTTGGGGAGGGTTCCCCTACTAAAATAGGCTACAGCAAAAAGGGTACCCGTATTCTAACCTCTCTACTGGAGGACCTAGTATATATATATATATATGTAGGGTTGCCTTCTTAGAGTAGGGAATCCCTTTTTGGATGGCATCATAAGTAAACCAAAAGGAACTTACCATGTGAATGGGTGCTTAGTCTTGAAAAACACACTTACCTTCCGAGCCAAGATGGCATGAAGGAAAAGCCCGGCAACCCAGATTGTCAAATCGGTAGGCCGGCTTGCCTCTCAAAACCCGGGCGCATACCAGCCAGAGTCCCACTTCGACTGCCGATTTCAATTGGTCAGACATTTGGCGGATTGCATTTTGAAGAGGGCATCATGATATATTTCCAGACTTTTCTCACTTGCTTCCTTGCCTTTTGTTGTTTGGCATTTTGGGTGTCCATCCGTTTTCTATTGACCAGCAAACGTTTTTCTTCCTTTTCGCCTTTTGCGCCCTGGACCTCGGTTCTTCCGGGGCCCGGGATCGTCGGTTTGTCGAATCGAGGCTGCTACAACAACCGCCTGTCGCAGCTGCAAAGATTGGCTAAGACGCGTGCATGGGAACTCAGGACGGAGGTCGGAGGTCGGAGGTCGGTTGGTTTTCGACATGTGGCTTCAAACAGGGGAACCCCGAACTGGTGGTTGTCCTGTTGTTCCTTGAGGGACCCCCCAAAAAAGAGAGAGACGCCCACATGGGCTGTTGATTCAAAACCAACAAAAAAGGGTACCCTGAACAAAAGACACACCCACACACCCACACACCCACACACCCACATGGCTGTGTCTCTTTTGAAAGACCTTTTGGTTGCAGGTGCTGATATTGAGGTGGAGGGAGATGGTAGGAGTTCGATGTACCATGAGCTTGGTTGGACGATGCTGTCTTTGTCGCGGCCACATCTGCAGATCTTGGCAACGTGGTACAGCGCAGGTCAGACATGTGGGTGCTCCAATAATAGGTTGGAATCAGGGGGCAGAATAGTATTTTGTTAGAGTTTCGTGATAGGATACATTGCTCGGTAGAGCCACAATGAGATGGGAGAGGTGGAAGGGCGCAGTGTTAACCAAGAACAGGTGCGGCCGCCCTCTTGATTCTTTGCGGTTTTTTGGGAGGCAACTGTTGCAGCAGGTTTTGATTGCAACTCCGATTCGGGGAAGTGACTAATTAGGGTCGATTTCCTCCTTCACTGTTTGGTTGTTGCAGGTGCTTGCCGCCCATGCGCGCGTTTTGTTGGTTGATTTCAGGTGGTTTTCCCATAAAAATCACCTGGGCGACTCAGCCCAGGCCCATGTATTCTTGATTAGATGGCAAAGAAAGACAACAATCTCTAGGTCCCCCAGTAGTGCCCTTTTACCATTTCTTGTTTGGGGGAGGGTTCCCCTAAAATAGAATATAGCAAAATTGTTGGTGCCCTCATTCTAACCCCTCTCCTAAGGGTTGATTCCTTTTCCATTCTTTCCAACCATCGTTCTTTTCGAAAACCGGATCCGTTTCTCTGGGTTTCCGGAGGTTTTCTAGAAAAAAGGATCCCTGGGTTCAGAACGGGAAACTAGAAATCTTTTCCATGTGACCAGACTCCGAGCATTCGACTTTCGACAAACACATCGACCCGTTGATTGCCATACCTTCGATGCGTCCCAACGGCATCAGATTCGGCACGGGAGGAAAGAGCAGCAGAGCAGCAAGGAGGCCTCGAGTCGTCAACTCAGCGTGCAGCCAGTGTCTACCTGGAGTCTTCATGAGCCTTACAAAATGCGGGCATCTACCAAAAATAAAAGGTCATATGACCCCTTTTTGGAGGGTAATGGAGACTGCAGATACCACAAGTTGATCCATTTTGGAGGGCAAGTGTGGGTTAATGCGTCAGTATGGCTGGCGGTGGGTATTTTGCCAGTGCTTTTAACCTCAAAATGACAAGAGAAACCAGGAGTGGCCACACAGGATGGCCGCCAAGCCATGGCTTGGCAGGTTGCATCAAAAGGAACCCCTCAAGGAGACCCGACAAAATCGTCACATTGCGCAGGTCACCAGAAATTGGTCCAAGCTGGACACCGAAAAGCCCTGCCTTACTGTGGATGGACGGAACCTGCACTTTGAAACCATGTGAAGCCACTGTTAGTTGGTATGTACAGGGGAACCATTCTTCTAGGATTTCTTAAGTGGTGCAGAATTTCGTCCATCCACAGTAGGGGTCTTTGATTGCGTTCGTGCATGCTCACTGGTCCATGAAGATGGCCTTGTCAAGCGGGCACCCGCCGCGAGAGAAGTGATCCTCAAAAAGCACATGCCCGCGAAAGTGAAACGAGTGGCCGTGAAAGCTTCGCGAAAGTAGTTTCTTGGCGGCGGGTTTTACGCACCAGCCGCTGCTCAGATGGACCCTACCCACAGCATCATGGTAGCAAAAAGCAACATCTATAGCTGTCCTTTTTGGTTGTTTTGGTAGAAAAATAAATGGCCCTGGTTTACCTGGTGGTTTAATCATCTACCAGGGCCATCTATTTGCCCTAAAAGGACACCTATGGCAACAACCAAAAGCAACCGATCAGAGTTGCCCATTAGGATTTGACTGTCAACTCGAAGCACCTCTTCTTTGATGTGCCGCTTGAATGATGGGTTGTTGGCCTCTTATTGCTTCGTGGCCGATTTGAATGTGTGTGTGTGTTTCCTTGGAGGGTACCGTGTTTGAGCGGTCTTAAAGGGACACCAAAAGGAAGCCACCCTTTTGAAGGCTTCCCGTATTTTGAGACACCATGTCTTCGCTCACCTGCTTAAAGCCGGGACATTGCTTAGGTTCGACGATTGGCGAACCGCAGGCGAGGATCACGCTTCCTTACATGGCTGTGGGTCAAAATCAATGGTACCATTTTATTTTATAGTTGATTCACCACCCATTTTAGAACCTATTTTAGTGGGGATTGGGATGTTCACTGGGGGTACGGGATTTTGACCCATGGCCACATGGTTGTGGGTTCACCATTTCTGTACTAGGTTTTGATTATGACTCACGCGCCAATGGAATGGTCCTGGTGCGTGGGCAGGTATCATTGCAAATCTTGTGACCCAACAAGTCTTGGCAAAAGGTTGGCTGCTTGCTACAGGCGTCGCTTTGGCGTTTGTAAGGGGCCCCGAAACGGGTTCCAATGATCGCTTGCACAGGACAGTCATGTGTGTAGTATGTGAAAGGAACCCATTTCCTGTCTTGACTTAGGATACATTTTGCATTTTACCAGTGGCTCCAAGTGAAGCACACAATAAAATATACATTCTATAACTGGGGCCAACTCTCATCATGATTTGTTAGACACCGTTCAACGGCTCACCCATATTTTTACTCAGTTGTTCAGTGGCACCCTTTTTCCCATTTTTTGGTGGCCCCACTCAAAATGGTCTTCCCCGAAAAGAGTTCCCTGTTTCTTTTCCAGGGATACTGAACAACTGAGTTTAAGACCCCACTTCGTAGAAGAGCTGCCTGTTGCGAGGAGGAGCCGGTCCCCAAAACGGAGCGCGAGCGCCGGCCTTGGGGAGCTGCAGGCTGATGGGCTGATGGGCTGATGGGCTGATGGGCTGAATTCAGCCCATGACTTTGAGCATAGGCTTCCCTTTTGGTGGGTTTGAGCCAACAAAAATCGAGGGGTTCCCCTGGTTTAGATGGTTAGTTTATGCGGGAAACCCATCGATTCTTGCGAAAGGCCACCTATGACTTTGAGACTTTGAGGCTCCGAAGCCAAGAAAGGGGATGGTCGACATTTGATGTTCCAGACCCCGAGCATTTGCATATGTCACACCCAGCTTTTTTGAAGTCCAACGGCCCATACTGTGAGAATTTGGATCAATTTGATGTTCCAGACCCCGAACAAATGTTTGGACACCCAGGTTTGTTCCCCGGATTTGTCCAAACTCTTGCCCCTGTTGCAGCATTCCGTTTGAAGCTCACCAACGGCCTCTGATGCGCTGGGGGAACCAATGGTGCTTCTCTGACGTCTCCTGTGGGCGGGAAGGGAACGCCTCATTTCAATTGCCATCGAGGTGGGGCAAGGTGGTTGGACACGCTGTTTTGACTCCTGGACTGTCATCTAAACGGCTGAATCATGTTTGCACGGGACTTTTCCTGAGTATTTCGGAGAAGCTGTCGCACCAAGAGCAGCACGCCAACATTTTGCTGCGCCAAGCCCTTTGGGCCTCGACTCGACACGCATTCATTCTCTGAGGATGACTCATTTTGGTTTTGAAGTGCCCCACAACCGTCTAATTGTGCAGGCCCTGAACATGTAGTGGACACACTGTATATTTCTTGGCCAGCAATCCTGTCAGGTTTTTAGCTTTATTGTTTAGCGGGGATTTCAAGGATTTATCCCCACAAACAGTTAGTCTTTTAGTGACGCAGATCCCAGGACAGCCCGGGTTTGTATCAGCCGGATTTCAGAAGTGGCTGTGGCTCAAAACCAATGGTACCAGTTTGGGGTAGGTGAATTCACCACCCATGTTAGAACCTATTTTAGTGGGGATTGGGATGTTCACTGGATGTTGGTACGGGACTTTGACCGATGGCAACGTACCTGGATTTGGCTATGGGCCAAAATCTTGTACCCCTGGTGAACATCAAAATGGGTGGTACATGTGTGTTCATCCGCCCCCAAATGGAGGCATAGGTTGTGGGCCATGTCAGAAGTACCTGAGTTGGTCCGAGTGCCCCCCGTGCTTCAGCCGGCCGAGGCGCCGGAAGAGTGCAGTGGTGGAAGTTGCCGACCCCGGGCATCCGAATCCGGAGGACCCGAGGCGGTGTGGGCGCCGCTCGCGCTGGGCTCTTGTGATGCTCATCCGAGTAACTTATGAGGTCAAAATCTAGAGGGGTGGAAAGTTCATTGGCTTCCTTGGGGCAGGATGTTGAGATGTTTTGAACCTTGAGATGGTTGAAAGCTAGAGGGGTGGAAAATTGACCTGGTTTCTGGGGATTCTCCTTTGCCAGGTACCCCATTTCTAGTGTTCCAGGATCTCTGGGGCAACCCTGCGGGAGGTCCGTGCTGCAGGTTGGCATCACTAAAGGGCCTTACGTCGAATTCATCCAGATCTTTGCTTTTGAGGTCCAGGTCCCCAAGTAGTGCCCTTCTCGCCCCTTTTTTGGTTGGGAGGGGTTCCCCTACGAAAATAGACTACAGAAAAAAAGGGTACCCTTATTCTAACCACTCTACTGGAGGACCTATTCCAGATCTTTGCTGTTGGCTCTGAGGTTGAGGATGCCTCTTTTGGCTTTGAGGTTGAGGATGCCCCAAATAATTGCCGACATACACAGCATATGATACGCAACCGGGCGAGGGCGGAATCGTGGCCAAAGCTCTTTGGGCGTTCAAGTTTTGGTGCCAGGGGCCGTTTTTCTCTGCCCGAATTCATACCCCTCCGAAAACATGCCAAAGTTTAGGTGTCAACCGGAAGAGCCCCAAGCAACCCTCGGTAAACATGGGGTTTTCTCACATTTCTCCACGCCAATTTGGTGTCAACGTTGGGGCAAGTTGTCACCGGAAATGGATCGCCAGGCTGGATCCCGGCTTCAACCCGAAGCCCCGGACTGTACGGCCCTTCCCCCCACCAACAGCGCCAGCCCGGGTGCTTGGCTTCAGTCAAAGGAGGCCTTGAAGTTCTAGGGGTTGATTGCAACCATGTTCAACCATCCTGCTCTAAATCCCCTTGTGTTACCTGGCAATGTTCAAGTCCCGGTGACAAATATATATATATATATAGCCGTTTTTATTGCTCCAGTGTCTTGGTGGCCGGTTTTCTGGAAAGACGGATCCCGGGACTTGGAGCGGTTGGAAGCTACCCTAAAGAAGCTCGCTAAGTGATGATGTGCAGTCACGACATGTTCATAGTTCATAGAGGAAACACCAGAATACGATTGTTTGTTTGCTTCCTTGCTTGATTGCTTTTTTTGCGTGTGTGTTTGTGTGTTTGTGTGGTTGTGTGGTTGTATGTTTGTTTGCTTCCTTGCTTCCTTGCTTCCTTGCTTCCTTGCTTCCTTGCTTCCTTGCTTCCTTGCTTCCTTGCTTCCTTGCTTCCTTGCTTCCTTGCTTCCTTGCTTCCTTGCTTCCTTGCTTCCTTGCTTGTATTTGTCTTGGTTGTCTTGTTTGGTTTGTTCGTGTGTTTGTTTGCTTTGCTTGTATGTGTGGTTGTGTCTTTGCTGCTTTGCTTTGCTTTGCTTTGCCTTGCCTTGCCTTTTGCCTTGCCTGCTTGCTTGCTTGCTTGCTTCTTTGATTGTTTTTTGTTTGTTGGCGGGTTCGTTTGATTGGTTTGTTTGGTTTGTTTGTTTGTGGGTGTTTGTTGATGCTCGTCTGTCTGTCTGTCCATCCGTCCGTTTGTCTGTTTGTCTGGTTGTTTGTTTGTGTGTCTTGTTTTGTTTTGTTGGTTCGTGTGTGTTTGCTTAGTTGCTTGTACGTGTGTTTGTGTGTTCATGAGTGTATTTGTTCGATTTGTTTGTGTGTGTGTGTGCTTTCGCTTTCCCGTTTTGATTGCGTGTTTGTTTGTGTTTGTGTGTGTGTGCCTGAGTTTCTGTGATTGCGCGTGCTTGCATGTTTGCGTGTTTGTGTATTTCTGTGTCTTGTGTGTTCTGCGTTCTGTGCGTGCGCGTGCTCGCGTGCCCTCGTACCAACTGGGCGCTTTGGATTCCTTGTTTCTTCGACAGGTATCTCCATGAGTGCCGAGACGTTTTGGCTCGGTCAAGGGCATCAACCAATGCTTTCCCTCTTCTTATGTATTCAAAAGCGCCAGGGATAGCGAGTTGCGTGTGCTTGCAGGGGCAGGAATCTGATGCGTTGATCAAGGATGTCAATTTGGGCAATCAGCAGACTTCAGTGGACTCATACTTTGTTGGAGTGCTTGTTGTGGGGGGGGTTGAGCCAGATTTTGCCAAACTTACGTTGGATCGAAAGCGAAGTGCTGGTCCAACTTTTGCTTGCAACCTCAGGCAAGCTGTGTTTGATTCATGAAGCAGTGGGCAAATAACGATTGCACCTGGGGCAAAAAGGCTCGCCCAAATTGAAGTTCCTTTACTGGGGGGCTCCTTCCTTCCGGCTCATTTGCCCAGTGCGTATTTCTTCAAATAGGGACCAAAATGTTAACGGTTTTTGGCTTCCATTCAAATACCAACCAGGGGGCTTTCTGACATGGTTTGCCTTTTCCACTGTTTGTCGGAGGAATAAGCAGCCCCTCTGTATAAACCCTTTTCTTGGGAGGCTGTTCATTTCAGTGGAAAAGACAAACCCTGCTTTCTGACTCCCAAGAAGCTCCTCTTCCATTTGCTTAAGGTGTTATTTTCCCTCGTTGCTTTTAAAGGGAACCTATCGACTGGAACTATGTTCGCATTTTTCAAGGGGGCGGAAAAAAAAGGAAGCTCCTTTCGCCTTTCGCACCAAGGCCGGCAAGTAGCCACCGGCCCAGCTCCGTTTCACCCAAGGCCCATCCGACGCAAACGCGTGGGGCAAAAGGAACGCTTCAATTGGGGGCGCCCATTTGGGGTATGTGGCAAAATGGGGCACCCCCAAAACGTGGGGATTTTGGTCGTCCCTTTCATTTCCATGTTTCAATGAAGTCTTGGGATCGGAGGGCAAGGCCTTATTCCCCCCACAAGGCCTTGAGGCCGAAGCTTCTCTTGGGATGCACCCGCCATAGACCCTCAAGGGTTTATGACTCGTTTCTCAGGGCTGTTGCTGAACCGTTGCAACCAGACCCTTGCAAGTCCTTTGGGCAAGGTTTGTTCCTGTGCACCTAACTCTGTGTGTGTGTGTTTGTGCTTTTTTGAGGGCACCCTTTTCATCTTGGTCTAATAAGGTGAAACCAACATGAAAAGCACAGTTGTTTGATTCTCCCTATTTAAGCATATAGGCCAGAAAGGCGCCGCTCATTCTGATGAAATGGAGCTCCTCATGCTTAATTTGGTTTGCATCTGCAGCAAGCATATTTGAGTTTCTCAAAAGGGCGGCCAACGCCCATGGTGGTTGCTCGCAAAGAACCATCCACCAAGATGTTGGTGCAGTTGGCTAGTCAAGCGCAACACGTGCCCTTTTGCTCTTACTAAGCAGCTTGTTCCTTCATCATACCTTATAGCAACATGACACAGTTTCGGGTTTTCCGGGGGGGCATTTGTGTCTAGGGGTACTGTAGGTGGCAAAACTAGAGTTGCTGATTTCCTGTCGACATCCTCCCCCCCCACCATTGCTTGTGTCTCCCTGTTTGTCGCGACCTCATGCTCTAGAGGTGCATGACTGAACCGCAGCTTGGGCCATCAAGCGGACTGCCAGATCCGTTGTGTTTTCTTTCCAGCAGGCCTTGGATTTTCAAACTGATTGGGTCATTGCCATGGCAATACGATGTTAGTGGTCGACAGGTTGGTTGACTTGTGACTATGAGTAGAAACCCAGCCCCGGTCACTCGTCTTGGTCTCCAAATTGGTGTGTTTTGAGAGTACCCTTGAGAGCTGCCTTCGAATGGAACCAAATCAAGCCTGCCGATGAGTTCAAGCCTGTCTGAAGCTTGCACACAAGCTTCAAGGGTTCCGGAAGGGTTCCAGGGCTTGTTTGCGATACCTCGGGTCATGTTGGCAAGGGTTTCCCTCAATTAAACAACAAAAAAGTAAACTACCCGAACATCACCCAAGCAATAAGCAACAAAAAAGTAAGCTAACCGAACATCACCCAAGCAAAAACACAGCCTTGCGGTTCCCTTCCAAATTCAACGCCTCAGCTTATCTCGTGCTTTCCGTTCCAAATCCATGATGGATGACGTCCGCCTAGATGGGAAGAGGTTTGACCGGGCCAGCTCGGCGCTCCTGGCAGTGAACAGCGGAGGATCCCAGGCGTTGCAAGAAGCCCGAAAGGCAGGGCCAAATGGCCACGGGTCCAATTCCAAATCGTACCCCCAGTGAACATCAACCAATCCAACCACTAAAATGGGTTCTAAAATGGGTGGTGAATTCAGCTACCCCAAAATGGTACCATTGGTTTTGACCCACATCCAAATGTCAGGTTACCTTGGTCACCCAGTAGTGCCCTTTTACCAACTTTTTTGGTTGGAGGGATCCCCTACCAAGATGGACTACAGAAAAAAGGGTACCCTTATTCGAACCTCTCTACTGGAGGACTTAGTTACCCGTAGTTGGTGGAGGGAAATTTGAACCTTTGGTGTTTGTAGACGGACGGGGTCTACCAAACCACCAATCCAAACCACTTGGAGGGGAGCTGACAATGGGTGTGGAAGTCCACGCGGGTTCAAATAACCATCCAATCCATCCAATCCATCCAATCCATCCAGTGTGTGTGTGTGGTTGTGCCTGCGTTTCTTCTTAAGGTACTTCAACTGCCCATGAAAACGGGGGGCCCTCAAGCCTCAACCGCTACTGGGTTCGATCTTTAGACTTTAACCTTTTTGGATTCCCTTCATATTCCTTTTAACCAGCAAAAAGTTAGGCGCTTGGCTGCGTTTTTATCCAGTCCCCTGGATCATAGTTCGGAATAGCTATGTTTCCGCACGTGGCGATTGAGGGGGCGACAGGTTATTAAACAAGATCGGTACTTTTTCTGCAGTTTGATGCTCCTGTTTTGAATTGTTCATCCATATTTCCTCTCATAGTTTCAACGGGTCTACAGCGCCCAAGAAGCGGTCCCCATGTTTCACCAGGTGGTCGAAGAGGCGCGGGCCCATCCCACCGCGGAGCTCGGGACCGCGCTCGCGAGTGCGGAGGCACGAGAATGCCAAAGGCTTGCGAGCGGAGTCGGGTGTCTTCTATTTGCTTAAGAATATTTGTTTTAACTGTTTTCCCCTGGTTGGTGCTCAAGGGAATTGATCGAATTTATCACTACTGGACATATATCTTTGTTTCTTCCATGGGGCTTAAGCAAATGGAAGCCGTCCTGTTTCGGTTAGTTTGATTAAAGAATGCCCAGATCCAACGAAACCCATCTATGTTTCCCAACAGGCCACCTATGCTTGCAAGAGGATGGGAGGATGCGTGTCTTTGGGGTTCGTTGTTTAAGGCGGGAAGGGATGGGAGGAGGCCGTTTTATGTGTCCGTGTGTGTTTTTTTTGCGCCGGAGTTCCCGGATCGGATGGGCTTGTATCTTTAGGTGTCTAAAGGGAAAGCGCTCTGGGAGATCTGGGCAAAGAGTTAGGATCATGGGGGCTGGGGGGGGGGGGGAGGGGGAGGGAGCCCAAATGTAAGCAAGGCCACAATAAGGGCTTAATGAGGGCTTTGCTGCGATCCCTCCCCCTCCCCTCCCTCCCCCCCAGCCCCCATGATAGGAGGCTGCCGTGCAGCACTTTGGCTTTCAGTTGGTGAAGGAGTGGATTGAGAAGAACAGAGTTCAGCGAGGACAGGAGTGGGCCGGCATGAAGACGTGGCTGCTCCAGCGGTGGCAGTTCGACTGGCTTTCGCGACCCAGTTTCGTCTGGGGCGCCTCGTCCAAAACAAGTTGCAAGGGACGGCTGCTTTTTTTTTTAGTTGGTTGCTTGCAGGAGCCCAGTCAAACACTTACTTTGCGCATGGGTAAGTTTAGATGGGTTGCTGAGACTGTTGGTTCATTGTGTGCCGGGGTAGGGCGAAAGAGCACACTGGCCATTAATTAGTAGGCTGGGATAGCGAGTTTTGCGGCCATCTCCAGTGTATATACAGTATGTATATATATATATATATAAATTTATAGCAGCGTTTTCTTCTCCCGACTGCGCTGGTTTTGGAATCTGTCACCTATTGTGCCTTTTGATTTATTGTCAGTTTGAAAAGGGAGACCAAGAAGAGACCCACGCAAGGGTCAGCCCATTTGGACCACCCCACTTGAGCCACAATCAAAACCCGGGTAAGCGAAGGGTAGTAAGGGACAATCCCAAACATCAATTGCTGCGGCCGCCTTCTTAATTCTTTGCATGCTTCTGGGTAGACCATTTTAATACCGGGTTTTGAGTATGACTCACTTGCTTTTCGACGTATGTCCTGCGCGCAGAAAAAAAAATCCGCATCTGAAGGTCGTAGCGTGGCAGTTGGGATCCAGTGCAGAGGCCCCTACGCGTCAGATCCGCAGCTCCAAGCGCTGGCTCGGCGACAAAATTTCCGGATCCCCGGAACCTTTGACACGACCAACAGAGTATGGGTGAGCCCATATTCATCAACCCCAGTTTATCAGTAGGGGTTTCTCTGGGTGAAATGTGAGGAATCATCATTTTTGAGGGGAATACCCGCCTAATAATAAGCTGGGGTCAACATTACTTGATTGACGCGGAAGAACAAGTGGAATCTACGAAAAAGCGCATCCCCACCGGTTTTCCAGAATATCAACGAAAAATGCTGAACTGCCTACAAGTCGGTGCCTGACGCAGGCCTTTGCTACATCAATTCATATTCGTGTTTCTGTACACACTCACACGTGCGAGCAAATACAAAGACAAGACTCATGTGTACCAGGTACATTTGAACAATTGATCCTTGCACTTGCAAGACCCTCTCAAACTATGTGGAGGCTCCCCACATGTTGCAAGGGTTGAACAAAAGGAAGCCACCTTCGAGACCCATTTCGGGAAACATTTTGAGATGTCTAAGCCACCAGAGCAATCATTCCCATACCTCAAGTTGCCCAAACCCCTTTTTGGGGGTCACCAGAAAAAATAAATAAATCCCGCAGCACCTCAGATCATTTCTTCTTTTCGCCCAGGCAAATATGCGGAGGCGGTGGTGGCTGTGGCGAAGCACGACTGGCCCACCGCGTGGCCGGAGCTGCGGGCCGCCATTCTGGCGCCCAACTTGGATCTCAGCAAAGCGGTGCTCAGCTTCTCAGCGCCCTGGAGTCCGAATGGATGGGATCCCAGACACAAGAAATTGTTGTCGTCTTGGTGTCCGGTTTGTTGTATTTTAAAGCAATCCTTCCTGGTTTTGATGGTGGGAAATGGGTTTGTTTCTCTTCTCTTCCATAAGAATATGTGTTTCCCTTGTTGCTGTTCAAGGGAGTTGATCACTACTCAAAATATTTTCGCATTTTGTCCATGGGGCTTAAGCAAATGGAAGTTCTTGGCTTTCAGCCCAAGCAAAAATTCCTTCCTCATGTTTGATGGTTGGAAATGGTCTTTAAGTTTTTGTGGGTGCCCTTTTCAGGTACCCTCCCACGGGCGATATGTGTCTGGGAAGGGAATGAAGCGATTTCTCATTCTCCATTTGCTTAATCAGAGTTTGGTGTTTTCTCTTGTTGGGTTTGAAAAGGACCTATCACTACTACTGCATGTTTTGCTTAGGGGGCGGAAAAGCAAATGGAATATCACTACTGCAAAATATATGTCATTGTTTATTGTTTTGTTTAGGGGGCGGAGACGCAAATGGAAGGAGTGGATGTGGGCTTGGGCTTCGAAAGGAAAACCCTTCCGAGACCCTACACATTGGTGTTGGTTTCTTGGTTTTCGATTTGTGATGTTTGTTTAAAGAGATATGAAATGTTGTTTTCTCCTTGGTTTCCGATGTGTGATACTGTCCTAAAAAGGTATGGTTTAAAGGGGAGCCAACAGGTTATCCTTCCTGGTTCTTGAGGGATTGGTTTAAAGGGAAGCCAAAAGGAGACCAGGCATTGGGGGACCTGATACCCATTCGTTGTCCCAGCGCCTTTCCTTCACCAATCCCTTTCCAGAGGGCACCCTACCTCTTCTTTGGCCTCTCGACTTCTTGATGGGGTCCAAAAAAGTGGTGCGGGGGGGAGAACCAGGTATTCCTGCGAATGAACCAAGTCCGCTTCGCACCGGTGAGTAGTGGTCGCTGAGTAGTACTAGTAGGGCTCATTCATTTTGACGTGTGGGTTCTGTGGGAGTTTTAACCATCCAGACTAGGTGTCCCAGTAGTGCCCTTTCTCACCCCTTTTTTTGGTTGCGAGGGTTCCCCTATATACTAAAATAGGCTACTGAAAAAAGGGCACCCTTATTCGAACCTCTCTACAGGAGGACCTAGCAGAGTATGTATTGTGGGGCCCCTGCAAACCAACTTCATTACCACACCCAGAGGGGATTGCGCTGTTTTCTGCCCAAAAGAACGCGCATTCGAGCAGCTAGGAGCCATGGCCGATGTCCAGATTGGTGTTGCATGTTGGAACAAGACCATGGACCCCTTGAGCCCGAATGAGGCATTGCTTCACTTGGCTCCCATCCCGGAAGCTTTTAAGCCTAGTGTCTTGTGGTAGTCTCCGAACATTTCACCCACTAAAAGTTATATCGTCACTTTTCGCGGATCAGACCTCGGGCCGCCGAGTGAAATCGGGGCCCTGTGAACTCCAGGACCTTTCTATCGGAGGACCGCGAGGGTCCGAATTTTTGTTCAGGTTGACCAACGGCAGGGCCGAAATTTTGAAGGGACATGCTTTGGAACCCGGATGTTTTTGTCGCCTTTAGAGGGCTTCCAAAATTTGTATCACCTGGAGGCCCAATATGGGGCTCGAATGATTTAGGCCAACCACGCGCCCGAATCGTTTTTGGGAGCGAATGATTTGGCGCCAGTGTAAGCGACTGGGCACTCATTCAACTTGCGCGAGATGTCGCCCGAGTCGCTGTGGCCCTGATGGGGAAAATGTTGTTTACACATTTGCTTAAGATTATTATTATTATTATTATTATTATTATTATTATTATTATTATTATTATGTTTTATATATATATATATAAATTTTGTTTGCCGTTTTGTGTCTAGAAGGAATTTATCACTACTGGACATATTTTCATTTTTTCCAGGGGTCTTAACCAAATGGAAGTTGGTGGTTCATCCCAGTCATCACCCATCCAAACTGGTGGACTTTGATATCCACAGGTGATCAACACCCATATGAAACGGTCTGCCCAGAACCACAGTGAAGAAAAGGCGGATATCCGCACCCATAAATTGCTTGGGATTCTCCCACCTTCATCTACGCCAGGTTTTGAGGAAAGGTCCACGAGATTTGGGCGTCGGGGGCATCCCAGGCCAACAGGCGGCTTTTGAGATCGGCCCCGCATGTGGCAGGTGTTGGATACTCATCCACCAGTTTGGATGGATGACTGGGATGAAGCACCTGGATGGATTTTGCCCAGGTCCGCAGGTCCAAATTGAAAACGGCTTGGCCGGAAAGTTGCCTCGCGTCTCGAGCGAACATTTGGCGGGTCCAAGTTGTCTGCGAAACCGCGGAGGTTTGGAGCCAGCTGGCGGAGTCTCTTTCCGACGAATCTCTCGGCGCCGCCCGGCGACGGGAGCTCACGGCGGCTTTCGGTCGCCACTTCGAGGAGCCCCCAGCGCCTCGGCTTCTTTGGCGAAGGATTTGCAAGGGACCTATTGTTGACCCCGGATTAAATTAACCTCTGTTTATTAAAACAGGAACATGTTTCTGGATTTAGTGGGGATTCAGACCACTTTTGGAGCGGAACACCGCCATATTAATACACTGGGGTTGATTAATCCGGGGTCAACATTAAATATGTGACATTTTTTTGTTGGGTGCTTTAGAACTCAGTCATGATTTTGGGGCAGACTGTTTGTAGTTGTTCCGGCCCTTATATTGATGGTGAGTTGAGAGAGAAAACCACATGGATGGCCTTTAGGGCTGGCCTTTTTTGGGGGCATCACGTCTACTTCAGGACATATACAGGCGGTGCGTCCCTCCCCCCCCTGTCCCGTCCTTGGCAGCTTTGCTTTTAAAACAAACAACAAGTCGTGGTTTGGATGTGGATTTGAACCCGGTTCCGTTTTGAGGTCCTGGTGTTGTAGGTAGGTTGGCCTCGGCAATCACGAAGTTGGCCGGCTGGAACCTGCGAAAAAGGAGAGTGGTTCGTGGTTTCCCCAACCTCCCGGCAACACACTGTGAACCCCAACTGTGAACCACACTGAAACGCAATGCCTGGAAACCAGCTGTTTGAGCACATAGCGCGCAGCCCCAACACTCCCGCAGTCCCTAGGCTTCTTGAATTTGTAAGATCATGTTCCTGGGCAAACAGTTTGTCCGGTTTTCCAATTCTCTCACTCGTCGGTTGTGGCAGACCCCAAGCGAGGGGTGTCGTGTTAAATCCTATTGGCTTAGTATTTCAAGTTTGGCAACCCGGCATCAGCTTCCCATGCGGAAGGGCAGCGGAAGAGATGCGGACTGGCCCGGGCTAGTGATACGTGAATACAGCTTTTTTCACAGCATAGTTCTAGAAAGAAGCGCTGTTTCTCCACTTCTCTGATGCCAGAAAAGCCTCCTTGACATGCAGTGTTTTGGGTGAATATAGAAAGGTATCACAGGAGTGGGCCTGTCACCCTGTTTCGAACCATGAACAAGCCACTGATACTTGTTGGGTTGCCCAGGTGAAGCACTGCCGAAAGCAATATGTTGTTGCCGGCAACCGGGGGCCCCGAAACTTGCCACGTTTGAAAGGAACGCAGTGCATAGACAGAAGTTGGCATTGCAGAAATGTTTGATGCCCGTAACAAGTCCAGGATTCACGCACTGCTGCATGTTCGACTTTCCAATTAAGACTTTTACAGTGGATCTTTCGTCGGAACAAGGTACTGAAGAATGCCACTGAGTTCCTCTCATGTATCATCAAAGTTGCTCAGGCCATTTTTTTCAGAGGCCACAAAGACAGCTTTTGACAAACCCAATGGAGACTGGAGCGAAGAGTGCGTTTCGTGCACAGTCGACACATGCGATTGTGCCGTGATTGCTTTATGCCTACTTGGTTGAATGGACTTCTTTCTTTTTTTTAGAAACGGGTACTTTTTCATTTGAACCCACAAAAAGCTAAACATGTTGCGGTCCACAGCAACCAAGCTAGTCTAGGTCCCCCAGTAGTGCCCTTTTACCCTCCCCTACTAAAATAGACTACAGAAAAAAGTTGGTACCCTTATTCTAACCTCTCTACTGGAGGACCTAGACCAAGGTAGTAATCCTTTGTTCCAATGAGGGGCCTCAGGTCTTCGTGGAGTTCCTGCAGCGCGCACTGCACGCCTTTGGCGGCGATGTGCAGATTTTGCGGGAGGCGCTGAAACTGTGCAGGGCCCTGCCGCACGCCGTGCCCGTGCGGCTGCTGCTGAAGAACAAGTTGGCGCCCCAAGCAAAAGAGGGCTTCAGGTGGGGTTCAGGTGGGCGTTGGCATGGTTTGGGGGTGGTTTAGTTAGGGTTTGGACTGGGGCTAGAGGGCCAAAACCCTCCGTATGTTTCACGGATCGATGAACCTGCTGGACTGTATGGTGGGGTCATTTAGTCTTGGGCTCATGTCACTAACTAAGTCTTTTTCCCAACGGCTGACATCCATGGGGTCTTCCAGATGGGCTCGGGGCCCGGGACCCTGCATACCAAGTACCATTCGGGCGAATGTAGATGGCACAATCGAGGGCTGTGAAGTTGGGACCAACTTTAGTTTGAAGGACCAATCTTTGGATGGCATTGCGGGACCAACTTTAGATGGGACCAACTTTGCCCAGGATCGCTGCGGGACATTGTCCGTAGGTGTAAGTCACATGGGTTTGTCTCCATTTATGGGAATTCTCTCTTCAGAGGGGTTACCTGCTGAAGAGGAGTCATGATGACGACCTGGGAGTCGATCCTATCTAAAACAGTGCTTTTTCTACCACACAAAGCAGGAACCACCATTTGTTGGATTAGGTTCAGGTGGAAATACAACAGGCCCTGCCGATTGATCCACGGTGGTTCCCCCAGAAGTGTAAAGCATTTGAATGGGCACACGCTTATTGAATCATTCAGGTTGCTTATTCTAGGTGCCAATTAATCCGGGGGGGTATTCATCATCCTAGGTTCCATTGGGGGATTGTCGCAAAATTCTAGATCCCCAAAACGGATTGCCCTTTGATTTGCCAGAAAACGAACTTCCCTGCAAACGCGAACGACAAACTGCCTGAGTCACCTTTTAGAAAAATTGAAGGCGAGTTTCCTTTAAGGTGATGTTGGAGGCCTAGCAAGAAGACCCTAAGGAGTTTTGGCCAGGGGACAATGTGACTATGGCTGTATTGAACACACTTGTTTGACCGGGAGTGTACATTTGCACTCCTTGGTCCAGTACTGGCATGTGCATAAACATAGGTTTCAACGCCCATGTACATGACTCTTTCGAAAACCTCAAGTCATGTATACATTGACCTGCGCGCCAGCAAGAGTTTCGCGCAAATAGTCATCTTTTCTTGCTGCGGACGGACAACATCCTGCACCAGTGGGTATAGGTGGTTTATCCCCGGATTCACAGGCGTGTATTCATCTCCACGGGTGCTCAAAGTGGATCTTGTCCATCCGCATGCCGTTTTTGTTTTCTTGGTGTCGATGGCTATTGAGACGTGTGAAGTGGGGCCTTCAAATTGAGGACAAGATCGTGGAGGTGGGACTGCAGTCAGAGAAGGAGCTAGCTCCTAGGCGCTAAATATCATAGCTCCCAGCCATCCCCTTAGCTTTTTAGCCTTTTAGTGTTTAGTGGTAGTTTCCATTTAACCCACTAACAGTTAAACTTTTAGGGGGCATCTGAGGGCCGCCAGATGATACATATGGGTGGGTCTCATAGTACGGGAACCCCAAAACCCAAAACAGGTTGGTTTGCTGTTGGTTTCCTTACCCACCATCCAAAAGGGGCTCGCCGATTTTGAGACATACCCATATGCTGGCATAAGTTCTTCTGAAGGGGGATGTATGTCATTTCAGTTCAGCATGTACTCTTTGAGAATAAACAGCAAGGAGACCAACAGGGGCAGCAAGGAGACCAACAGGGGGAACGCTTTGAGAATAAACAGCTGAAGGAGACCAAAAGGGGGAATGGAGAGTGTGTTATTTGTTCCAGAGTTTGTTCACCCCTTTGGGAAACGAACACCGGAGATTTTGGTTTTTCCCGCGGCGAGGCTTTGACCGCCCTGGCAGAGTGGGTCCAGAACTTGTGCCCGAAAGGAGGCAACGAGCCTGCGTCCCACGACTTGTGCCGACTGACAGCTTTGATGACACGCCCCTTGGCGATTTGCCATACGGCCATAGATGGTTTTTGTTAGTTTTTCCCTTGGCGCTACTAAAGGTGAGCTTCCATTTCGCGATGTGATGTTTGAGGAAAGGTGGGAGACCCTGAAGATCCTGAAAATCCATCAGGCTTTTGCAGGCTGTGAGAGTTGGGAGGGGTGTATGACATATCGCGACAGATCGAACCACTAAGGCCTGGTTCACGAGTGCAAGTTTGATGCAGAAGACTTATCCAGCCTCGGCTCTCACCAACAAGTGGCGCGCCTTTTCTGCGACTTGTGCACCTTAAACGCAGCTGGGATGTGCAGCATGCCGCAGACAGAGCTGAGCGCGATCTGGGAAGCTTTGCTTCCCGGCGGAGTAGCACCATGATTATGTCCTTTGTTCTGGCAAGAGTTTACGTTTCAAAGTCACCGAGATATCTAAACCAACAATCAAACAACAAAAAGTGCAGTAACAACACATAGTTCAACTAAGAAACACAACAACATTTTTTGGTTCTGCAACATTAATCAACAACAAAAACATAGTTTCCCGTGCTTTCTTCATGAACATTCGCTTCAGCGCCTTTGTCTGAGGCTTTTCCTGCTACGCTACCCCTGCGCGGCACTGCAGGTGGATACGTTGGCGGCCATGGTCTCCTTGGCACGCGCGAAGGCAACACAGCCGGCGCTGGAGAACTTTGTAGGCGGCTCTTTGCTTGCAAAACTTGCCGGTGCTCAGTCGGGAATGAGGGAATGAACCCAGGGATTCCCTCAAAGGCAAGGGATGCTTTATAGTGGTCATTCCCTCATTCCCTACTCAACACCGGCAAGAAAAGGGCTCTTCGACAGATGCGGGTAGTTTAGCCAAGCAACTTTCTTAGGGAATGGTTCGAACCATGACTTCGCGATTGTCATCGTAATGGTCTTTTGGCGTTCGTGTGGCGGTCTTGCGGTCTTGCGGTCGTGGTCGTGGTAGTACCGTGGTAGTTTTGGGAGGGCGGTTCCAAATGGACTTGGGCGTAATCCATTTTTGCTTCATCCATGTAATCCATGTTTGCTTCCATGGTTGAGTCCTGCGTCGGAGCTGAGCATTCGTTCCAAATGCACTTGCAATGATAAACATGTTTGCTATGCGTTTCTTGGAGCCCTGTGTCGGAGCTGAGCACTGGGTGCTCCAACCCTCAAGGAGTAGTGCATTGCTTATCAGTCTACTCATAGCCATGAAGTCTCCAGCTCCGAAGCAGTGCATTGTTTGTGCTGTTATTGTTCAAGTCGATCACAGAGACGAAGGAAGCACACCTTAAAGTCACGGAGCCACAGTGGGCTGGACTGAGTTTCCTTTCGCCCACAGCCATGGGTCCGTTAATAGACATCCTTATACTTCTCATGTTTCGTTTGTTCCCCTGAATATCGCGAGCGCACCAACCGCAACAATGGTGATGGGTTTTCCCTTCCGGTTGAGGACACCCCTTCAAAGCATTCACAGCATCAACTGCAAACCCCCCCCCCAACCCCCCCCCCCACCCCCGTCCCCAACCCCCCCCCACCCCCCCCCCCCACATTGCAACGAACCTCCCCCCCCCATTCCCAGACCCCCCCCCCCAATTTTGCAAGGAGCCCCCCCCCATCCCAAGGAGCCTTTGCCAAGCAGCACCACCAAGGCGCCCCCACCCCCCGCCCCCGCGCCAGGCCCGCTGCACGTGCTGCTGCTGAGACCCACGAAGGTCAGCGCAGAGCGCAGCAGCTGGCTGCTGAGGGCCCTTGGTCCGGTCTCCGCGCGGCGAGGCGCGGAGGTTTCGGAGGGAGCGTCGGTTTAGGGTTTCGGTTGAACTCCTTCCATTGGCTGAATTGATTTTATTATTATTATTATCATGATTATTATTATTAGTATTATTATTAGTCTTCTTCTTCTTACTATTATTTATTATTATTATTATTTATTATTATTATTATTATTATTATTATTATTATTGTTATTATTGTTATGAGTATTATTATTTTTTCGCCTGTTGGTTGCAAAGGGAATCTACCACTGCTGGGCATATTGTCTCATATTTCTTCAGACGTGAACGTTTTGCGACCTGAGCATTCCGCAGTCTGTGCGGTCGAGGCCCTAGCACCATTGAAGAGTGGTGGCACTGGATGAAAGTCACCGCCAGCGTCGAGATGGTGGAGACAGATTTTGCAGGGCAGCAGATACAAGCGCAGAGACAAGGCATGGTGAAGGTCCACAGCAAGGTGAGGGGGCCAGCGGGGAACAGAGGGGCCTGTGACTGGAGGGAAGGACCGCCAAATAACCTCTCGTTGTGTTGGTTTCTTCCTGGCAGGAAGTGGTTGGGCCTGCCCTGTGTCGCTCTCGCAGGCTGAATTTCAAGGTTCCTAGCATTGCAGTCTTGTTGCGGCCAGCTGAGTCAAATGCAATATGTGTGTGTGTGTGCGCGTCTTTTTTGAGGGTACCCTTTTTGGGTTTGTGTTAAAGGGAATCCGAAACGACACCATATAGCCTTTTGTAGGGTCCCCTATTACCCCGTATGTTTTGTGCGGTTGGATAATTAAGTCACAAGAGCAACTGTTCTGAGCTTCTGATCTTTTCCCACGGACGGCCCAAGGTAAGGATGGGTTGCCTTTGACCAGCCCGGCTCACGCCAAGAGATGTTCGAACCCTTTGCTTGTTTTCCATTTCCCCAACGGACGTAATTTATGCATACTGTGGATGGATGAAACTTTGCACCACTTTGAACCCAAGGGAAACCTAAGCGTTTGTTGGTACAGGCCAATCATCATTCGAGGGTTTCTTAGGTGGTGCGAAATGGATTTTGTCCATCCGCAGTATGTTAAAATATTTCTATAATCCGCATATCTGTTAGGAGGTGTGAGGTGAGACACAAACGGAGCACCGAGGGCTACGGGATGTTATGACCCGGTATGTGTATGCACTGTAGCTTTTGGTGTTCCAACAACACCTTTGCAACATGGAAAATGTCAATATCCGGGCCACTTTTGGAGAACCAACATGAGACCGTGGCAACTTTGAAGGGTTTTTTTTGCGGGGCAAATGACGTTGACGCCAAAACTGACGGTTGACGCCGCAAATCTGACGGTTGACCAGCGGCACGTGCAAAAGCGCCTTTGGGCCTTTTGAGTGATGATGCCCTTTGCCTATGGCAAAAATGAATAGAAAGGATTTGGTCCCCTCGGTTTTCCACTAATCACAAAAAGAACCTACCGCACCAGCAAGCTAAACGTCCCCTTGTGTGTGTGTGTGTGTTTTGTTTGGTTTTCCAGTACCTGGGGTTCGAATCACCATTAAAATAAAGGGGGTTCATATAATCGCCATTCTTTACCCAAGGAGTTTCATCCAAATTGGGTCCTTGCCATTCTTTTAATTGAAACCGCTAAAACTACAGGGAGTAGGGATGGATGAAAAAGAAGGGATCCAGCCTATCCCGATCGCAAGTCGGGATCCAGATTTGCTCCCCTTGGCTTTTCACTAGGGATGGATCCCAAGAAAAAAAACACGGCATCCAGGCCAGCTCAAATACTTCCAGACGAACCGCCTTCTGACAAGAATGGTTTGTCCGAATGCTCAAGAGATCTCAAATTCGCCCTTTTGCAATCCATCATTGTAGTTTCCTGTGCCTTGTTTTTTTTTTCCCCTGAATAGGTGTCCTTTTTGGTTGGTTTCTTTAAAAAATGGAGGGCCCTGGTACTCGATTTACCAGACCCATCTATCTTTCCAAAAGGCCACCCATGGGTGGGGTGGGACATCTGGTCACTCCAGGAGCTGCTCTGCGCCTGCGATGCTTCCGGCTTCGAGGCGCTGTGCCGCTGCGCCGGGGGGCTGCTGGCCAGGGCCTTGGCAGGGGACGACGGAGGCGCGGAAATGGAAGCGGAAGCCGGGTGGCAGATGTCGGAGCAGTGTTGTTAAAGATATGGAAGAGGGCCAAAAAGGAGGTGGTGAGTTTTGTGAACAAAAGGAAGAAGGGCCAAAAGGAGGAGGTGGTGAGTTTTGTGAACAAAAGGAAGAAGGGCCAAAAGGAGATGGTGAGTTTTGTGAACAAAAGGAAGAAGGGCCAAAAGGAGGAGGTGGTGAGTTTTGTGAACAAAAGGAAGAAGGGCCAAAAGGAGATGGTGAGTTTTGTGAACAAAATGAAGAAGGGCCAAAACGAGGTGGTGAGTTTTGTGAACAAAAGGAAGAAGGGCCAAAAGGAGGTGGTGAGTTTTGTGAACAAAAGGAAGAAGGGCCAAAAGGAGATGGTGAGTTTTGTGAACAAAAGGAAGAAGGGCCAAAAGGAGGTGAGTTTTGTGAACAAAAGGAAGAAGGGCCAAAACGAGGTGGTGAGTTTTGTGAACAAAAGGAAGAAGGGCCAAAAGGAGGAGGACACAAGGAAGAAGGGCCAAAAGGAAGTGAGTTTTGTGAACAAAAGGAAGAAGGGCCAAAAGGAGGTGGTGAGTTTTGTGAACAAAAGGAAGAAGGGCCAAAAGGAGGAGGACACAAGGAAGAAGGGCCAAAAGGAGGTGGTGAGTTTTGTGAACAAAAGGAAGAAGGGCCAAAAGGAGATGGTGAGTTTTGTGAACAACAGGAAGAAGGGCCAAAAGGAGGTGAGTTTTGTGAACAAAAGGAAGAAGGGCCAAAAGGAGGTGGTGAGTTTTGTGAACAAAAGGAAGATGTTGAAATATGTAGCCCAATACGCATGTTTTCATATACAGTTGTACAGTTGAGACTACTGACATGTTTTGGCTCAAGAAAATAAGGCGCTCCGAAGCGGCCAAGTAGATTTTCATGGTAGCGGGGAGCAGTAAAGGTTCAGAGCTTAGCGCGGCGGGAACGCGGCGATTTGTGCGATTGCGGTTTGCGATTTCTGCGAGCCCAAGGCAAATCGCAGCGATTTGGGGAATAGTAGTTATAGTTTCAGGGGATATGTGCTAAGCTTGGTTGGCTATGGTTGGGTGTCGAAGCAGAAAACGATTTTTGGTCAGGGTAAGGCAAAATGGGTTTGGGAGCGATGTTTGCTTTTGTGGTGTGGGTAGACTGAGAGGCGGCAGGTGCGCAAGGCTCTAGAAAATGGGTTTGGCAGTGTTCCGATTTCTGCAACAGTTGCCAGGCATGCGCTTCAGTGGGCTCTCCAGCCATTGGTCATCTTGTCTATTTTAGGCTTGCGACAGTTGTCTGTGTTGTTGCGCAGAGTTTCACTCCAGGCAGGGGGGCAAGGCTGTCTCAATGTAGAAGAAACTGACAGTTGTCAGATGCGTTGAATAGCCACAACAACATGCCTTCATATGCTTGTCCAGATTGAGGTAGTTTGTCAAAGTACCCATGGAGGGTCTGCAAGCAGCGGGCCACTTGCCGGAGCTTGTACAGAAGCTGCGAGAGGTGGAGAAGTGCCCTATCCCAAAGGGCTTGGCGGATTCAGTGAAGGATCTTTTGACAGCGCGCTTCAAGTTCTGCCAGGGCATAGAATCCGGGAAGCGCTTTGTCTTGTGCAGGCGTTGTTCATGGTCATCCCAAGCTTCCGGGGTGGTGCGGCCGATAGAACACGCGCTACATCAGGCTGAGCTCCGCGCAGATCGCCTGGAAGCCTGGCTCCAAGAAAGGGTATACCATTCAATGAGGCAACTAAGAAGGACTTGCAGGCTCAGCGGAGGTTGGGGAACAGGACGGCTCCGTGCTTTGGCCAAACGAGAAGCTGTGATGCAATGGGACAAGGTCGCAAAGCCCGAAATCGATTTTTGGTGTTGGAAAATCGTTTCTGGGAGTTCTTTTTGCTTTCGACGGCTCAGGTGCAAGCAGCTGTGCCTCTCTCAGAGATGCCAGCCTATGCGGCAGCAGGAGTCGCTGTTGCCCAGTTTTGGCAGAAAGTTGCCCAACTGCCAGCAGCGACGGAAGAGCTACTGGCTGCTCACCCTGATGCTCGCCCAGCCGTTTTGAGCAAGGAGTGCTTAGAGGAAGCACGCCGTCTCCACGCTGCGGCCGTGGCGGTGAGTGGGATGTGTGTTCGCAGTGCAGAGCATCCCTTGTGGAAGGCAATGCTCCAACTTTTGCAGCCAGATTACAGCGTGCCCAGTCCTCGGCAGGTGGGTCGCGAGCTGACTGCCCTGACCGAGGTTATTGACCGCGCTGTGGAGGAGTGCTTGGCTTCGAGGGGTCCATGGGGGCTCACGTGCGACGGGGCCACTTCGAAAGGTCACATCCTGTATGTAGTGACGGCAGAGAACGCGCAAGGCGACGCTCTCACACTCAAGGTGAAGGACGCGGGCTACGCGAAGAAGGACTCGAAGTGGGTTGTGAACCTTCTAACTGAAGTGGCCCAGCAGGCGAACTTCGAGATTGCTGGCTTGACAGCCGACAACGCGTCTGTAGAGCGCAAGGCGATGACCACACTGGTGGCAGCGGCACCCCATGCTGTTTCGCACAGGGTGTGCGGAGCACATGTCCCAGCTGCTGATGGAGGACGTTGCCACGAAAACCCACTGGCTGCAGGACCGCCGACGGGCAAGTGACTGCGTGCGATTTGTTGCGAATTGATTGCGTTTTGTTTGCGAGCTGTGTGCCCGGAGTTTTGCATTTCTTGTTGGTCACTGCCAGAGAGCTTTTGGATCGGCGTTTCTTGCAAGATGTAACAGGCAATTCTCAATTCCATGTTGGCAGCGGGCTAGTGCTTCAGCAGATCTTGCCTCCCAGATCGGGAGCCTAAACACGATTTTCTCGCTTCGAAAATGCCTTTGGAGCAATTTCATTTCCTGCTAGGCTGTGATCAAGAAGGCCAACTACTCGCAGCGCGTTCTGCAGAAAAGCAAGCGCTGCAAGTCCTTCATGCACGCTCACTTGGATCGGAAGAAGCCACGCAGAAAATTGAGAGTAGCGAGGCGTACGCGCGTCAATTCCAATGCAGAGATGCTAGACAGCTGGCTGCTTAACCAGCCACGTGTGTCGGAGCTCATGCGCACGGAGGACTTCAAGCAATGCTGGAGTGCTTCCCAAGCATACAACAAGAGGAAGCGCACTGAGATACTCAAAGCTTGGGACTCTCAGCCTACCATTGAGAGAGCCAAGAGAGCGCAGAAGATCATGCGACCCATCGCGATCTTTTGCAGGGAGGTCGCATCTGCGCCCTTGCCAGGCGCTTGGCTGCGGTGCAAGCGCAAGCTGAAGCAGAGCTACCGCGAGGCAGACTTCAAGGATCACACGAACAGCAAGGCAGAGCGCCTGGCCATGCTGGACACGGTCCTGCAGAGCCGCGAGGCGATGACCTTCCAGGCACCACAGAAAGCTGCCACATGCTTCGATGCCCGGCTGGTGGGGAGAGCTTCTGATGCTGCCTTGGATGCAGCCCTGGGCTGGAACTATGAAGAAGGGTGGCAGCAGAGCATTTCTGCCGCGCATCGGGTGCTGAATGGATTCTTCCCAGAGCCTGCCACACGAGGATTGGCGCTGCAAAGCTTCAAGCACTACTTAGAGAAGACCGGCGAGTACAGGCAGCTGCAATACCCAGGCCAGAGTGACAGTTTGCTTGCTGTGCAAGAGTGGTGGCGGTGTAAGCAGCCATGCCATTGCCTCAAAAAGGTCGCGCTCAGTTTCTGGGCGGCTCAGCCCACCCAAGGCAGGAGCGAGCGCGTTTGGGCGACTCTGAGCAGGCAAGTGCAGCCCATCAGGTCTGGCCTGAGTAGCAAAACGAAGGAGTGCTTGGCCAAGGCTCTCCTTCCCATCCGTGCCGCAGCCCGCCTGCAACTCCAAGCGCAGACACCGTTTTGCCTTGGAGGGCGACGATCTTGAGGCAAAGCCAGATGAAGCCACGCTCTTCTCGGAGGATGAGTGCGCGACCAGCTCTTCATCCAGCAGCAGTACGAGAACAAGCGAATCAGCGTGATGCCAGTGTCACTGGCTGCTGAGGGGCAGCTCCAGTGATACAGGGGGATGGCACGAGGGGAGCTTGCCGCAAAATCTTGCAGCATAGACTAGCAGATGCTGGGGGAAGAAAGGACGTTCCGCTCTTGCCAGGGCATGCAAACTGCAGTGGGCAGCATAGTGCAACTGATTGCAGTGACAGGTGAGAGTTGGGTCTTCCATGGCCGCTTGCTTGTGCTGGTCATCCTGCCTTGCACAGATTGCGTGTCGCAGAGTTTTGGCTGTTTTTCTTAAGCAGGGATTGTAGCTGCTAATCCACATGGCTCTCAGTCCTGCCCGTCAGGAAGTTCCAGAACGCTTGGCGTGCAATAGCCCGGATCCTGTCTTGGCCAGCCGGCAGAAGCTTCTCGAAGCTGCAGCTTCCTTTGGCAATTGGGATGAGCGGGTAGAGGCGATGAGTGAAGTGCTCGATGACAAGGCCCAAGCAGTCACCGCCAAGGCTCTCTGGGTGGCTTGGGCGGGGGGGATCTCGTGTGAAATGTTTTGTGCCCACGCTGGCCACCCAACGGGGCTCAGTTTTGCTGGACCACACGGGCTCCCAAAAACGATTCTTGTCTTGCAAAAAATCATTTTCGGGGCTGAAACAGCTTCCACGCTGGCTTCTCGACGGGGTTCAGTTTTTGGGGCTCCCTACAACCACACAAAACGATTTTCACCTTCCAGAAATCAATTTTGGGTACCGTAACACCTTGGCTGGTCACCCTTCTAAGAGTTTATCCACGCTCCCGCGTGTTCTTGATATCCGGAAATCTGACTTGCTGGCCCTCCAGCCTTCCATCGCAGATCTGTGTTGCGATTGGCAGCGTTTGGTGAGCGATTTGATTGCGTTTGGAAGCTCGCTTTGGGTATTCCCCTGCGTAGCCATTCCCCCGACAGCGCCCAGGAACGATTTTCACCTTCCAGAAATCATTCTCTGCAACAGCTTGGTTGATCGCCCTATTTATAAATGTATCTACGCTGGCCACCCAACGGGTTTTGACCGCACAGGCTCCCCAAAACGATTTTCGTCTTCCACAAATCATCTTTGGGGCTCTGAAATAGCTTGGTTGGTCTCCCTAGAAACAAATGTATCCACCCTGGCTACCCGACGGGGTTCAGTTTTTCGGGCTCCCTACAACCACACGGGCTCCCCAAAACGATTTTCGCATTCCACAAATCATTCTTGGGGCTCTGAAATAGCTTGGTTGGTCTCCCTATTATCAAATGTATCCACGCTGGCTAACGGGTTTCAATGTTTCTGAGCCTCCGATGACCACACGGGAACCATTTTTGGGGCTCTGAAATAGCTTGGTTGGTCGCCCTCTTCCGATGACCACACGGGCTCCCCCAAAAATCATTTTTGGGGCTTCCGATGACCACACGACCTCCCCAAAACGATTTCGCATTCCAAAAATCATTTTTGGGGCTCTGAAACAGCTTGGTTGGTCTTCCTAGAAACAAATGTATCCACCCTGGCTACCCGACGGGGTTCAGTTTTTCGGGCTCCCTACAACCACACGGGCTCCCCAAAACGATTTCCGCATTCCAAAAATCATTTTTGGGGCTCTGAAACAGCATCCACGCTGGCTACTCGTCGGGGTTCAGTTTTTCGGGCTCCCTACAACCACACGGGCTCCCCAAAACGATTTCCGCATTCCAAAAATCATTTTTGGGGCTCTGAAACAGCATCCACGCTGGCTACTCGTCGGGGTTCAGTTTTTCGGGCTCCCTACAACCACACGGGCTCCCCAAACTGATTTCCGCATTCCAGAAGTCATTCTTGGTCTCTGTATTGGCAGGAGCCGGAAGAGACTCCCGTGCACCAGCGCCGGATGATGCTAATCCCAAGGCACGGTGGTGGAGTGGACTTGGCAAACTTCAACGCGTTTGTTGCAATTGCAGAGATATGTTATACAACATGTCCTTTCATGGGGCGCGTGGCGTGGGCGGAGAAGTTGAAGGAACTGAAATGTGATATATTCCAATTTGGTGGCAGTCAAACCCTGAGTCAGGTGGCCCCAACGAAGGTGAATGCCAAAGGTGTGGAGCGCCCAGCCCATTACCGGCGGAACGTGGAGGCGGAGATAGCAGCTGAGCAAAGCAGCAAAGAGCCTGCGATTCCCAAGAAGCCCTTTGCAAGGTTGGCCAAGTGTGATGCGAGCAGCGTACCTCAGTCAAGATCGTCCTGATCTTTCGCACGCTGTGAAGAATCTTTCGAGGAAGATGGTCACCCCGACCGAGGCGGCGATGCAAGACCTGAAGAGACTGTGCAGATATTTGCTGAAGTATCCTGATCTTTGTCAAGTGTTTGGGAGACAAGCCAAACCCTCGAAGGTCCGTATACAGGTTGATTCTGACCATGCAGGAGACGCTGTCACTAGGCGACGCACTACAGGCATGGTTGCCCTCTATGGCAGCCATACACTGAAGCACTCAAGCAACGTCCAGTCGACGATAGCATTGAGCACTGGAGAGAGTGAGTACTACGCTTTAGTGAAAGGCGGTTCTGTAGGATTAGGACTTCAATCCCTCCTTCAAGACTTTGGAGTTGAGGTAGAGGTTCTAGTAGAGTCTGATGCAACCGCAGCCAAAGGCACGGTTAATAGAGTAGGCCTGGGAAAGGCACGCCACATTCAAACTCGTTATCTGTGGTTACAAGAACGTGTGGCGATGAATCATTTAAAGGTAGAACACATACCAGGCAAGCGGAACAGGTCTGATGTGCTGACAAAGTCAGTACCCGGAGTCCAAATGAAGGACACAATGAACCGTTCCGGATTTGTGTTACTTCAAAGCAAGAGTAAAGGCCAGATGAGTCTTCTAGATTCGTAAGGCCCTGGTCCAGGCTCCGACTACCGCACTGTATAGTTGCTGTGCGGGTGATCAAGCACCCTCCAGCAAGGAGGAGTGTTGAAATATGTAGCCCAATACGCATGTTGTCATATACAGTTGTACAGTTGAGACTACTGACATGTTTTGGCTCAAGAAAATAAGGCGCTCCGAAGCGGCCAAGTAGATTTTCAGAAGAAGGGCCAAAAGGAGGTGGTGAGTTTTGTGAACAAAAGGAAGAAGGGCCAAAAGGAGGTCGTGAGTTTTGTGAACAAAAGGAAGAAGGGCCAAAAGGAGGTCGTGAGTTTCGTGAACAAAAGGAAGAAGGGCCAAACGGAGGTTTCAGCCGAGGGCGTGTTTTACTGTCTTGTGTTCGAGGAGTTTGGTGAAACATAGGTAACTTGGTGGCTCACAGGCATCCGGTTCCTTAGTTTTTACCTTTTGCCAGGGGATCTAAGGGCCAAAACCTACTCGATCCTCCCAGCATTTCTCTCCCTTTCAATTCATGCGGCGGTGGGTCGAAAACAAGGCCCCCAAACGGAAGCCTGGGAAATGGTAGCATCGACTAAACCCGGTCCGATTCCTGGTTTCATGTTGACCCATACACATTTGGACCCTGAATCCATGGGACAAATTTCCAGGGAGCCCAGAAAATGTCCAGAGATGACCCTGAAAAAAGGATGTGGGACCCCATCTGGATGTACATCCGAGCGAATTTGGGAGCCCTGTATGCAAAGAATGAAAATCGCAGGGGCGTGGCCGGAAGAGTGCGACAGCGCCATGACGCTGGCGGAGGCGCCGGCAGCAGCGGCTCTCAAGGCCAAAGGCGGGACCCTCCTGTCGTTGTGGTTAACCCACCTAAAGCTCCCGTTTGGATGCTTGGCCAAGTTAGCAAGTGGTTAGTAACCTGGATTAAAACCTGCTTGGAAGCTAAAGCCATGGGACAGATCTTTTACTTGGCTAGGTCCCCCAGTAGTGCCCTTTCTCACCTCTTTTTTGGTTGGGAGGCTTCCCCTACTAAAATAGGCTACAACAAAAAGGGTAGCCTTATTCTAACCTCTCTACTGGAGGACCTAGCAAAGGCAGCGAGCCTTCTGTGTCGCTAAACCCACCTCTCCGGGGGTGCATTTTGCTTGGATGTTAGGACTTGTTGTCAACGAATGGGTTTTCCGTATCAAACCACTAAAAGTCAAACTTTTAGCAGGGGAGCAGAAAGCAACCAAGTGTCGTTGGTTCCTTAGCTTTTTAGCCGGTAGTTTCCATTTCACCCACTGAAAGTCAAATGTTGGTTTGGGGGGGGCCCTCCTGTCGTTGTGGTCAACCCACCTGTCCGGGTCCCTGTAGAAAAACTGTCCAAATCCAGGACCCGTCACTCAGGTTCAATGTTAGTGGACGGGAGGGCAACCATTTTTTTGGGGGGGTACTAAAAAGACAACCGGTTGGCTTCGTCTCAAGTTTGGAACTCCCAAAATCGATTTGGAGTTTCCTTTTGGCTTCCCTGAAGAAAAAAGAAATAAAACAAAAGAGTGGCTTGAAAAATAGCCGCGCCCATTTTGGGCAGTGTCCTTTTTGAGGCTCCACTTTTCAGTTTGATTTGAAGCAAAAACAAAAGGAGAGCCGCTATTATTGCCCCCTTTTTGACACATACACATTTCATAAACACCCGAGCAACTTTAAGGGCAAGCCAACAAAAGTTGGTTCAAACAATCAACTTGTTGAAGCCTTTTTTCCTAAGAAACAACGCCATCATAATCATCGTCTTCTTCTTCTTCATCATCAACAACAACAAGGTGTCACAAACATACTTTGAACATGTTGTTTCACACTTCAAGGGTTCAGAGAGGTTTTCCCGGAAGCGTGCACCGGTTTTCCGCTCCTTTCAAGGCGAGATACGCTGCCAGGTCCTGCCTTGGATGTGGTGCTTCACTCCATGCTGTCCTTCCTGCAACAGGCGCCATGCGTCGCCCAGCTTTGCCCTTTCTTGGGCCATAGCGTCGCATGCTGAAAAGCCATTCGGGTTGATGAAGGTTAGGGATTTTGGCCCTGGCCCTAAATGGGTGCGGATATATATTATTATATATATATATGTTATGTATGTATGGATGGATGGATGTATGTATGTATGTATGTATGTAACGTATGTATGTATGTAATGTAATGTCATGTAATGTAATGTAATGTAATGTAATAAAATGTAATGTAATGTAATGTAATGTATGTAATGTAATGTATGTATGTATGTATGTATGTATGTATGTATGTATGTATGTATGTATGTATGTAATGTAATGTAATGTAATGTAATGTAATGTAATGTAATGTAATGTAATGTAATGTATGTATGTAATGTATGTATGTATGTATGTATGTATGTATGTATGTATGTATGTATGTATGTATGTATGTATGTATGTATGTATGTATGTATGTATGTATGTAATGTATGTATGTATGTATGTATGTAATGTATGTATGTATGTATGTATGTATGTATGTATGTATGTATGTATGTATGTATGTATGTAATGTATGTATGTATGTATGTATGTATGTATGTATGTATGTATGTATGTATGTATGTATGTATGTATGTATGTATGTATGTATGTATGTATGTATGTATGTATGTATGTATGGTATGTATGTATGTATGTATGTATGTATGTATGTATGTATGTATGTATGTATGTATGTATGTATGTATGTATGTATGTATGTATGTAATGTATGTATGTATGTATGTATGTATGTATGTATGTGTATTGTATGTATGGTATGTATGTATGTATGTATGTATGTATGTATGTATGTATGTAATGTATGTATGTATGTATGTATGTATGTATGTATGTATGTATGTATGTATGTATGTATGTATGTATGTATGTATGTATGTATGTATGTATGTATGTATGTATGTATGTATGTATGTATGTAATGTATGTATGTATGTATGTATGTATGTATGTATGTATGTATGTATGTATGTAATGTATGTATGTATGTATGTGTATGTATGTATGTATGTAATGTAATGTAATGTAATGTATGTAATGTATGTAATGTAATGTAATGTAATGTAATGTATGTATGTATGTATGTATGTATGTATGTATGTATGTATGTATGTATGTAATGTATGTATGTATGTATGTATGTATGTATGTATGTATGTATGTATGTATGTATGTATGTATGTAATGTAATGTAATGTAATGTAATGTAATGTAATGTAATGTAATGTAATGTATGTAATGTAATGTAGTGTAATGTATGTATGTATGTATGTATGTAATGTATGTATGTATGTATGTATGTAATGTATGTATGTATGTATGTAATGTATGTATGTATGTAATGTAATGTCATGTCATGTCATGTAATGTAATGTAATGTAATGTAGTGTAAATGTAATGTAATGTAAAGTATGTATGTAATGTATGTATGTATGTATGTATGTATGTATGTATGTATGTATGTATGTATGTATGTATGTAATGCAATGCAATGCAATGCAATGTAATGTAATGTAATGTAATGTAATGTAATGTAATGAATGTAAGATAATGTAATGCAATGCAATGTAATGTAATGTAATGTATGTATGTATTGTATATAATACACATCCGCCTTGTTCATTCTTGTTGCATGGAGACTTTCAGCAAGGTCGAACAATTGTTTAAATCATATTATGCAAAGCCTATAAATTATACAACATATAAGGCCTTATGTATTGTCTATGTATTGCATTCAGCTTGCAGTACAGCCTTACATAGACGTTTTTTGTATATATGCTCATCCCCCCCGCCAAAGCCTACCTTTCCACTTCAAGATGTACAGAATCCTCTTACTTTAAAGACAGGGGGTGTGAGCATGCCTGCGTCTACCTTCATGAACATCTTAGTAGACCCAATGGTAGATGAGTTTGCACACCTGCCGCAGGTTTGCGTCGCTACGCCACGGTTCAACGTCCTCATCGAGCACCGAAGGCTTCAGTTTCTGTCGGCCTGCGGCCCCTTCTTCAAGCTCTGGAAAGAGGAGGCCTAGTCCGGATTGGGCACCTTTTCTTTGGTGCATTTTGCTTGGATGTTAGGACTTTAACTTTTTGCCAACTAGTGGGTTTCCCATTAAACCACTAAAAAGTATACTTTTAGCGGGGGAGCGGAAGGCAATCGAGTTTTGTTTGTTTTGCTCGGGGATTTGTGAACAAGGTGCTTGTGTTGTTGGGTTTTGTTGGGGGATTTGTGAGTTTCAAGAAGAAGGCCCAAGAAAGCGGTGAATTGTGAAAGGGGAGGCGGAAAAAGCAGTGGAGCCGCTTTGTTCATGTCTTGACACCGTTTCTTCCAAGCACTCAGCAACATAGGCTGTCACAGCCTGCGACAAAGAAGTTCCCTAAATACATTCTAATCAGGGCTAGTATCCTTACGTACTTTTTGCCTTTCTGGTTGCGGGAAGCAAACTACAGTACTAGACAGAAATTTAATGCTGCACCACCTAAGAACCCTGGAAGGATGATTTGTTGGTTTCCCATGGTTTCAAAGTAGTGCGAACGGATTGCGCAACCATCCACAGTAGGCGGGCTGGGAAATAGGTTTTCTCACGTGAGTCACAATCAAATCCCGGATAGTGAGGGACAATCCCAGCCATAAATGGGTGCGGATCTCCGCCTTGGTAATTCTTTACATTGGTTTGGGTACACCATTTAATACCAGGTTTTGATCAAGTGACTCACTTGATGAACTTCCGAATGATGTACGGGGAGATCGATCCCTGGTAATTCTTTACATGGTAGACCATTTGATTGTGACTCACATGGAATATCATATTTTTAGGGTCTGATCCCGAAAGGAGGTTCTTGAGTGGGGCGTTCTGTGTTGTTCTGGGCGGACCATTTGACTGTGACTCACATGTGATTTTGCTTGGTCTAAGGAGATACTGCAAGAGGCTTTGGCCCGGGTCCTGGCACGGCTCAAGGAGCCTAGCGAAAGGGAAACGAGAGAGGCCAAGTTGGAGCAGAGGGCCCTGGAGACTTCGCTGTGGAGATGTTGTTTTGTTTTTCTTCCGTTTTTTTCTTCCCGACATGGATCCTTTAAATCAGGTTTCCCTTCTTTGGTGGTTTGGATTGGTTTTTTGGGGGGTTCGACATGGATCACTCAACATTAGGAGGAACTCAGAGGGACCTCAATTGACATTTTGTTTGTTTTTAGTTTGGTGCCGCTTTTGACATGGATCCTTCAAATCAGGATACCCTGAATTGGTGGTTTGGGGATTTGAAACCCTGGGTCCTGTGGAGGGTAGATGGGAAGCCCCTCCATCCAAAGCACCAATCGGGGGGAAGCTGAGCAAATAAATTGCATCTTTACTTTATTGGAACATCACAGTTCCGCTACTAATCATTGCCAGACACAAGAAGCGGTTTGCCCTTCGGCTTTCAATCGGAGTTCCTTCATCTTCCCTTTGAATTGACTAATGGTCGCTTTTGCGCTGAGCCCATTTGTTTGGCCAACCAGCAAGTTGTGCACGTGGGGTCACTTCAATTCAGGTCTCTAAGCATCTTCCTTTTGTTTAGGTCAAAGAACACATTTTAGCCTTGACTACATAATTATGGGGGTTGGTCAACATTGGTTACCAATTCCTTCAGGTGGTTTCCTTTTGGCTTCCCTTCAAAATTAACATTCAAAACGGGGGTGCATGTCCTATTTTGAGAAACCTGCAGATGAAACCCATATCGAACACAAAATTGTTTGGGTTGCAAACAACACATGTTAGGCTCGCCTATGAAACCCCCTTTTTTAGGTCCACCCCATTTTACTCTTGGTTTCTTACCCCTTTATTGCTACCCCTGTTTTTTACTCTTTGCATCTCATGCCCTTCCCTGGCCAAGGATACCCTGATCGGGATCTGCAAGTCCGGGGCTGTGAAGGCACAGCACTTGGAGGCGAGTTGGCATTCGTTTGCCAGTCTGCTGCGCTGGTTTCCCCCCAAAAAAACAGCTTGGTTGTTGTTTTGGGCCGCTGGTTTGAGGCTTGTACAGTCAAACCAAAAGGACCCCCTTTCTAGGCCTGACTACTGAGTTGGATTTGACTTGTTCTTGTTTTCTCCATTTGGACATCTTGATAAAAGCTCTTCTTCGAGGTCCCCCCCCAGAAAAATATAAATCTCCCCAGCCCCCCAAAACAAAGTCTCCTTCCCCCCCCCCCCCCCCCACCCAACCCCAACTCCGCCAGGCTCTGAATTCCGAGTGCCACGCCCTGGTGGGCCGCGTCTCCTCGGGCACCGGGCGGGGCAAACTCATCGAGGCCCTGACGCTGGCAGTGGCCTCCTGCGAGGAGTTGGACTACCCCCGCCGCGTGCAGTTGGTGCAAGGCACGGTTTGGGCGCGTGTTAAAGCATATCTCGGTTCTTCAGTGGCACCAATTGTTTTTCCCCTTTTTGTTGTTTTTCTTTTTTCGTGGATGCCCCACTAAACATGGTCTTCCTCAAGAAGGGCTCCCTTTTTTTCCAGGGTCACTGAACAACTGAGATATTATGTCGGCCAAGAGACAACAAATAGTCTTGAGCGTGGCTTACCTGAACCCAAAGAACATATAAAGTCAAACCATCTATTTCGAGGTTTTGTCATACACCCAAATACACGTGACAAAAAAGAAGCATATGAAGTCAAACCACCTATTTGGAAGCTTTGGCATACACCCCAATACCTGGGGTGACGGTGGGACCGATTTTGGTGCAAGAGAGGACTGTGTACCTTGTTACTGGTGCACGGCATCAATCGGGTGAAACGGAAACCACCCCCTTAAATCTCCAAACTACCAATTAGAGAGAGAGACATAAGGCCCGTTTAGTGGGTCTTCTGAAAGTGGAAACGCAAAGGAGCCCAACCATTGACTTTTTTTTGGGGGGGGGAGTCTTGTTGGAGACGCGCCTTTTTGCCATGTTTCATCCCCAGGCATCATGGAGCAGGTGACGCTGGCCTGGCACAATGCGGAGACTCAGCTGTTCAATGCCAAGCTGTTGACCTGTTTGTCCCATTTTGGTGCATATCTAGTCTATGAACAATTTTAGATCCCAACCTGTTTTAGGTGTTCCTTTTTTAGACTCGTGACTGATCTTTCCTATTTTGGTCCATATTTAGCCATGAAGGTCCAACAATACCTTTTGACCTTTTGGTTTTCCCAACTTTTGGCTCACCCATTCAGTCATTTGACCTTTCGGTTTTCCTATTTTGGTCCATATTTAGTCCATGAACAATTTTGGATCCTAACCTATTTCAGGTTGTCCTTTTTTAGACTCATCCCAAAAGGTTCACCTTTCCTACCCAGTGGACACACTTGTTTTTCACTTTTTTCTCAACTTGATAACTCTCCCTTTTTAACTGGTGGCCCAACAAGTGCGCACCATTTTTTCGGCTGGTCACTGGCCAAAGCTTTGAGTTTCAGGTCCCATGGCTACTGAGGAGATGCAGTCGGCCAGCCCCAGCTCGTTGTTGGAGGCGGTGGCCAATGCGGCTGAGGCCTCCACAGCGCCCAGGGCCTCTCAGGCGCTGGAGGCGAGGGTGGGGCGGGGGGGGCGGGGGGGGGGGGGGGGGCTGGACCGATTCTCTGGACTCTTGAATTTTCGCTTTTTGGTCATAAGGCATGCCCAATTGGTTGGTGGACTGGACCCTTTGGTCTCTAAGAAAATGCATTTTTCGGAAACTCAGGCATGCCTTCCCCCCCAAAAAAGTTGGTGGACACAAGTTCACCATGTATGATGTTCGCCTTTTCGGTCCCCCAAAAACGCATGGCCCAAATGTTGGTTGAACCCAGAAGCTTCGGGGACTCCGGGGGCCAGGAAACCGGCCTCGCCCAGCTGAAAGATACGCGGACCATGCTGGCGACCTTTGTGGGCCTCGTGTCTCGCACCGCATCCGCAACTCCGGCCGCGCGGAACGGGCTGGCGGACGCCATCGTTGCCGAGTGGGCACCGGGGATCTTCGGGCTTCTCGGCGAATGACCGGAAGTCTCTCAAAATCGGGGGTTGCTGTTGTTGTTTTTTTGTTTGAGGGAAACCGAAAGGAAACCAACCACCTGGAGGAAATGGCGGTCCCTATTTGTAAGAAGCACCCAGAGGTGTTTTGTTGTTCTTGATGCCGGTTTCCTATGTTATCCAACTGCAAGGAGACAATGTAGCGGTGTACGTGCTTGCTATGCTCAATTCATTTCATGTTCGGTGGCTTGTTCTGGCCCCTCTGTACCGGAAACAGAAACGAAGAGTCTTGTCTGCCTTGCCCTGGGGTCACGGCAAAAGTCATGAGGCCAGTTGGTGAGGGAGTGGGGAGGGCGACCCTTGGAACTCTATGTATACTTTCATTTCCTTGTGGGGAACCTGTCCAGAACAATTGCATTCTACCCACCCGGGAAACCCTCCAAAAACTAAAAGGAACATGGCTGGTCCCCTGCAGGTTGATCCATGCGAGAACAATCTACCCGCAAACCACTTGGGGCTTTAACGGGATGTACAACTTTTACGGGATATACAACCAATATATATCAACTTATATACCGCTGAAGCCTCCGACAGCTAATATCAACTTATGTACTGCTGAACCCTCCAACAGCTAAAAGGAAAATGGCGAAGCGTTATGCTAAGATCTCTCAGGTTCCTTGGCGCGGCCCCCCTTCAGTAGCCACTACCAAAAGAAGACCTTGAACAGAACATCCAGACATCAGAAACAACGAGAGGTTTCAAACACCCACCCCAAATGAGGGGACGCTCTCAAAATCAAAACCTTCAAATCCACCTCTCCCCCAAAAAACAATCCCTTCAAATCCACCTCTCCCCCAAAACAAAACCTTCAAACCAACCTCTCCCCCTTCTTTGTCCGCTTTGATTTGTCCGGGGCTTCGGCTCGAAGCTCGAGGCTGCTGCTGGCGCTGTGCCAGCTGTTCCTGGCGGCGCAGGCGGCCGAGGAGCCGACCAGGAGCCTCGTGCTGGTGCCCAGCCGCGCGGAGGTGGAGTCCATGGTGGGCCACACGTTGAGCCATGAAGAGGATGAGGAGAGAGATGGTGGGGTATGGGTCAAAATACCACCACCAGAAAATCTTTGGTTTTCTTGGGTTCCATTTTGGGGACGCATTTTTCACCCATAGCTAGATGGGGACCGCGAGGTTTTTTTTGGTCCATATCTCTGGTATTGTATGACAGATTTGTGTGGGTCAAAATGAAAACCAAGAGACTGCAAGGTTCTGGTCCATATCTCCGGGTCAAAATTAATTCCCATGGCTCCGGCGGAGAAGGTGGAGGCATCAGGCTGGAGTCTGTGGCAGGCCGAGGAGACGAAGCTATAGGGACCGCAAGGTTTCTTAGTCCATATCTCTGGTATTACTAGGGATCCCCAGAAAAGGGTCCCTATTTTTGACACACAGGTAGATGATGACTTCCAACGACTTGGTCCGCTTAATCCTTCCGCTTGTTGAAAGGAATAGGTTCTACGTTTGCTTGCTGGCTTTAAGGGGAATTGTATTTGTTCAGGGGCGCTTAAGCAAATGGAAGCCTACAATTCGTGTTCGTAACTCTTTTAGGCGAGTGACGCAAGATGGAACAAAATCAGAGCTCTCTTTTGGTATACTCCATACTTGCGAACCTGTCTTTCTTGTTTTTACTATCCCCGGCTCGGGGCTTAACCCCGGCCAGGGGGGTTGGTGGGTGGGTGGGTGGGTGGGTGGGTGGATGGGTGCGTGGGTGGGTGGGTTGGTTGGTTGGTTGGTGGGTGGGTGGGTTGGTTGGTGGGTTGGTTGGTGGGTGGGTGGGTGGGTGGGTTGGTCGGTTGGTTGGTGGGTGGGTGGGTGGGTTGGTGGGTTGGTTGGGTGGGTTGGTTGGTTGGTTGGTTGGGTGGGTTGGTTTGGTTGGTGGGTTGGTTGGTTGGTTGGTGGGTGGGTGGGTTGGTCGGGGGGTGGTTGGTTGGTGGGTTGGTGGGTGGTTGGGTGGGTTGGTGGGTTGGTTTGGGGGTGGGTTGGTTGGTTGGTTGGTGGGTGGGTTGGTTGGTTGGTGGGTTGGTGGGTGGTGGGTGGGTGGGTGGGTGGGTGGGTTGGTTGGTTGGTGGTTGGTGGGTTGGTTGGGTGGAGTGGTGGGTTGGTGGTTGGTTGGCTGGGTTGGTTGGTTGGTTGGTGGGTGGGTTGGTTGGTGGGTTGGGTGGGTGGGTGGGTGGGTGGGTGGGTTGGTTGGGTTGGTTGGGTGCGTGGGTGGGTGGTGGGTTGGTGGGGGTGGGTGGTTGGTTGGTTGGTGGGTTGGTTGGGTGGGTTGGTCGGTTGGTGGTGGTGGGTTGGTGGGTGGGTGGTTGGTTGGTGGGTTTGGTTGGGTGCGTGGGTTGGTGGGGGGGTTGGTGGGTGGGTGGTTGGTTGGTTGGGTTGGTTGGTTGGTGTGGTGGGTGGTTGGTGGGGGGTTGGTTGGGTGGGGTTGGTTGGTTGGTGGTGGTGGGTGGGTTGGGTTGGTGGGTTGGTTGGTTGGGTTGGTTGGTGTGTTGGTTGGTTGGTTGGTGGGTGGGTGGTTGGTTGGGTTGGTGGGTGGGGTTGGTTGTTGGTTGGTTGGTTGGGTTGGTTGGTTGGTTGGGTGGGTGGGTGGTTGGTTGGTGGTTGGTGGGTTGGTTGGTTGGTGGGTGGGTTGGTTGGTGGGTGGTTGGTTGTTGGTGGGTGGGTGGGTTGGTTGGTGGGTTGGTTGGGTGGGTGGGTTGGTTGGTTGGTTGGTGGGTGGGTTGGTTGGTGGGTTGGTTGGGTGGGTGGGTTGGTTGGTTGGTTGGTGGGTGGGTTGGTTGGTTGGTGGGTTGGTTGGGTGGGTTGGTTGGTTGGTGGGTGGGTGGGTTGGTCGGTTGGTTGGTGGGTGGGCGGGTGGGTGGGTGGGTTGGTTGGTGGGTTGGTTGGGTGCGTGGGTGGGTGGGTGGGTTGGTGGGTTGGTTGGGTGGGTTGGTTGGTTGGTTGGTGGGTGGGTTGGTTGGTTGGTGGGTTGGTTGGTTGGTTGGTTGGTGGGTGGGTGGGTGGGTGGGTTGGTGGGTTGGTTGGTTGGGTGGGTTGGTTGGTTGGTTGGTGGGTGGGTGGGTTGGTTGGTGGGTTGGTTGGTTGGTTGGTTGGTTGGTGGGTGGATGGGTTGGTGGGTGGGTGGGTTGGTTGGTTGGTCGACTGGGCGGCCGCATCCCTAGCATCCCCGTTTACTTGGGGCAGGGCTGCGTATTGGCCAGAGGCTTCGGTTGGCTTGGGGCTGATTTGCGCCAGGTGTGCGGCCATCCCGGAGCCTAAATGAACCCCAAACAAACCCAAGACCTGCCGCCATTCGTTACCTCAGCAAGCCCAACACTCACCCGACACCAGCCCCAAGCAACTCTGAACTGCCACGGAATCAAAGACCAAAGGCAGCTAGTCTGTGACTCAAAGTCTAAGCTTAAACTCTCCCAACAGCATCCTGGATATCAGCCCGAGCCTAAATGAACCCCAAACAAGCCCAAGACCTGCCGTAGCCCCCAATCCGAGTGAGGCCGGTGATGCTGGGGATGCGGCCAACGAACCCGACCCCCAGCCTGGCCATTCAGCTACACTAGAAAGGCCTTGTGCTGAGACGGGGCCAGCACAAAACCGCGGCTAGTAAACAAAAAACTGAACCCCATACTTGGGCCAGAAAAAGGCGGCAACTGCGAGTTTATGGTTTGCTGTCACCAAAAAGCAAAAGAAGGAGAATCCAACAGCCAGGCGGGAACCAGCTTTTGTGTAAGCTCCGTGTTTTGGTTGCGGCGAATTGAGAGAAGGAACCCCAAACAGGGAGGTTTCAGAAGGCCGATCAACTTGGTTTCTTGGTCTGGGCAAATACACACCAATGCACACTAATGAGCGGAAGCTACGATGAGGCGAGGGAGGCAACAACAATCAACTGCGGGCTGGCGGTGCATTTTGGCGTCAGACAATCCAGCAACTTCTCACGGGGCCGTGAATTTTGCGTGCAAAGCCTGTCATCCGAAGGTAAGCCAAAATCATCAAACCGTATTTTGCTGGAGGTCCTATATAAAACACATCCAAAGGGATGCCAAAAAAGAAGCCAGCCATATTTTGCTATCCATATTTTGCTGGAGGTCCTATATAAAGCGCATCCAAAGGGAAGCCAAAAAGAAGCCAACCATGTTTTGCTGGAGGTTCTCTTATATAAAAAGACGCCTCCAATTCCCATGCAACCCGAAGGTAGGGGGGGCTCGCCCTTAATGAGGCCTTTATCCTTGGCTTATCCGGGCTCATCCAAGGATAGCGCCCCCCCCCCGCCCGCTCCCCAAATAGCCCCGCTTGGGGAAGACACATCCAAAGCATGCAAAGGGAGGACAAAAAGAAACCTCTCCCAGAACACATAAGGATCTCCAGCATCTCAGGACCTCATCCCCCCACACGCTCCTGGGGCTTCCAATGGGAAGGACACCCCAAAGAATTTTGGGGTCTCAAAACCTGGCTGTTTGAGGGCCAAAATAAATCGGGAGCGTCTGGGCCATGAAATCCCTAGGTCTCCCCGTAGTGCCCGTTTACCTTTTTTTTGTTTTTTTGGGGAGGGTTCCCCTACTGAAATAGGCTACAGAAAAAAGTTGGTGCCCTTATTCTATCCTCTCTGCTGGAGGACCTAGGATCCCATGGAAATTCCAAGCTTTCACGATCCTTGGCTTACCCCGCTCTTCTCAGGGATAGCCCCCCCCATAGCACCCCTGGGTCCATGAATTTTCAAGAGGATCTCCGGCAGAGCTTCGCCATGGGTTTGGACCCCCGCTGGGCCGCGGCGGCGCGCTCGCTGCTCTACGAGCTGCGGGCCTTGAGCGCCAAGGCGGCGCGCGCCTGCGACTTGGAGCGGACGTCCAGAGATCCGATCGATGGCCATGAATTTATTCCATTTGCTTAAGAATATATGTGTTTTCCCTTGTTGGGCTTAAACGGAATTTGTCACTACTGGAAATATTGTTATCTTTTTCCAGGGGTCTTAACCCCAAATGGACGATTTGATTAAGGAACCAGCTCCAAAAGTGGTCGGTGTCCATCACAGAGTCCCTAAGTTCACACCCAGAAAAGGGTCCGTAGACATGGGGTGACCAGCACTAGGTCCCGGGCACCCCATGGGGTGCCCGACCTCTCACCGTAGCTTGTTTTTTTGGTTGGGAGGGGAAACCCCCTACTAAAGTAGACTGCAGAAGAAAAAAAAATTGGCAGCAACTTATTCTAAGCTCGCAAAACTGGAGGACCCAGATGCGCTGAAAGGAAGATGTTGTTTCTTGTTCCCATGTGTTGGTTTTAAAGGAAATCTATCACTACTGGAAATAGTTGTTCGTCAAGGGACTTTTGACCGGGTCCCTTAACTTGCTGGTGCGATAGGCAGTCAATGAGAAATCTCGAATTTTGGAGATCTCCGTTTATGGTAACCCATTTTCCCTATGGGAAGACTGGATAAATGGGAATTGGGGACCACAATCAAAACCTAGGAACTTGCTGGCTCTGAGTAAGGAGTGAAGGGATGAACCTAATCCATTTCAAGGACAAACAATAGTTTATAGGGGTCATTCCCTCCTTCCATGCGGGGTCCCCTATTTTGATCCAACCCCAAATGGGCATGTCTTAATATAGGGGACTCCCCCCAAGTTCTCGCCGTACCTTCCCTTCTCTTCAGGGATCCTTCTCTTCAAAAACATGGGCCAAGCCCCTGGGAAAATGGGTGGTGTAGATGGGTGGAAAGAATCAACCAATACACAAATTGGTGGTTTTCTTTTTGGCTTCCTTTCATACCCCCCAAAACGGGTATCGTCAATCATAGACACACCCAAATGGGTGTGGCGTTTTTCAACGGAGATTATGCTTGGTCTCTTTTGAAGGGGAATGCCAAAAGGAAAACACACATCTTGTTGGGCTCCCTGATCATTATGACAGCCCCAAATGGCTGTGTTGTTTTTTGGTTTGTAGTAGTTTACCAGGGATTTTACCTTGTAAATGTCCAGTTTTTGACGTTTTTTGTTGACTCTGAGGGCCACTGTGAAGCTTTTTAGGGCTGGGTGTGGGGAACCAAAAGGCAAACACTCATTTTGAGGGCCCATCGCCCTTATTTGGGTTCATTCCCAAATTGCTTCGTCTTTGTACCAACAACTTTTACAAGATATTTGTGACCTTGATGGTGTTTTGCTCTCAATACTTGAGCGAATAACGCAAGTACTCGTACCGGGAGTCTCCATGACCCTGGAACAAATTGGGTCTACCAAACATGAGGTCGTGACCCTCTTTTTTAATGGAGACTCCAAGTGTTTAGACGCGGGCGAGAGCTTTTGCTCTGGCTTGTGACAAGGCAGTAGGGTTGGGTATCAAATTTTGTCGAACAGGATATGGGTGCGTCGCTTTCTTGGCCCCACCAAAACGGCATCGGTTTTCTTCGCTTCACTCTAAAACCATTAAAAAGGGATGCCTTCAAACAAAGTCACCTCCAATATGTTCCAGATAATCGATCGTCCTTTGGACACTACCTTGTTTGTAAGATCATTGGCCCCCAAGAAAAGTGTTGGATCCTTGTTGGTCTTGTCCCAAAAAAGGGGTGTTTCACCTGGCCTTTCCTTTATTATGCAAGATCCTAAACGTGTACCCAGAAATTGCTCACCCTGTTGGTACGAAATTTGAGTTTTTCCCATTCAGATGGCATGCAATGGAACATGAAAATGAACCATTTAGAGGGGTCCCATTTTTCCGTCAGTGGATCGATGCCAATACAGATCACCTGGATGTGCGGTTCCTTTGATTCGCCACCTGGCGGTTGAAATTGAGGTGGGCCCACGCAGGAACTGAGTTGCGTCTTTTCAAATCGAGAACCGTTCTTCCCGAAACAAGTCTAGGTCCCCCAGTAGTGCCCTTTTGCCCCCTTTTTTGGGGAGGGTTCCCCTACTAAAATCGACTACAGACAAAAGGGTACTTTTATTCTAACCTCCTTACTGGAGAAACTAGAAGTTAAGCAACAAATCGGACTCCACTTTTTCAATTCGCGCAAAAAAATGACGTGGGTTCCCTTTTGCTAAACACCCGGAAGTTCAACTGCGCCTTCGGGGTTGCACACCCTGGTTTGGAAAACCTGCTTAGCAGGGTTTCAAAGTTGAATTTACGCAGCCAGACCCTCGTTCCTCTTCAAGGGTTTTGAAACAAGTGTTTAATCCATGGGTTGTTCCAAATTACTCCTGAATCCTTCTGCCAAATAGTAGTGGCTTGCCTTGTTGAACTGGTGCACCACTATGGATTCTGGCAAATTGGTCAAGGCCAATTTTGAACAACCTAGTCAAGTGTCCTCTAAACAAAGGATTGAATGGTCACAACCAGACCCTGGCCAAAAGGTTAGCAAGGGGTGAATCAGCCAGCCCAAGCCCTCTCCAGGCCGGCTTTGCTGCAGTTGCCTTTTCGGAAAACCGGAAAAATCGTGGAATATCAATGGAGGTAAGATCTGTCTGAACTTGAGAATCCTTGCTAGTTCTGATGGACAGAACGACTCCGGGTTCCCATCCGAAAGCTGGTTTGCTTCAAGGACATGTTCAGCCGTCCGAGAAGTGGCCAAGCTTGGACACAAAAAAAAAAGAAGCTTCCATCCCCTCCAGCCCCAGAACCCAGGCCCTTCGGAGTGCTAACCGCTTACTAGGTACCCTGCCGCTTTAAGAGGGCCAGCCCCTCCAACCCAGCCGAGCCCAGCGGCCCTGAGGCATCACCTGCCGGAGCTTCTGGCAGCTGCCCAGCTCCTCGCAGTGGGTCAAGGCCACCTTCCAGAGTTTGCCCGCGTCGCATCCCCAGGTGGCGGAGCTGGTGTTGCGGGAGGCGCGGTGAAGCGGGGAAGCGGGGAAGCGGTTTCGGGGTGTCGTGCTTCTTTCTTTCTCTTCTTTTTTTTTTTGGGGGGGGGGTGGGGGGTGCGGGGGGTGCGGGGGGGATGGAAACAGCCAAACAATTGTGAGGTTTGTAATTCCCATCCCCCAAGAAAAGCAACAAGCAGTCACAAGAGTATTTCTGGGTCCAGTTTTGAGCCACCAGGTCTTCGTTCCTATCACAAGAACTCAAGGCCTGCTGAGGGACCCCGAGATTGCCAGACTCGGGAATTTCTTCCTGCCGCCGCTCTGCAGCAGGGTCTCTGAGCTGCTGCACGACTGCTGGGGCCATGGCAAGATTGCCAGACTTACGTCACCTTTTTTGCTCTTTCTTGCCCAATTTGCCCTTTTGGGCCCCTTCCTGGATCGCCAGTTGCGATCGCTTTTTTCCATGATCTTTACCCCACAAACCAGCAACAGTGACTGAAAAATACAGCAACTTGGCTATCTAGGTTCCATCATTTTCCCTTTTGATCAGCAAAATCTTGCCACTCTTGCAGGGGATCCATGGCCAAGGCAAGGCGGACACGGAGTTATGCTCCCCGCTGCGCAGCGGGAAATTGGAAGCAGCGCACGCCGCCTCCGTCGTATCTTCCATTTGCTTAAGAATACTGTTTATTTTCCCCTGATAGGTTTTCAAGGAAATCAATCCCTACGGGAAATATGGGTGTGGGTCAAAATTGCCCCAGGTTTTCATCCTGGGCTCCATTTAGTTTTGACCCACAGCCATATATATATATATTATGTTCAGAGGGCTTCAGCAAATGGAAGGTATCCTTCACTCGGGCTGCCTGCCACGCGCTCACCGCTCTGGTCGGCACGGATCTGCCGCTGGCCGGACAGCCGGACGATCCCGCGCACGTGCTGTCAGAGCAGAAGCTGAAGCGCTCGGCGCCGGTGCAGGCGTCGGCGCCCCGGAAGAAGAGGAAGAACCGGAGCAAGAATCGATTTGAGGCCTTGGGCGAAGACGAGGAGCTGGCTGAGGTTGAGGCGACTCAAGCGAGCTCGGAGCCAGCTCCGGGGCGGCCTGCGTTGGTCTTGGCGGTGCTTCGGGCTCAAGAGCTGCGCACAGCAATCCGGTCGGTGATCACAGACTTCATGCGTATCCTGGTGGCGAATTCAGCCATCCCCTTAGCTTTTTAGATCCCTTTTAGTTGGCAGTTTCCACTCAAGCCCACTAAAGGTTCGCCGCTTTTCGCGGCTCAGAAATCGGGCAGCCCAGGTATCCCTGATCCGGAGACAGTCACCCGCGCCATGGTGGGCCTGGCGACATGGTCCGCGCAGCTCTGGAACATGGTGATCCACGGCGAGGACTTGGCCTCGCTTTCGCTTGGAACTGAGGCCGGCTCCATGGGCGATATCCTGCACACCGCCAGCGACGTGCTGCGTGCGTTTCCTCAGGGCATGCAGCCGGTGTTTCGCCTCCAAACCCTGTCCCACGAGCAAGTCCCCGAAGGCTTTCTGCGAAATCTGGTGAGGCAAAACTGGAGCAGCTTCAGCGTATGCGGGTCTTTGGACGCATGGCCAGGCTTCAGCGCAATTTCTGTTTTGCCCTTTTTGGTGTCCTGCAAAATTTCTCAAGCCAACCAGTTTTCCCACTTGTTGCGGCCTCCGAAACAAGTCGAGGAGGGCAAGCGCTGCCCATCCACTTTGATCTGCGAAAGCACCTTCCCGATTTACACCACCCTCATCATTTTAGTGAAGTTCTTTAAGCTCCAGTGCCGAAGGCGCGGTTTTTTGTTTTTGGTCTCGACTGGGGTGTGGTCTTTTGCGGATATTTTTCACCTTCCCCCCCTCTCCAACGGCTAATGGGCACAAGATGGCCATTGGGAGGCGAATCTAAAGGAATCAACCACTGAAAGAGGGATCACCCGCTTTGAGACACACGCACTGGTTGGAACAAAAGGACACCCAAGGAAAACAAAAGCGTTGGGGTGATGTTTTTTGGAGTGCAGCGGCCAGCAATGGTAGGGCCTCGACGGTTCCAACTGTTCGATTCACTCAGTGGTCAAGTGAGGTCCGGTCCAAACTATCAGTAGTCTCTATTCCACGTGACATGGCGTACTCACGAAAACCAACCCATACAAACTCGGGGACTCACTCATTTCCGCATGTCTTGGAGACACCTTCCTAATTTTGGGCATGCCAGCCATGGCCAAACAAGACCGCCCGACTGGGAAAAAAAACGGACGCGGAGATTCCAGGTTCGCCATGTTTCTTTTCTTGGTGGTTCGCAGCCGTCCGGTTCCTTGGATTGTTTGTTTTTTAGAGATTAGTGTGGGTTTGAATTCAGCCCGCTAAAAGTTAAACTTTTTAGCAGGGCCCCAGTTTTGGTATCCCAAGCAGCACAGCACCCTTGGGTGGGTGCCGAACTGCCCCCCCCCCGCCACTCACGGCTGTTCTTTCAGTTTCAACCTTAAACTAAAGCCTAGAGAGGGGCACCAAATCCCACAAAAACAGACACGCGAGCCACTGTAGTAGGTAACCAATTTGGTCTGCCGTTTTTTGTACCCCTCTTTGCTTGGTAAGGGAATCCAAAAGTGAAACCCGTCCAAAAGACATGAACCCCAAGAAAAAAAACACTCCCTCCCGGGTCGCTCGGGTCTCTCACACTGGCCCGTGGCCTTGGCAAAGGCTGGAGCTCTCCCCGGAGAAGCCTCAGCTGTACCTTTGCCCTCCGCTGGTGGAGGCGGCTGAAGAGTCGTGACGCACGGTTTCGTTCGGGAGATACTTTTCTAGGGGTTGATTCCTTGTCCATTCTTTTCAACCATCGTTCTTTTCAAAAACCGATCGCCATTTCCCATTGTTAGAAAGATTCGGACCCCTGGGTTCAGAATGGAAATGGAAGGTGGCCCTAGAGTTCTCTCCAACCACCGCTCTTTCCCATGTCCCGCCGCAAAGGTTCCCATGTCCGGCCGCCCAAAAAGCGTGGGGGTTCGGTGTTTGGAGGGTTTCGTTTAGCGGGGACCCAGTGCTTCCATTGGGTGTGGCAAGGTATTTACATCATGCTCTCCGGGACCTAGAGTGGCTTGCTTGGATCTGGGGGAACCCAAAAGGGCTTGTTCAACATGTTTACCTTACAAGCAAGTCATCTCACGCTCTTGACTCTTGACCAGTTTTCCCCAACAGCTGAAAGCTGTGGAGTTGGTCTGTGCCCATATCGGCTCGAGCGGGGGTTTTGAAAGCTTCCGGAGATTCGGTTCCAGGTGCCGGAGCGCTGGGCTTGATGGGAATGAGAAATGGAACCCCTGAGCGAAGCCCAACTTTCTTGAATCCAACGGGCGGTTTCCTTTAATTATTCGGGGACGGCCTGGGTTCATTCCTTGACTCGCAACATCCAGACCCTCCATTGGACACCCCAGAGAGGTTTGGGGGTCTCAAAACCTGGCTGTTTGGGGGCAAAAAAATAGTAATAACAAATCGGGAGCGTCTGGGGTAACTTCTTCCCACCGAGCACCCGAAGCTTTTCAACGAGAGAGACGCAGGCGCTGAAGCTCTTTGGGGAGATGCCCAACACCTCCCAGGAGTCCGATCGATTTAAAGGAAGTTCCTTTTGGGAGACCAGCGCCTTGTTTTTTTCTTTGGTCGGAGCGTCCAGAGGTCCGGTTGTGACTTTGGTCACTTTTTAGGTTTGGACCATTTTAGTTAGACAAGCAGTTTGGGGGACTTTTCACTTGGTGGCGAAGCCAGCCATCCGGTTTTTTAGCTTTTAGATCCTTCTAGTGTGTAGTGGTTGGTTTTCCGAATTTAGCCCACTAAAAGTTAGTCACTTTTAGCGGGGATCTGAGGAGCTAAAGTCTTCAAAGGCCCCTTTGTGTTCTGCTTTGTGTTTTTGGTTTTTGTTTGGGAGACTATATGGGAAACAAACACAGGTGCCAAGACTCCGTTGCCAGCATCCAAGAAACCAGCCACAGGAAAACCGAACGGACGGATCAATCCTCGCGTTTGGCGTATTTTGAGCTGGAGAGGATGACATGGACACCTTGCTGAAGACCCTGCTGGATGCCGCCGGGGCCCCGAGTTGGATCATTCCCCATGGGGATGGGGACTCGCGGACTCAGCCGTGGTTTGCCGGCCATAACACGCAGGTGCAGTAGTTGCTGAAGCTCTGCATGTCTTCAACGCAGAAAAGCGTTCAAAGGGGTCAGAAGCAGATTCCGCAAAGAAGTAAAACCAGCTTCTGGGCTTCAGGTTTAGTCATTGCGGAGTAACCAGTTCTTTGCCTAAAACCCAAGCGAGAGCGCACGGAATCCCATGGACAGCGATCCTGATGCTTTCCCCCAGGGTGACAAAATATGATTCTCAGGCTCAAGTACGGCTCGGCTTTGCCTATGGCAAGCTCGCCGAGTGGCAAAACCATGACGTACTGTGGATGGACGAAATCCTGCACCACCTAGCAATCCCTGAAAGGAGGATTCCCCCGTAACTGCAAACAAACAATGGCTTCCCATGGATTCCAAGTGGTGCAGAATTTCGTTCATCCACAGTAGGTCCTTTACTTTGTCTTCATTCTTTCAGTTTTGGAAGATTATTGCAGACTTGCAGATGGGGAGCTGTTCTTGCTGTCAAGCAAGCCACAAATCAGTCAGACAAGGATTGCTGACCTACAAAGTGGACAAGCTTAAAGGTGATCTTTTCAAGAAGGATATTCCTCTTTAAATGCTGGTTATTCGGGCTCCATGTTAACTATTCTGCCGGGGAGTGATCGGCTTCTCCTCGCCATGTGTCAAGTTAAGGATCCTTGCTGGACAAAAAGAGAAAGAAAAGAAGTCCAGGATGGACAATGCGCTTTGTGGATTTTGTGCATCGGTTCCGAATCAATCTTGGGAGACCGCCGCGGAAAGTGAGCCATCACGGCCGGTCAACCCCATAGATCCCAGTCATGCGCACAGGACCTAAAAAGTAGTCCCAGCTGTCGCCACGCACGACTTAAGTCAACCCCCAGTCAGTTGGCCTTGGCCATTCTCAGACCTTCACTCGGCGCCGAACCACAAAAAACAAAGACGTCGGTCTGTGGCGGCTCGGGACCTCGTTCCGCGCGCACGCGCGTTGCGTGCCTTGAGATGAGGCCCTCACCAAGGAGATGCAGCGGGCCGTGGTGCGGACGCTGCTCTTCGAAGCTTCGTGGCTCGACGAAAAAGGCGCGAGGAGCCGTGAGCCGTTTCGGCATAAGGTCCGTGAGACATGGGGCCGTTGGGGGAAAGCACTAAAATGGGAATTACATGGGATGACCAGTGGTTGGACAACCACTAAAACGATCGATGTGATATTTCCACATAGGTGAAAAGTTGCCCATGGTCAAAACTCGGGTTTAGTGAGAACATTGATGGCCCCCCCACATCATTAGCAAGCTTGATGGGAGCCGTAACGGGGCAACGCGAAGTCGCAGCATTCCCTGAGATTGCTATGTATTTAGAGTCGAAGTACTTAGGAAGAAAAACGGAAAGGGGGTGTATTGAGCACGCCATGAGCACAAGGAACGCGCGAAGTTTCAGGCCTCTGCAGCTATGCCAGGTTTGCTTGTTTGCCTGTTTCTCTCTTGGGGGGGTCTTTCCTGTTGGTTTGTGTTTGGTACAACATGTACAGCTTTTAATCGTTTAATCGCTTAGCAAAATGTGGAACTTGCTCCACTTACCAGCAAAAACGGTCATCGGGGCATGGGAGCAACAAGTTGAACAGCCCGGGATTTCGCCCGAAACATCCAAATATGCTTTGCGCGCTGCGAAGCTCGTCTCAGCCATCCCAGTATTTCAATTTCCTGCCTAGTCAACCAACAAAACCACCGTTCACGCTGAATTTCATGGGATCCAGGCATTGAACGCAGTCTGTGTTTCAAGGCAAGGCAACTTGCAGATAATAGCAATGTATCTTGAAATTCTACGGGTGTGTCTCAAAAATAGGGAACCCCCCGATACGGTCAACTTCCTCTTGGTTTCCGTTTGAATCAACCCCGAAAGAGTATTCTCAAAAAACACACCCACATGATTCTCAACAGCTCAGAGCTGATTGTTGCTTCCCGCTGTGATCGGAATATTGTGTCATCTACTTTAATCCTAGTGTAACTGTCGCCCGAAATGTGTTTGCGCTGTCGAGTGGGTTGGTGCCAAATAGGGGGCCAAGAGTCAGCAGAAACATGGCAGCCTGAAATTGATGCCCTCAAGAACCACACAGGCTCGGTTCGACGCTGAGGCCCGCATTCAGCGCAAGCGACTGCGAGTCAAAGAAGCCGCGAGCAGCCAGTGAGAGTTACAGGGCTCCCCAAGTGCTTTTTGTTAGCGTAACCCCCAAAACGGTGGGTTTTCCTGTTGGTGTCTTTAACACAGACCCATAAAAGGGCACCCTCAAAAGGAGATAGACACACGAAACATATTTCTCCTGGTTGAGATTTTGCACTTGGGCTTGTTAAGGGGAACTGTAGGGAACCCTTGGGCCATTTTAGAACGGAGCAACTGTGCACTTCGGTTGGACCATCCTCAGAATTATGGTATATGTTACCAAAAATGTGAACTTGCAGACCGGGATGATTTGGGTTTGATGTCTGAACTATTTTCTCTTACCAAACATGTGAACTTGCAGACTGGGATGTTTTGGGTTGAGTGTTGAGTGTCCGGTCACGAGCCACAGGGCTTGATCGAAAGATTGTTTAAGGGGATTCCTTCAGCTGGCCGGGGTCCTTGTTGGTGTGTGAGGATCTTATATTGAGGATGTCAGGATGCCAGGATGCCGACTACGTTTGATATGAAATGAACAACTACTTGTTTGGGATTGAAGGTGTACTTGTGAAAGTTGGCACACTTTCAAGTTCTTTGGTACCTGGTCTTTTTCCAAAGGCCCGAGTTGCTAGTTTCAGGCCCGTCAACAGTGAGTCCAACTTGGGGGAGGCAGTTCCCAGAACGGCATGGTTGTGGGACAGGTTTCTTGGTGCCGCTTCCTGTGGCAAGGGCGACATCTCCAGCAAGTGGCAAGGGTTTTTGACGTGGGGATGTCTTCGGTGTCGCCTTCACGTGTTCCACTCAGAAAGCACCTGTGGGAACATGGTAGATACTGGACAAACCCCAGACCGGGCTTAACCACCCACCAACTGGTGCTAAGTGGGAGTTTGTCCATCAGGAAATTCGTCCAAGGGAAAGGGCTCGACAAAACCCTTCTAATGCCTCTCCCGCAGCGTAGACCATTTCTTGATCTCAGGGAAGGGAATCACCCGAATGGACCATCCCTCATATCCTTGAAGGCGATCCGGTTCATTCCCAAACCCCCTGAGTCCTGAGAACCAACAAGAAATCGAGAAACTCCCAAATCCTAAGGCCCCAACTGTGCAGATGGACGTTGTCCCAAGAAGACGGACAACCTCATCTATGGGCCAGAATATAGGTGAGAGAGAGGGGTGACATCCGTTGGCCTGTCGCACGGCTCTCAGCGTGGGCGCGCGCGCGCTTGGGGCGCGCCCAAAGCGCGCCGCGGAAAGGCGGGAGGTCGGCGTGCCCTGGACGTCGGAGCGCCCCGGCGAAAAGGCGGGAGGGTGCAGGTCTTTTGAGGGTAATACAAGGAGCTGACAAGTCGATCATTACTCGGGGATCACTTCATTTCCTGTGTTCGGACCTACTTTTGAGGGAGTAATCCAGTGACCCTGTTGTTGCTCAACAGAACCTTGAGAGCAATGCGAGCTTGAGCAAATGATGCTGGGGCTGGGAACGCAAAGTGATTGCCAGGAACGAGAACTTGAGAGGCGGCCAACGAGATGGCTGGAATGAGCTGGACTGTGCGTGACGGGGCTCAGGTGCTTTGAGCAAAAACTTGGGGCTGGGGACTGAGTTGCTGAGGCTGTGTTGGGCAAAGCCGAGCTGCGGCTGGTGAGCGTCAAACGGCCGGCTGCAAAACTGGCGCTTGGGCTGGGGGTTTGGGCGGCTCGAGCAGGGAGCAACGCACGCGCGTCGCCCCCAGAGAGCGCCGGGAAGCTGGGCTCCATGCGCGTGTGGCTCAGCCGGAGATGGGCCTTTGGCTCACTGAGCAGGGTTGAGTCTGTGAGGCACAACGACAAGTCGGAAGCTGGCTGGCTTAGGTTGGGCTGAATTGGGGCTGAGTCTGGAGGCAAGGGGGTGCATGTAGGTTCTACACCCCTTGGTTTGAAGGGGGCCGGGAAAAAAACAAGTTGCATGGATTTCCTGGGTTCAAGAACAACCAGCAAGATAGCGCTAGATGGCGGTTTCCGTTATGGTGTCCCACGACGTCCCCGGCTTGAACCACCCAGGCTACGAGGGGGCTTGGGTGCACTTTACTGGATCAATTGCAATATAGGGACGTTGGGACACGTACGCACGATTGTGATTTTTCAGGGGCGTTGCGTTGCGTTGCTATTCTTCTGCTTTTGACGCGGGCAGGCTGCTGCACATTGCTTCGTTATGCGCATGTTACTTGAAGGGGGTGACTGAGGCTGCTGATGAGTTGCTGCCATGCCGTGCTATGAGAGTCCTTACTGAAGGCGACATGTACACCATTCAAGCATGCGCGGTGCTTCCGACGTCCCTTTCCCTGAAAGATCTGCCCTTCTAACAGCGAGCTCGCCAAGGGCAAGCCAAGTAGGGATTTATTCCAGGTTGGTGAATTACCCTCCCGCAGAAAATGGAAGCGCACAGCTGCTCCCTTTGCAACGAGTCTTGCAAAAAAGGTTTGTGCACCTCGCCATGTTTGCTTGGTGTCGGGGTAAATATCACGTTTGGGCAGCATTTTCATAAACAACAAAATCCCAGCTCGTGCACGCCGCATGGGTGAAACCTAAAGAAATTTAACCCATTTTCGGATGAGTCCTTCCCAAAATGGCGGACGATGTGGTCGGGTGGTTTTAGTGGAAACCAAAAAACAACTTAACATATTTATGGCTTGGGGTTTTCAACATGGACAGGGTTCGTTTTTCTATCTCATTTTGTTCCATGAGAGCTCGCCGGAAGTTTTGCGCCGAACGTCGACCCTCCCTCCCGGAGAGTCGCGCGTTTCAGCTGAGACCGCGGAGAATGGGCGGTTCGGCTTCCACCGAGATCGGCGGGGTGCGTGTCTTCAAGGCCAGTCATGGTCCGCGCTGGAGCGGTTTTTCGCGGGGTAGGGGACATGGAAGTGAACTTCCATTGGCAAGAGTGATTCCCGTAATTGGAACCATGAAATACCAAGACACATAGGAGTTTTCCACCACCCTAAGGCTAATGACCCCTAAAATGCAGGCCCCCGGGCCCTGTAATATCCTGCAATGAAGAACCCGGACCCCTCAGGCCCTTTGAAAACATCCCATTTCGAGGGCACAAAAACAATCGGGAGCCTTAGGGCATGAGACAGGTGAGTTGAGGCTCAAGGCTGTTGCTCGCGTTGCACTTGGATCACATTCGTGCTGGCAAGGGCCCCACATCCCCCACGTTTTGTGCGCCCCGCTTGTGTATAAGGAAGAGCCCCGGCATGAAATCCCGGAACACGCAGGCATCTCACGGGCTTTCACGAGGTGGCGTTTCGGGGTTTCTGCCAAAAGGTCGCTTCATGTGCCGGAGAAACCGTCGTTTGGGAGACCCTTTTTTTCACCCACTGATTGCCCCACGTGGCTCCCCTCACGCGATCCACACGCGCCAGGTGAGTCCTGGTAGCCCTGCGGCTGAAGCGGGGCTGGAGGCGAGAAGAGAAGCCGTCACAACGGTTCGGACCAAGAAGCTCGTGTTTGGATGTTGTTTCGCAAAGCGGCGGGTATTTTTTGTTGATTCTGACTACTGATGTTCTGCTTTCCCGCAAGCAAATGGAATCATTGCCTTATCTGCCAATCTCGAGATCAGACAATTAATCTTCAGCTAAGACAGCTGTTTGTTGGTGCATGGCAGTCAAGGGCTAAATGCAGAGCGGTTGCCGCACGCGCCAAAGCGGAGGGTTAAGCTCACAGTTGCACTGACAGTGCAGACGATTGTATCATCTATATAAATCCGTGTAGCTAGATAGCTCCAGACGATTGTATCATCGCACCCATATAAAACCGTGCAGCTAGATAGCTCCTTGGTGGCTCCCAGCCATCCCTTTAGCCTTTTAGCTGTTGAGTGCTTAGTGGCAGTTTCTATTTAACCCACTAAAAGTTAGCCACTTTGAGCGGGGGATCTGAAAACGGGCAGCCCAGAATACAGTCTTTGAGTTTTACTCCAACGGGTTCACGGCGCTGCGGTTCAGCGCCTCCAATGACGTTGAGAGCATGCAGGCCATGGCGCTTATCCCTTGGGGATCGACCCATCAGAGCCCACCAAAAGAGGGTGCCCCCAAACAAACACATGGTGTCACATACTTGACTCATTTCCTTGACCCATTAGTCCAGAGGCACAGCTGAGTGACCACTTCTGCTTCCAGCCTTCCCAACGTGGTTGCTACCATGCGGTTCTTTTCATCGCTTGCAGGGCCTTCCAGTGCTTGTCATTTAGTCTTGTTACTCTCCCACCAACTAACATGGGTTTGTGCGCAAAGCCCCTTTCTAAGAGGAAAACAGTCTTTCTACAGGGGTCTTTTGGCAGTTCCATGTTAGTCGGTGGGAGGGTACTCAGCTATTCAAAGTGCATCGACCTTTTATAACCTTTTTGGTTTTCTCTTTTTGGAAAACACTTTTAGTAAGGTCCCAAAAGGTTAACCTTTTATTTCCAGGTCCTTTGGGCAACTGAAGTTATGGACGTTCTGTAGCCACATGGTGATGTCTTAGACTGGGGAACCCCAATGGCTGTTTTGCCTTTAGTTTCGCGTGAAACCCACTCAACAAAATTGGTCAAGAACTCACTTTCCGAGCTCCGTTTCGGACTTTAAGCCCACTTTTTGTGCTTAAGACCATTTTAGCTGTAAGAAGAAAGTTTGGACTTTTGTTGGCCCACCCTTGTTTTGGGCCTTTTAGTTTAGTAAACCAAAAAGTTTGGGGATCCTTTCCACCCCTTTTGGGGCCAGTCCACTGGCCCTGTTCCTTTTCGCCCACTCGCTCGAGGTGTTCTTCGACTTCATCGTCTCCATCAATGGCGTGAACCTAGAGCCCGGCTCTCGGAGCCAGCTCGGCGCGGCGGCGACCTGCTTCGGCCGTGGCGGCTTCGGGCTTCGGGCTTCGGCGGTGGCGGCTGCGGCCGCTTTTTTTGGGGTACCTGGCCTGGTGGGCTGGTTTTTGGGCGCCCTTTTTGGAAACCACGAAGCCCCCGGCTACTTGGGCGTGGCGGGAAAAAATGGGGGTCCGAAATGGAAGCCTGTAAGTAGAAAGGTAGGCTAAAACCTGCGTATCCCCGGCGGTTTAGTTTTGACACAGGTGGGTTGGGGGTTGGGAAGTTGAGGGTGCATAATATGAGACACGCCCACATGCCACATGGCCAAACAAGTTGGGTGGCTTACACCCAACTCGCGTCGATTTGTCTGAGGCCGGGCGAGCAGTCGATTTTTGCAAAGCACATCCAGGACCCACAGCCCGTGCGAGAGGCTTCGAATCGATCACCCGTGCAGAGACGGCTGGGGTACTTGACTTGCTGGTTCTCATGAGGGAATCGCCCCTGATGGACGAACTCCATGTCGCACCACCTTTCAGAACCCCTGGAATGATTCGACAAACAATGGTTTGCCAGGGTTGCATTTCGTAGTGCCAACGGATCGAACGTCCATCCACATGAACCAGCCCTTGAATCCTTTAAGGGGATCAGGTTCATTTCCAAACCCTCGGTTGACTCCCTGAGAACCAGCTGCATTCCATGGCCATACTTCGGCTCCTTCTGTTCAGTGTGGAATGAGGCAGTTTCCATGGCTTTGAAGAGCTCCAAAGATGCCCAAGACATGGCTAGCTTGCGGGTTCTTAAATGAAGGGGAATACGCAGAAACATGGTTTGTGGTTACATAAGTCCCCTGTATTTCTGACGTTTTAGGGCTCAAGTTTCCACTTGAGACTGACAAGCAGATGACCACCCTCCGCTGCTGGAGGACGCTGAGAACAGCACGGCCAAGCTGGTTGTATACAACACCAGAGCCAACATGACCCGAGAGGCGGCCGACAAGCGAATGGCAAGTTCCGTGTCTTGCTGGAGCCACACATATGGCTCTGGCTGTGGGTCAAAACCAATGGGATCCCATTTTCGGCTAGGTGCACCACCATTTTAGAACCTATTTTAGTGTGGATTGGGATGTTCACTGGGGGTATGGGCTTTCGACCCATGGCCATATTGGAACCGTTTTGTTGTTCAAAGAAGAATCAAAGGGACAACCACTCATTCTGGTTGTTGTTCCCCTTTGAGATACACTCAGCTCGGTCGGCATTGAGCTTGACTTAGGAAAGACACATCAGCTGCGTGACCATTCTGTTCCAATGCCACGCCTCGACCTACTTGCGCATGGGAAATGGGTTTTAGGGCCACATTCCGTGATACCAAAGGAGTTCCTCTACTGGTCAAGTATAGTCATGAGAATCATAATCCCACTTTATCAGAGAATATATTTCCTACTGTATGTTTTTGTCCATGTCGCATGCAAGAAACTCTACGCACAAGACACGATATTTGTTCTTGCTTGTGCGATAGGTAGGGAATGACCGAGACCGGGTGTTGGTAATGAAGCGTTTGGGCCCCTACATTGGGGGATGCGTGATATCAGGTAACCCTTAGTTGGTGGTTTGGATTGGTGGTTTGGGGAATTGAAGTACTCGTTCTTGTAGGGGTAAATGGGAAACCACTCTTTAACCACGAAACCACTGGTGTCCAAACTTTCAACTAGAGGAAAGTTGATGATACTGTGGATGGACGAAATCCATTTCGCACCTCCTGAGAAACCTCTGGCATGATTTGATTCCCGCGTAAATACCAACAAACAATGGTTTCAACCATGGTTTCATTTCGTGGTGCGAACGGATCGAACGTCCATCCGCAGGGACCCGTCCCCTTTCAAAAGGGCCCTTGCAAAAAACGAGACGCTCATTTGAAATGCTTGTTTTTGTTCTGGATTTGTTCCATATTTAGTCTACCCTGAAGCAAACCTTTTGGAGAGCCCAGAATATCAGCTCAACAAGGTAAACCGAGTTGGCTCATTCCAACCGTTTCGAGCCCAGTCGCCGCTGCATAGGTCACTGTCATGCCCAGAAAGTGGGCTGGCAACGGACTCCTCGGCTGGAGCCCCCAGATCGAAGCGGGTCAAGTCGAGCGAGATGGAAGCGTGGCAAGGGGTTCAAAAGAGCAGTGCGTGGTGGGGGGGTTCCCTATATATTCAATAAGAAAAAGTCGGGTTACAGGAAATTCTAGGGGAAAACAGCCTATTTAGGGTGTGTTGGGGCCATTTCTCTTTGTGTGTATTTTATTCGATGGGTTCCTTTAGCTACCCTTCTGGAAATGGAAAATCACTGGGCGTCACGGCCCCTTTCCTGGGAAATCCGGTTGATTTTTCTCGTTTCTTTTGACGGCGCCCTTTTGAGCTCACGTTGTATGAGGGAAACTAAAGGCAAACCAGAAGTGAGCCACATGTTTCCAATCCACCCTGACCAAACATGGCGGATCGCGCCACTCCTGTTGCAAGATCATCTTGCTGTGATGTCTGTTTCACCTTGGTTGGGGAAACCTGCAGCTTGAAATTGGGATAGTTTGCGCAAGCCCGCAGGCGTGCTGTAGTTTCTTGTTGCGCAAGGATAGCGCAACTTAAAGGACGTCATGCTGCGCCTGTTGGCCCGGAAATGAATGAAACATGTGGGTGTCTCTTGTTTTAGGGGACCCCCGCAAAATGACACCCCAAAATGGCTTCGGTTGTCCAGTTTTGTTTCCCCTTTGAAATCCACAGAAAAGGGTTCCAAATCCGAAAAAGGCACGGGCCCAAATTCCGGACTCCGGATACGCGTCTGAGTTTTGCGGGCGAGCCCCCAGAAAAGTTGAGAAGGCACTCGGGACTCGGGGATGGACCCCCCCAGACCCTCGAATCCGTGTTGCTCGGAGCCCAGGAGCCACTGTGCGATATGACTCTGTGGATGTGGTGCGCCGCTCAGAGCGAAGGAGAAGCGGAGAGGCAAAAAGCTCAGTAGTGAAATCTGTGGCCATGGCAATGCCCCCACCCCTCCCCCCAACTTTCCTTCAAACAAGTCTAGTTTACATTGCCTTTTCTTTTCTTTTCGGCCCCCCCAACTTTCCTTCTAACAAGTCTAACTTTTACATAGCCTCTTTTTTTTTTCTCGGGTTCCCCCCCCAATGTTCCTTCAAACAATTCTTTTCCGGGTCATGGTGAATCCCTGGACACAGGGTTAACGGTCAAAGGCCCACAGTGGCCCATGCGTGTTTTTTGTTGTGAATAGGTGTAAGTGTAAGGCATTTTAGTCACAATCAACACGCGGGTTGATGATTTAATACAGCGTGCTAGAAAACAGTCCGCGAGAGATAGGTGCGGATATCCAGCCTTTTGATTCTTTACATGGTTTTGGATAATTGCACCAGGTTTTTGATTGTGACTCGTTCGGGGTTTTGCCTGGGACAAAAGGTGGCTTGTGAAACCGTCATGAGTTATGGAGGGCCTGATGGCGCTTGTTGCCGTAATGCAAGGAGCTAAATCATCACTAGTTTACTCCTTCAATCATGGCTAAATTTGGTGTTAACGTTCCAGAACGTACCCCACAACCCCATTGTAATTATATGTGTTTAGGCCTTTATATCATGTTTCAATCGTGGAGTGCCCCTTCTTCGGAAGCATGGCCCCGTTCATGGAGCCGTGTTTGCTCGACCGATAGGCTGAGAACCACGGGATCCGTGTTCTCGAGGCAGGGCATGAATCGAACAGCATGGCGGATTGAAAAGCGAGGATTTGGGGTGTTAGTGTATTTTGGAAGGACACGTTTGTTTTCAAGGGCCTTTGGGTACCTTGACCCTCAAACTACCCATCAAAGAGGAATTACCCGCCCACCGGCTAACATGGAAGTGCACAAACCCCTGTGGCCTTGTGCACTTCCATGTTGGTTGGTGGGAGGGTACCACCCAGAATCTCGCGAAGAGAGTCGTTTTGCAAATTTGTCACTTCTCTCGGTGTAACAAGCGCTGGGGCCCCGTTTGGGCCATTTTTCCTGGCCAGGTCTTTCCCAATTCGCCAGCGGCGCATGCTGGCTTGGTTCCCTTCCAGGACGCAAGTGCCCCCGACCGAAGCGCTCGGCCCGAGTCCGGAATGAGTCCGCAAGGTGCACTTGATTTGCTGAATGTAAACTTGCAGCATATGTTGGTTGGTGCCTGAAACCAACAGGACACACTAGTGGCAATGTGTCTCAACCTATGTTTGGGGCCACGGCCCCATTTCGTGGAAACCAGATCTCGCCCAGGACTTTTTGCTGGGTACACCTCAGAGGGTCTTCCACGACATCGATGAGCTCGTGGAAGTGGTGCAGGCCAACATCAATGAGCGCATCCAGGCGTCCAAGTCGTCGGCCGTGCGCCGCACTCGAACGTTTTCCGCCCCAAAACCTCCAAAAACATGCAGCCTGTTTAATGCTGCGCCCAAGAGAGTCCCTCGGTACTGTTCTTCCTTTGCACAATTTCTGCCTTTGAACATGGACGTGAGGTGTGGACCTTTGGAATTTCCTTTTCGCTTCTATTCTGTTCCCTAGGTCCCCCAGTAGTGCCCTTTTACCCTTTTTTTGGGAGGGTTCCGTAGACTACAGAAAAAGGGTACCCTTATTCTAGCCTCTCTACTGGAGGAGCTAGGTCCTTTTTGGGAAGGGCCCGCTGCACTTCAAGCCAGAGGATAGTCAATGGGCTGATGCTCTGTTGGTTTTTGCTCAGATCCCGCGTCAGGCTTCAGCGCCCTTTCGATGTTGCAAATGCATTTTTCAGCATTTGGCGTTGGTTGTCACGTTAAAAGTTATATGGAGCAGAGTTTTATAACATGTTATTTGTTGCACCTTGAGAGGGAAAGCCTCGCGTCCACCTTTATACGGAACAGAGTTTCTTGAGATGTCATTTGTTGCACCTCAGAAATGGGCCAATTTTTTGGCGATCAAATATGAGGTATAGGTAGTGCCTGGTTTGATGTCTACGGTCCATATAAGCATGAACGATGTTGTGAGATCCGGCAGTGGATGTTGGACTCCGCCTGCCCCCAGTCCTCTCTCGCTGGCCTCCACTGAGGTGTACGTGTACAACGCCGATTCCGAGTCCGTCAGAGAGGCCGAGAGATCGCGCATGGAAAAATTCGGCTCCAGCTCATTTGATGTGGCTTTATGAGATCCTTACAGCCACAGACAAATGGTTTGGTTTTTTACAGTTAATTTATCATTATCGTATCATTGTTTTTCATGGACCGGGCTTGCGTCTGGTCCCAATTCTGGGCAAGTCTGTGTGTCCAGCTGTGTTTTTGCAGATTGGAGGCGCTGGGGTCTTTTGCTGATGGCGGGGGAGGGGGAAGGGGACGGCGTGAATGGAAGCAGGCGCGGCCGGGAGCGGAGGGGGGAGGACGGGGGGGTGGGGAGTGGGGGGACGGCGGAGAAAACTCGGGGAAGGGGGGGAGGGGAGGTATTGTTTGTTATGTTTTTTGATCGTTGCTTTGTCGCTGTTTAACGCTTGTTGCCGTTTGTTTATCGTTTTTAGTCGATTTGCTTGCGCCGAGCTCTAGTCTAGGCCCGCCCTCACCCTCCCTTCCCCGTCCCTCCCCCACCTTCACCTTCTTTCACGCACGTCTTTCTTTGTTTTCCTGTGTGAGACACACCCCGAGCTGGGCCAAATCGAAACGGAAGAGAATCGGTCGAACAAATGTGAATATATGGTGAATAAATGAAGCACTGGAATCCACAACGAATAAGTTAACCGTAAAAGTATTTCTTGAATTCCGTTAGAAATGTAGTTCAGACACACCTGCTTAGATGGTCCGCGAGCGGATACATATTTGACGGATTGCCTTGGAAAGCACCTTTCAATGCACCTTGTAAAGCTTGTTTCGAGGCAGACGCTGAGGTGGAAAGTCTTTGGGCTGCTCAGCGCCAGGGGTATGAGTTCCGGAAATTTGCCAAACTCCGCCTGTATCCCCGCTTCCTCCGCATCCCCGCCAATTCGCTGGCCCAAGTATTTGGCACATGTACCTGTAGGTATTCTACATGTTCTTCGGCTGAAGCTTGCATCAAGCGGGCGAGCCTGCAGCGGTAGCGCCATGGCATTGGAGCATTGATCACGTGGACCCGAAGAATTCAAGCTTCAGAGAGGTCGCAGGCCGAAATCCTTCGTGAAGTTGCCAGTGATGCAAACGATATGCATGCACAGAAAGCCGGTGCCATGAGTGGTCGCAGAGCATTCCGGAAGTCAGCGCACGTCAGCGCCAGGCGCTTGAAGCGGATGCGCAGAAAGCACGTTTCTGAGTCGGACGTGAACTCTGGCGTCAAGACCCCAACGCATGCCTCTTGCCCAGATTGAGGTCGCCTCCGATGTCAATCGCGCGGTGAAGCTGAAGTGTCGAACCACCAATGTCGTGTCAGCAAAGACGTGGTGCACTGGACACAGGCAATGTCATGCAACCTGCATTCTTACGAACTTCTACGGCGTGCAGTTCTTGCGGGCTGCGTCGGTGTTAGGAAGGTGCCCGAGATGCAATTGCCGCATCATATCGTGTATGTAGTCTCCAGTCGTGATAAACCGCGACGATTGTGTGTCTTTTGGTGTCAGCCATTTATTTTGTATGCCTGAGCTGCAATCAAAACGCAGGTAAGTCAAGGTTAGTAAGGGACGGTCCCAACCATACAGCGCGGCCGCCTGGGCAACTCTTTACATAGCCTTGGGTTCAGCATTTTGGTAGCAGGCTATTACTCCCCTCACGGCCAAACACTTGATTTGTGGCAGGTGCAACGCGTGGAACCTGTCAACCAGCGAAACATGGAGAGGTTCTCGATTCACCGAGACGCAGTGGCGGCGGTTAGGTGCCGGTGCCGTTGCGCTTGGGCGCAGACGACTATTTACGGCAACATCAAGCGCATGCTACCCGTCTACAACGCCAGAGCTAGTAACATCGATGAGGAGTGAAATACGTCAGGGTCGCGCCGCAGGGTGACCACAATTGCGTCGCCGTGTCGCGCCTCGAAGAGCGCGGTCAATTTGACACGGCCTGAACCACGCGGAAAACTTGCTGTTGACGCCGCGCTTCAACCCCGGATCTGACAAGTGGTTTTAACTTTGTGGACGCACCGTTCCCAGTAGTTTGCGCAGCTTGCAGCGTACAAGCCACTACGTGAGGCTGATGCGCCAGGACAAGACCAGCTACTTTGTAGCACGGGGATACGTGAACCATTCATCAGTCCTGAGCTTCAACACAGTTTACTGGCGTCACCCATTCTGTGAAGAGCCTCAGCGTCTTCGAGCCAGGTGACCTTTTCTGATCCATCCCCAAACACGTGGGTTGTGACTCGCAGTCAACATCCGAGGGGCGCGTAGATGTGAGCCATGGCAGGTGCGTGCCTGTTGTGCATTCTTCCCCAACACTACAGGCCTTGAGCTTCAAGCCATTGCGCAAAAGGTGCGCTACTACACGGGCTGCCACAGAGAGCGTTCAAGTTGGTGTTGCGGTAGCAAACTACAAGGCGCGTTAGGGCGCAGAGGTTTTAGCGGCGCAGAGAGAGGGAGAGAAACAAACGAGAGAACAAGCAAGGCCGGGCACCCCTCCCCGAGCGCCCCTTTCAGAGTTGCGAACCGGTAGACAGGAACATTTGCGCTCTGATCCTCGTGGTTGTCCGGGGAAGGATGCATCGCCAGGCCGTCCTCATGCCAAATAATTCCTGGGGTGGCGACGGCTGCATTGGCTGCGACATAGGCGAGCTGGGGCGAGAAGGGGAGGGGCAGAAGTCCGGTAGTTTTTCGAAACCGTACAACAGCAATGCAAAGCCACGCTCCATGGACTTTGATAGTTTGAGGATTGACGGTGTCCGCATTTTTGCACATGGACCCCAAGACTGGAATGTGGCTGCGTTGGCGCGATCACCTGGGATTCCATCATGTTCTCACCTTTTTGTGAAGACTGGGGCCCCGTACCTCCCTAGCAGCAAGTCATCCCAAAAGCTGAAGACCTCATATTTGCAGTTTGGTGTTTACCATCTCTTTCCCTTGCTGTTTGTTTGTTTGTTTGTTTGTTTGTTTGTTTGTTCACGTCACAGCCCTTTGGGGCGGTTTAAGCATGTGGTCGTCGGTCACCCTTTGTTGGGAGACAGTCCTTTCCTTTTTGCTTGCCATCTTTGGCATGTTGTCCCTGTCTTGATCTTTTCATTCCCCGCGTGTGAAACCTGCAAGCTGTTTCGAACAGAGTGTTACGTTGTTGTCTTTTCCCGGTTTCCCACGGTTTCCTTTTCCTTTGCTTTCTGAGGGTATGGACCTACAAGGATGTGTGTGTGTGTGTTTTCTCGAGTGAGTGACACGGAGTGGTTTAATTTAAGAGGAAACTAAACTGGACGCAGCCTATGTTTGGGCTTCCATATCGTTTTGCGGAGACAAAACCAAAATCCGGTTGGTTTTTGCCCGTTGTTTTGTTAGGGTACTCTGTTGCCCAGCGGGTTGCTTTCCTTTTTCATTTTTGGTTGGGTAAGGGTTCCGGTTCCTTTAAGCTTAGCCAACCAAAAAAGGTGCCCTGTTTTTCTCCCCTGCATCTTGTACAGGGTATATGGGAAAACCCTCCTTTGACCACCAAACCGCCGGGCTCCAAACCAAGGGAAGCTGATCTTAGGTTATATCAACCCCTTTCATAACAGAAAACATCAAAACGATCTGCAAAAAAACAATAAAATACCACTGGGCATGTGAGGTTGCACCGACCCAAAGCCACGGCTTGCGCCTTAAGCGAAGCGAGGCACGGGCCTGCTACACCGCATCCCGGCGCCGCGGCGCACGCCGGGGCCCACCTTCGCGCAAGCGGCGGGGAGCCCCACGCGCGGTTCGATAAAGGAAAGCCATGCAGAACACACGCTAGTAGTCAACTACAAGCATAGAGAAGTGGTTGATTTGGGAGGTGTCGTTCCTTTTTATTGTTTTGGGGGTCATGATTTTGGCTGGAGTAGTCAACTGAAAGCGTAGAAAAGGGTTGTTAAATGGCTGGGGTCGTTTCCTACAAGCTAGTCCTCGCACTTCCAACCATCAAAACAAGGGGGTCAAGGAATAACCTTGATTTACCTATATCAACCACAACTACATAGGACATGCGTTTGTTTTGTGGTGGGAAACTCAGCAATACGGGCTATTTCACAGAGGTTCCCCTTCAACTGGGCAGGCGCACCAGCTGGTCACCCGTGTGCTGTGCCAGGTAAGCCACATCCCACTTCTCCACCCCGACTGTTGCGGGGGTCATCATCTTGACTGGAGTCATTACTTTACCTATTTTTGAGGGGTCAAGTCAGGTCCCAGGCGTGCTAACAACTTGGTGGTTCTCAGAGAAGAACCAACTCTTTTGTGAATCCAACCAGTAGCGTAGTACACCCAGAGGGGCCCTACCAGGAAGGGAGCCTCTCTGCTTGATTTACCTTACTTGGATTTACTTGGCAAAAACCAATGGTGTCTCTCCCCGGCATTGTCTGAGAATTGCAGAGATGCCACCTCTCAATAGCGGTTAGCCCAAAGTAGGCTTAAAGTTCAGGGTGGTTGATTTTCCAGATTTGAGTTTAAGTGTGCTTGGGCTTGGTAGAAGATGTGTGGGCGTGTCTTCTTTTGAGGGTACCATTTTTGGGCTGGGTTTCCCTTTGGGCCTCCAATCAACAATCAGGCGAACCTTGCAGGTTGTGATGATCCAGACAATGCGCAAAAATGTGGCTCGGGGCCCCCCCAATTCCGGCTTGGCAAGTGACAGCTTGTGATTGCTGTCTATTTTGCTGGGGGTACTGTGCTGGGGAAGGAAAGAAAGAAAGAAAGAAAGAAAGAAAAAATGAAAGAAAGAAAGAACGAACGAAAGAAAGGACAAAGCACATAACAAGAGAAAGACAGAGACAAAGAAAAACACAAACTTGCAAACACACAAACAAAGAAACAGAAAAGCCAGCAAGGAAACAAGAAATCGAGCAGGCAAACAAGCAGACACACAAACGTACAAGCAAGCTGCCGAGCAAGGAAGCAAGCAAGAAAGCGAGCGAGCAAACAAGCGAGCAAACGAGCAAACAAACGCGAGCAAACATGCAAGCAAGCAAACACAAGCACCGACCAAGCACACAAGCAAATATGCAACCCAGCAAGCGCACAATCAAGCAAGCAAACACACAAACAGAGAAACGCAACGAACAAGCAACCGAGCTAACAAGACAGCAATCAAGCAAACAAAGAAACAAACACACAAGCGAGTAGAACATACAAAAGAAATACTAAAGCAAGCAAACAAGCATTCAACACAGTCAAACAAACAGACACGCCCACCAAGCAAGCAAGCGAGCAAACACAAATGCAAACAAGAAAGCAGTCAAAGAAAGACAATCCCACAAACCAATACGCACACTCACCTAGCAATCACGCAATCAAGCAAACAATGAACCCAACAAAGAAACAAGCAAGCAAGCTTCAATCAAACAAGCAAGCAAACCAACAACCACACACACCAAGCAAACAAGCAAACAAGCAAACAAGAGAGCAAGCAAGCCCATCAAACAAAGACAAGCAAAGCACACAAGTAACCACACAATTGAACAACCAAGCAACCAAGCAAACAAAGCAAGCAGACAAGCAGACAAGCAAGCGAACAAACGATCAATCAAACAAGTGTGAGCAAGCAAGCAAACGCGAAAGCAATCACACCAACCAAGCAAGCAAACACACAATCAAATCACAAAAGACGCAAGCACGCAACCGAGCAAGCAAGCAAAGCAAACAAGGGAGGAAGTGAGCAAACGCACAATAAAACACACCAACCAGCAAATAAGCAAGCCAGCAAGCAAGCGAGCAAGCACACAAACAATACGGACACAGACATATACACACCAGGAAAACAAACAAAGCAAGCAAAGAAGCAACAAAAACGAACACGGATAACACACCAACCAAGCTAACAAGCAGTAGGCAAAAACACCAGCCCAACAAGCAAACAAGGAAGCAACCAACCAAGCACGAGCAAACACGGGCAAACGCACCCACAACCACACGAACCAAGCAAATAAACCACCCAGCAAGCAAACAACCAGCCCAGCAAACCACGAGCAAACGCGCAAATACCACACCAACCATCGCTCACGTGTCCGCGGGCCGAGGCTGGGCCGCCGGCCGTGGCCGTGCCGGCCGTGCCTGCCGGGCCGCCGGGCGCCGCGCCGGCGGGCCCAGCTCAGCTACCAATAGGAGGTGTGGGTTTTTTGAGGCCTACCCTGGCCCCAAGGGAAGCCACTTGCCGTCGTTTTGAGGGTTGGCTGAAAGGGAAACCAGAAGGAAAACACGAAAGAAATGCCAAAGAAACCACCCCATCAGCGCCTGTCAAAACTTGATCCAGCGGTTTTGCAAGTCCCCCCCATTTTATTATATTTTTATTTTTTTAAATCTCCCCTCCTCTTCTCTCCGCGTTCGCCCATGTGCTTCCCTATTGTCCCTTGTTGCGTGTTGAGACCATCCCCACCCCTACATAAACCAACCCTAAACCAACCCTTTGCCAGCTCTAAAGCAACCCTAAACCAATCCTAAAGCAACCTACTAATTCAACCTTTTTACCAACCCGAAACCTAATTAACTGAAACTCACAAAGTTTTAACGGATCCGATGTTCAACCAATATGAAACCAAGCACGCCACAACACAGGGAGGAGGGGGGCGGGGCCTGCAAACCTGGAGCGTATACATTAAACCGTTATAGCTGCCACTAATAAACAATGATACAATTAACAACAAGGATAAAACAAATGTGCGTTTCTCAAAATAGGGGACCCCTTTTGAAACGGCTCTAAAGGGAAACCAAAAGGAAGCCCCAAGGTGCCCAATTTTGAGAAGCACCCAGCACCCGTATAGTTGATTTGTATGCTCACAGTACGCATTGATTTTCTTCCTGATGTGATCAGGAATTCGCAAGCAGTCTGTGCCACCATCTTGGTAGGACGGAGAGAGTCTACTGAGAGCCTATGTTGTGAGATTCGGATAGATTGGGTCCAGGAGGAATCATTGAGTGGTTCGTAATCCACCGCTCAACCCCCATTTGACGCCCTTATAGCTAGGGTTACTAAGCGTTTAGCTCACTCTCGGGCCGCGTAAGTGCGTGGGTTTGATAGAGTGGCGATCCAGCGCATCATGATAATTTCAACAAGCCAGAAGAATGCTTGCCATGCGGAGGCTCATGACCATCCCCCTCCCACACCCTAGCTGGTGCTTCTTTCGAGAAGACGTTTTCATACGTTTTCTATTTCTGCGATTCCCTCTACTCCTTTGGTTTTTCCCGGCTGCAATCCTGTTGCCTCTGTGCGGGAAAGACACAGATGGCTGTGGGTCAAAATTAAACCACCATGGGACCACAGGTTTACTCCATGTTGCCATTTACCAGGGTTCCCATTTTGGGTGCATATGTTTGACCCGCTGCCAGATGGAGAAACCGGCGCGCAACAAATTCGGCATTTTGTGAAAAAAACGGCGCACGTAAAGGCCGAGGTCTTCGCGCCGCCTCAAGCGATGAAAGGTAGGGTGATCCGATTGAGCTCATCGCGCGCGATGATGCAACCCTCGTTTGCTCCCGCCACTGTGAGACAAACGAAGCTGATGTTCAGTCCGGAAAGTGTGATGATGTGATCTGTCATGGTGGTGTGACGTAGTGCGGCTTCTGCTGCTGTTGCTGTTCCCAAGCAAGTGCCGGAGTACGCGCAACACCTGTTCACCGCAGTAGGTCTTCGCGGTACCTGGCGCAGGACACACCGCTTGATCTCTTTTGGTGTGAAGCTCCTTTTCTCTACACTTGCGAAAAGTGAGTCGCAATTATTACCATCCCGTTTAATATATGGCTGTGGGTCACAACCAATGCACCACCCATTCTAGTCTATTTTAGTGGGGATTGGGATGTTCACTGGGGGGTACGGGATTTTGACCCATGGCCATATGGCCCAACTTGCCTCATCCCTTTGAAACTCTCGAGTCGCATAACCCGGTCTCCAAGGATTTGCGTGCCCTCGCAACCGGCCTACGGCGGTCTTGCGGCGGGCATTCCGCCGCCCGGCGGAATTCCGCCGCCGGGAGGTGTTCCGCCGGGCGCTACGTGCAGGCCTCAGGCGCAGCAAGCGTTGAGTGGGTATGCAAACCTTGGTGGCTCCCAGCCATCCGGTTCCTTAACTTTTTAGCCTTTCCCAGAAACGCTGGCCATGAACTTTAATTAGGAACCACCTCCTGGTTGGTGGACATACTCCTGGAATCACACCCATATTGCCACCGTGTAAAGATTATAGTAACCACCCTCTGAGCCTCGTTTCTCTTGGGTCTTGGTGGTTCAGAGGGGAGGGGGGACTGCCTCTTGCGTCAGTTTGCTTCACAATCGTTGGCGCTGGTTGCAGTTTGCGGTTGATCATAGTGCCAACACTTTTTCCAAAACGCCAAAGCAAAAGCAGGCGCTTCTGCTGAAAGTGGGGGTGTTGGGGAGTACCCATTTGGCTTCGGCACGTGCAATTGATGCCAGTCGCTCAAAGTCGTTGCTCCATTTCGTTGTGCACAGTTCATCAATTCCCAAAGCTCACGTTTCAACTTGGCTTCGATTTACGGACGGACCGGACTGGCAATCTTTTCTCATTTGAGTTGCAGTTGCCTCTTTTGGCACCTCTTTTCCACGTTGTGTTTTGTGTTTTCTCCTTTTTTCATGTTTTTTTTCCTCTGGACAAACGAGCCCCGGGCCCGAAAACCGAGGCCCGGGCTCCCGGCGATTCGGCCGGGGGGCTCCTGGGCCCCACCGGCCCCGGCGGCGCCAGCGCATGCGCCGGCGGTGCCTGGGGTTGCGCCCGGGCAGGCAAGCGCTGAGTTGATTTCGTAGGGTGGGTCTTATGGGAAGAACCCCAACATGTGGAAGAATTCCCTTTGATGGCTCCCAGCCATTCGGTTCCTTAGCCTTTTAGCTTTTTAGTGGTGAGTGGTAGTTTCCATTTAACCCACTAAAAGTTAAACTTTTAGCGGGGGATCTGAGGGCAGCTTAGTTTAAAGCCACCCAACCCCCCCAACATACGTAGATTGCTTCCTGCTAACCCACCCAAGGAGTCTGCCAGTTTCGAAAGGGTTCATATGGTGTTAGGAACTCCAAAATGGTTGTTGTGTCTTTGGGATTTAATTTCAAGCCACCCAACAAAGCGGGGTCCATTTGCGAAAAGCCTGGGTACTGTAATTGATATGGAGTCAAAGGGAAACCAAGAGGAAACCATCCTGTTGGACGGCAAGACGGATCGTTTACCATTCGGGTCTTGTTTGGACACTGTTGCACAAGTAAGCCAGCCTCTTTCAAACAAAACCTATTGCAATTTCCTATGGCGAAGATTGAGGCTCCCCGCCCCTTCTGTGCCTTGCCTTCGAGGGTGAGTGAGGTCCAAGAGGAAGGAAACTTGAGGAGCACCGGCCTTGGGGTCAACGGCCGTTCCAACTAGACCAGCTGACCAGTTCCTAGACTGCTCAAAAGATCTTCGAGGAGACTGGTATTGTTGCAGCAGTTTGTTCAGCTCTGATTTCCAGCAATGTTGACCACATAGTAATCAACCCCATCCGATTCTTTGTGAAATGTGGGGAATCAGACCACTTTTGGAGGGGAACACCCCCACCCCCCCCACCCCCAATTTTCATACAGTGATTGGTTGATTCATATGAGGTCCTATCTCTCCGCTTCGTTTCCGTGATGTTTTGAGGGAATAAAAAGGGAACAGCCTGTTCCAGTGTGACCGACGCACCCAAAAAGCCGAAGCAAGCCCCGCCTTCGGAGCGATCCAGGCCCCGACCATCACGCCGGAAGCCATGGCCCAGTTGCAGGACGCCGGACGAAAGTGGCTGGGATGTGTCGCGGTTTTTTCCTCGTGCTGGCCAGAAGTATTGAAAAGACGGCATTGTGTGTGTGTGTGTGTGTGTGTGTGTGTCGTGGTGTGTGTGTGTGTGTTCGTGTGTTTGTGAGGGTACTTGTGCTCTTTGTGGGTGTTTGAAAGGAAACCAAAGGGACACCACACATTTTGCAGGCTCCACCAGTTAGAGACAAACCCTCTTTTGCTTGGATATGTTTGCCTCTTTGTGAGAAGCTAGATGCCAGATCTATCACTACTGGACATATTTTCTCATTTTTCCCATTGGACTTGAGCAAATGGAGGAAACATTGGTCTTCCTTCTTTTTGTTGTTTCATCAAAAGAAGACGCGCAGCTGGCCCATGAGCCAACTGAGCCAACAGAGCCAGGCGCAGATACACCAAATGGGCCTCGGCGCTTCCGGCCAAGCGCTCCAGAGCAACGGAGAGGCGCTCCGGTGTGTCGTCGTTGATAGAGTTGGTAAGCCCATTTTTGGGTTGGTTTCAAGCCAGGTCCCCCGCTAGGTGCCGTTTTTAACTTAACCCATGTTTGGTTGAGGGGGTTTCCCTACCAAAGTAGACAAAAAAGAACAAACTTGGTACGCTTATTCTATCCTCTCTGGAGGAGCTAGCAATAAAAACCAATTGAACAAAAACATCGGTTTGGGAAAAACAACGGTTCTTACACAGGTTGAGGCTTCCTTGCTTCATCCTGCACAGTTGACCTTCCTCACTTGCAACTGACCTTCAAGAGGACATTCGCTTTCAGGTACCCTCCCACCCCACGATGCTATGTTTGTGGGAGGAAGCGTAAGTGGATTCTGAATTGCGCAGATGCGTTTTTTGTGGATGACCGACAGTTTGAGAGCCTTCAGATCATTTGGGCCAATTTGTCTCACGTCCATGGGCTGGACATGAGCTGAATGATTAGTCACCCAAGATATTTCCAGCTATCCTATGGTTGCTGGCCACTGGCTATCTTAGCCCATACCAGAAATGGAGTGAGTTGCAGGCGCCTGACTGCCCAGCCATCCCCCTTAGCCTTTTTAGCTGTTTAGTGTTTAGCGGCAGTTTCCATTTAACCCACTAAAAGTTAGTCACGTCTAGCGGGGGATCTGGGGGCAGCCCGGTCTGAAGTTACTTTCTCGCGTTTTGTTTGAAAGATATCAATCCCTGGGGCCCGGGCCTGAGAGAGATGGGGGATGAGCTTGGGTCAACACTCGCTGTAGCCGATGACCTGGCACAGGGGAACTCACCAATTGTTTTTTCCAACAGACCACCCGAAAACTCACAAATGGCGGCTAGGAAGCTTTAGTAGGGAAGCCACCTCAAAAGTGGTAAGTGGACACAAATCCGCACCTAAATTTGATGTCCATCAAAGCTTCCTTTCTTCAAATGCATGCCCAAATGGCCATGGTTCAAAACCAATGGTACCATTCTGGAGTACGTGAATTCACCACCCATTTTTGTTTTTTTTTTTGGTGCTTGGATTGGGATGTTCACTGGATTTTGGTACGATTTGGCTTTTGGCCCATGGCCAAATGTCCGTCTCTCTCGGTGCAGGTGGTCTCCCCCACTGCCTCAGCTCCAGAGAATCCCAAGGCGCGACCGCGCGCGCACTGGCGCACGGGCGACGGAGCGGTCGTCGGTTTTCAGCGGTCCCTTTTGTTTGGTGGCTCCCAGCCATCCGGTTCCTTAGCTTTTTAGATCCTTTTAGTGTTTAGTGGTAGTTTCCATTTAGTTTGAGATCCTTTTAGTGTTTAGTGGTATTTTCCATTTAATTTTAGATCCTTTTAGTGTTTAGTGGTATTTTCCATTTAATTTCAGATCCTTTTAGTGTTTAGTGGTAGGTTTTCCGAATTTAGCCCACTAAAAGTTAGCCACTTTTAGCGGGGGATCTGAGGGCAGCCCAGCTCCGTGGTCCTTCACTTGGGGTGGTTCCACACGACACGAACAGCAAGATGACTCAGAGAACCGCTAGGTCAACCGGGCCCTTTTACCCTGTTTTGGGGGGAGGGTTCTCCTACTACCATACCTACAGAAAAACGGGTGCCCTTGTTCCAGCCTCTCTACTGGAGGACCTAGACCAGCCAACAGCGGACAAGCAGCCTACTCCCACCCAAGAAACCACCAACCAATCAGCCAGCCAGCCAGCCAGCCCAACCCACCTATCGGACCCAATCCAACTTGCCCCACACACAAACACGTCGACGAGATGATACCATGGCATCGGCTTTTGCGCCCGCCGGCTAGATGTCGTTGCACCCTGAAGATGTAGCTCTCGCAACTTATTCTAGGCCTTGCAATTCACGCTCCCCAAAGGATATTCCAATAAACACGACGAATTTTGTTTGTTCCAGGCCAATCTGCAGAGTAAGCAAGCCATTTCTGGGATTTCACTGCAGAATCAACCGTTTGTATGGATTCCAAGTTGATTTGCACCATTTCCCGGACGAATCTCTTCCCCCTTTTATTTTTTTGCTTTTTGGGGTTCCCTTTGTTTTCCACAAACCAGGCAAACAAAAACAAAAACATATATTTTTTGCTGGGGTCCTAATTCCAGCAGCAAGTTTCTCGGGGACTTCCCACTTGGCCGCCGATTTCGCCTCCGATTTCGCCTCCGGTTTCGCCTCGAAATTCCGGGCGCCAGGCCCCACCCAGTACGCCCATGAACGCGCAAGAGGTGCCGCCGGTGGACCTCTCAGCGGCCATGGATCCCAGCAAGGCGAAGCAACCGCGAGCCATGGCTTCTTCATTTGGGCGTGGGTCAATTTTTTCAGCCACCAGGAATAGGACGGGTTTAGTGTTGGGTTCCATTTATCAGGGCACGCCATTTTGGGTTACCCTATTTTTGACCCACGGTTTTTTGTTGACCGGTTGAATGTTGAACTAGGATCATTCTTTTGACTGTGTAGGGGTTATCAAAGTCAGCAAGGGTTTTCAGATTTATGATTTTGATTGGTGTTTAGGGGTTGTCAAGGTCAGCACTTGGAGGTGAATCCTGTTAACCTACCACTTGGGTCATGAGTTTGACGGTTTGTAGGGGTTATCAAAGTCAGCAAGGGTTTTCAGATTTATGATTTTGATTGGTTTTTAGGGGTTGTCAAGGTCAGCACTTGGAGGTGAATCCTGTTAACCTACCACTTGGGTCATGAGTTTGACGGTTTGTAGGGGTTATCAAAGTCAGCAAGGGTTTTCAGAATTATGATTTTGATTGGTTTAGGGGTTGTCAAGGTCAGCACTTGGAGGTGAATCCTGTTAACCTACCACTTGGGTCATGAGTTTGACTGTTTGTAGGGGTTATCAAAGTCAGCAAGGGTTTTCAGATTTATGATTTTGATTGATTTTTAGGGGTTGTCAAGGTCAGCACTTGGAGGTGAATCCTGTTAACCTACCACTTGGGTCATGAGTTTGACGGTTTGTAGGGGTTATCAAAGTCAGCAAGGGTTTTCAGAATTATGATTTTGATTGGTTTTTTAGGGGTTGTCAAGGTCAGCACTTGGAGGTGAATCCTGTTAACCTACCACTTGGGTCATGAGTTTGACGGTTTGTAGGGGTTATCAAAGTCAGCAAGGGTTTTCAGATTTATGATTTTGATTGGTTTTTAGGGGTTGTCAAGGTCAGCACTTGGAGGTGAATCCTGTTAACCTACCACTTGGGTCATGAGTTTGACGGTTTGTAGGGGTTATCAAAGTCAGCAAGGGTTTTCATATTTATGATTTTGATTGGTTTTTAGGGGTTGTCAAGGTCAGCACTTGGAGGTGAATCCTGTTAACCTACCACTTGGGTCATGAGTTTGACGGTTTGTAGGGGTTATCAAAGTCAGCAAGGGTTTTCAGATTTATGATTTTGATTGGTTTTTAGGGGTTGTCAAGGTCAGCACTTGGAGGTGAATCCTGTTAACCTACCACTTGGGTCATGAGTTTGACGGTTTGTAGGGGTTATCAAAGTCAGCAAGGGTTTTCAGATTTATGATTTTGATTGGTTTTTAGGGGTTGTCAAGGTCAGCACTTGGAGGTGAATCCTGTTAACCTACCACTTGGGTCATGAGTTTGACGGTTTGTAGGGGTTATCAAAGTCAGCAAGGGTTTTCAGATTTATGATTTTGATTGGTGTTTAGGGGTTGTCAAGGTCAGCACTTGGAGGTGAATCCTGTTAACCTACCACTTGGGTCATGAGTTTGACGGTTTGTAGGGGTTATCAAAGT